ATCTGACATATCGTCTATTATTGGTGCTACAGAAAACCCCCCAGATGTCAATAGATTGCCGTCAAACTTCCTCTCAATTATGGACATCACGAAGGACCGTTCAAATACACGCGGACGCAAGACTGGAGGTAAAACCATCTATACTTGTACTGTATGTGGAGATAAACGATACGACCATAAGGCAAATGCTGCCAATTACATCAGAAATAACCATCCCGTTGCATCCAGATCCACCAGGTCTGTCTCGGGCACCCAGCGCTCAATCTCCGCACATTTTCGCCCTGTAGCAAGCGAGGATGCACTTCGAAATGCCTTCAACCCGCAAGTATATCAGGAAGCATTAATCAGCATACTCACGCGTCGGAGAGTGCCCTTTTCGGCTATTGAATGGGACGAGTTTTAATAACTAGCTCTCGCGTGTAACCCATATATTAAAGACTCCCTTATTACCTTACAGCGTATGATGGTCCGATATATTGCAGCAAACTATGATTTTTACAGCAGCGAGATCAAGAACAGTCTCACCACTGCGTCAAGTCCGATTCATATCTCAACAGACCTCTAGACATCACCGCATAGACATTCTCTACTTGCTGTATGTGCACAATAGGTAGATAAAGACTACAAGCTTCATAAGGCACTACTATCTCTACCAGAATGTACAGAGAGTCATTCTGGAGAAGCTCAAGCGCAGGCTGTTATCGATACTTCAGAGAAGTACGGGATACAGTCAAAACTTGGTTGGCACACAGGTGACAACGCGATATCAAACGACACATGTCTTGAGTCTATACAACGCAAGCTAATAAGTAGACACAAGGTTAGTTAACTACGCAGTTTAGGCTATAGGCTGACATTGAGTAGATTAAATTCAACGCAAAAGGACGTCGTATACGCTGTATCACGCATATCATTAATCTTTCCCTTCAAGCCTTCCTTCTCGCATCTTCTAAAGAGGCTCTAGTCGCAGCACTCGAGTCAGCATCCGGTGTCACTGGAGAGGAGCTTCTCTCCCAGTTTTCCGAGGTCCTAGCCTCTCATCAAAAGAAGGCTGCCGCCGAACGAAATACAGCAAAAAGAAAGAACGGAGAGCCGGCCAGAAAGCACAAGCGCAAGGGCAGCACGGCTAGCAATACGTCCGTGATATAGGCTGACGACTTTAGCGGCGTTGAGAATGTCCCTGCATTACGCAAGCTTCATGGCTTAGCTGTGTGGCTAACATCATCAAGCCTCCACCAGAATACATAGGATAAGGCAGTGGGACTGCGTTTAGGGATGGATAATTGTACCCGCTGGTCGTCCTGGTATTAGGTCATTAATCGTGCAATTAGAAAGAAGGACAAAATCCAGTCCTTTATATCTGATCACAAAGAGGCCATCGGAGACAATTGGCTATTAGTTGGAGATTGGGAGTTGCTAGGCAAAGCACATACGTTTCTTCAGCCATTTTCTTCAGCAACATTGTATGCAGAGGGAGATAACTCGTCTATCTCACAATCGTTGATACTGATGGATATGTTATTACTCCATTACGAAGAACAAAAGGTACCCTTCAATCTATCCACATCAAGTCGATTACTAACATTGTATCAGAAGATATATCAGTCGGATGAACACTCCGACGAACGGATGGTTCGAGCCATCGATATGGGATGGTTTATCCTCTCTAAATACTTCCGCCTAACTGACGAGGTTCCCGTATACGCCGCCGCTCTCCTCCTTGATCCCTATAAACGCATCGCATATATCAAGCAGAACTAGCCAAAGGAATGGCATAAAGATACTATTGCCTCAGCCACAGCATTCTGGCAAAAGGAATTTAATTACGAGCAACCCAGCGACCATCCCTCCACCCCCACGTCGATGCCACCACCGCTGGCAAAGAAGCCAAATCAACTCGCAATACTATCAAAGAAGCTAGAGGTTAGGACTATTAACGCGAGTGTTAGGGATGATTTCATTAGCTTCATCAACGTTGATGCAACAGATATCCCTCCGGATTATACGCCTCTGGAGTGGTGGTATCAACCACAGCAGAGAAAGCAGTATCCGAAACTTAGCCGTATAGCTATTTATATTCTTTCTATCCCAGTAGAGTCATCAGAGCCGGAGAGGACGTTTTCTGGGGCAAGAAGAACATGTTCATGGGATAGATTGCGAATCACATATAAAACTATCGAGATAATTAAATATACGGGCAATTGGTTGCGTCAAGGACTCATACGGCCTCTGCATGAGAATGGGATGGGTCTAATCGGAATCCCACGGCCGGAGGGTGACTCTCGGGACGTTGACGATGATAGTAGGCATTATTTCGACTGGTATTAGAGCAGGCGCGGTGGATATTTCTCACCGTCATAAATCGTTCATTCGTTCGTTTAAATCGTTTATTCGTTCGTTTAATCGTTTGCAATATTTTTGAACCGTTCAAACGTTTGAGGAAAAATTCGACCGTTTAAACGGTTTGCCCATGTATGCTACGATAGGCTTACGGGATGGCTGATGGTGGCCTCTCTGCCTTTTGTGAGACCATGCTGGGGTCCCTGGGCCTTGCATGTCCTCCACCCACGCCAATCACGATAGACATCTCAGGCCCGGACTCCAGATCGACCACCAGTCGCGGTACCGGTCGGTTTCGAACAGGGCCAAGGGGCCAGGACGGCCTGGTATGGGGCGTATGTTCGATTGCCTTATACCTGAATCACACATAGCCCAGATTCTAACGCTACATGTGTAGTGTGTATCCGTGCAACTCGCCGAAGATACGTGATGACTTGGCGCTAGGTCATATCTGCAGGACCAGAAGTCCCCGGGCCAGACTTGCCTATCCTGATATCATATCTGATATGATAAATTATCCTGATATCAGGATAACACACTATCCTGATATGATATCAGCTTAGCAGGATAGCAGAGATGATATCAGGCTAGTAGCTTTAGCAGCTTTAGCAGAGATGATATAAAAATAGATACATAGCTTAAAGGGCAATATTTCATTCGATCCTAATCTAGATCATCATCTGAATCAACCCGAAGACTACCGTTTATTTCACCGTCCACGATGAGCCCTCTACCACCACGTGATGATGGTATAATGAGTCCTTCACGCAGCCAGTTACCGATACATTCAACCTTCTCCAAATTAGCGCATGACATCCTTTCGCGATCCCATGATAAAGTACGTCTCCATCCACTAAATGCTGACTCGGGATCAGCAGAACCAGGGGGGACAGATAGTATATCGATGGCCATGCGACTGAGACGCGGATATGTCCGAATCTGATCCCTCTGACACCACCAGATAAGAGGAGAGCCTTCAATCTTTATCGGCTGGGTGCGGATAAAGTTTTCGAAGTCATCTACGTCCCTGGTTATGTCCTCAGCGACCATCATCTCGTCCAGAAGCCGATCAAGCTCGTTTGGCTGTCCCTGCTGCGAGCTAGATGCTTTGCTCAGCGGCTGGGCAGGTCCGAGGGCGGGCGCCATCTTGTATTCTTCCTCCCAGATTGTACGTGCGTGCGTAATGGCAGTCGCCGCCCATTCCTCCTTCCAGTGTATCTCAAGGTATCGCGCTCGCTTCGACGGATCGAGGAGGAGGGCAGTTGCATAGATAGGTGACTCCTCAGACATAGTATAGTACTTATCAAGTACGAACCAGCCCATATCAATCGAGTGCAGCATGAGAGGATCATATGTCTCTTCTGCTTCATAGAGTTCCTAAAGAGTTGATTAGTAATTGGTTTAGTTAGATGAAAAGATGAGATAATACCTACTTCTGCTCGTAATGGCGAAGTAGTATATCCATGATAATAAGGTTTTGCGAGAGCGTCGTCGTCGCGCCTTGAGCCCACAAAGTCGTAGATGTGAAAGGTTGGAGAAATGCGTGTGTTTTCTCTAGGTAATCCCAATCTGAAGAGGTGAGAATATTATCACCCAGAGTCTTGTCATATTCAAGCAGGAACTGCTTTACTTGCTGCTTTTTCCTCATTAGATTATCGATCATCCTATACCATGAATTCCAGCGCGTATCATTATCAATACCGAGTCGTAGTTTGATGCGCTCATCCCATGCATCACTGTGGATAGCTGAATTACGTAGCCACAGCCCGATCCGGTGTAGTTTGCGCAGGGCAGGAATCATAAACCAGCCCTTCCTACTAGTGGTGTTGTCTAATCTATTATCTGTTCTCGATGGAGGATTTCCCTGTTGAACGGAAGCCTTTTTGGATGCGACGCCGCCAGGGCGTCTCGTCTGAGCTCGCGTCTGATCTGGCTGGTTTGATGTATCACCACCAGACGCGTCGTGCAAGACGAGATAGAACCGTTCGTAGAGCTCATCACCAGTGACGTCGCTAGCAGCACCAAGGGCGGCTTGAAGTGCTTCACGTGAAGACGCGAAAAGAAAGGCTTGAAGGGATATGTTGATAATATGAAGGATACAGCGGATACGGTGCCGTTTCGGATCCCAGTTGATCTACTATAGATTAGACGACTAGATACGGGAATAAGACAGGAGTATGACGTACATTATGATCCCGCTTAAGCCTGGTTGACAAATGCTGCAAACACGTGTCGTTTGACGTCGCATTATCGCCAGTATGGCAGCCGAGTGGATTCGTGATGCCGTAAAGGACGAGTGTTGAGAAGATAAGTCGAGACTGATGTTCACCAGAATGGCTGTGTCGAATCTCTAGAAGACTCAGAAGTGCTCTCCTAGGCTGGTAATCCTTGTCAATCCATCGTGCACATACTGCTAGTACACCATGGCGATGTGGCGATGTCCAGAGATCAGATGAGATGTGGACCTTCGAAACGGCGCTCTGTAGCTTAGCCTTCAACTGCGACTGATATAGGCTAAAGTTTGCAGTAATATGACGCATTGCTTCATGTCGTGATGTCATGATAAGGTTCTCAATAGCGGGATTACAGGCTAGTATGATGCCCTGCATCTCATCCCATGTAACTGACGAAAAGGGTAGTCGACGACGTGTGAGAAGGGCAACCATGCTCTCAGTATAGCGCTAGGGATTGAACACTCTACGGAGGGCTGATTCTGATGGGTTTGCTGTATAATAATCGCCGAGCCCAGCTTGCTTTAATGGAGGACCGATGTCTGATGACCGTTCGGGTATCGTATTATCCGAAGAGTTAATGATATCGCTGTGTTTGCGCTTCGCATGGTATATGGCGTTGTCTCGTTTCGGATCTGACCAGGTCTGATCAGAGTAACAGAGGAGACATTCATAGACTACTGCTCCCTTCGTTCTGCGCTTCCCTGATGGTCCTAACTAGCCCTTATGCAGATATGTCGCGCGGAATATGCAATCGAAGTTCAGGACCTCAGATGGTGCTGATTCTGCATCAACAGCAGGATCAATGCTCATCTGGGACTGTGAGGTGCAATCCGCAGGTTGCTGTGATGAAGAGGCCATAATTAAGGATAGTAGAGGCTCGAAGTAAGAGAACATGTTCTATCTACGCACTTGAGTCAGGCGGTAAAGTTTGAGAGATTTGAAGACTGCAAACACGGAAAGATCGGATCTTATCAGCCGGTAATATGAAATCTGGCCATCAGAGCCGGCAGTTTATCCTGATATCTATCCTGATATCAGGATAAGGGAGCCTAGCTTTATCCGATATCCGATATATATCATATCGGATATAGCAGGATAGCAGAGATGATATCAGGATAGCATATCAGGATAGGCAAGTCTGCCCCGGGCGAGGGCGGATCTCACCCAACGCGGATCCTGTTCGCGTTCGAGTTACTAAGTGAGACCTCCTATTGGGTCCACCTTGCTTCTTTACTTTACTTAGTGTCAGGAACGGCTCAAGCGATCCCACAGTTCCCACCACCATGGGGCACACCATCAGAGTCACTGTTAACTCGGACTCTCCATGTCCATGGGCCTTCCCTGGAGATCCGAGGAGTGTGACCTCACGTCGGTTCTCCGCGAAGGGCCTTGTGCATTCTGTAGCCATTCTCAACGGATCCCTCTCAATCCCCTGACCCTGATTGCCGATCCTGTTACTATTTACGCCCGCGTCTAAGGCTGAAGCCACCACACCTTTACAACCTCGGCCACTGCGATATGGGTCGATGAGATAGAATCCAGCCGCCTGATAGGCGGCATTAGGCCTTTATGAGTGGCCTTTTCTCGCATTTGGTGTGCTGACTGTCATCCTGCTTTGCAGCTGTACCTGAGCTATGCTTGATGCCCCACATCCAGGCCGTCCCGCTCAACAACTCCTCGCCTATCCACCTGCGTACTTGGTCCATGTTCAGAGATGTCCTCTAGGAGCTCGACTGAGCGCCCAGATACGTACCGTCACGCCTTGGCTTGAGATGAGCTGTGTGGTGCTAGTAGGAATTGGGCACGGCTGTTCGGCAAATGCGTTATGCCTGGGTCTTGGAACGTCAGCCTCTTTGGCTCGCCTCGACTGTTGCTTCTGAACGAGCACACGACATATAAAGGCCGTGGGATCCCGCCGTGAAGATGGGAGGTTTTATTCCAGCACCCTCAGTCCACACTCTTTGGGATTCGTCGATCGTTCCACTCCATCACTCGTTTGAAAATGGGTAACGCCGCCCCCTGGGGAGCCCCTTCCCAGTTAGAATCTCAAGCTACTCTCCACTTGAGCCACTACTCTGATACTTCTCTTGGAGGAGGTTTGAGCCAGTCCCAAACCAATGGGTATGTTCATCACCTGTTCCTTGTCTGTTCTCCTATATGATGGCCAAGTATTAAGCCCTCTCTACAGCGAGTCTGTCTTGGGAACGTTTGATGCCCTTACGCTCCCATACTTCATGACCAACAACCCCACCCCAAATGGGTATCCTTGGAGCAAGTTGAATGCCCATACCAACTACTACAAGACCCATCCCAATACGGGTGTCATCAGGAGGTATGACTTCACCATCAAGCGGGGTACCATCGCCCCTGATGGCTACGAGCTGTCTGCCATCCTCATCAACGGGGCCTTCCCCGGCCCTACCATCGAGGCCAACTGGGGTGACACCATCCAAGTGACCGTCCACAACGAGATCGAAGATGAGGGCGTCGCCCTGCACTGGCATGGCTTCCTCCAGACGGGTACGCCCTGGGAGGATGGTGTCCCTGGCATCAGCCAATGCCCCATCGCCCCCTGCAAGAGCTTCACATATCAGTTCCTCGCTGAGATGTATGGCACTAGCTGGTATCACTCTCACTACTCTGCTCAATACGCTGCTGGTCTCGTCGGTCCCATGGTCATCCACGGCCCTCGTGATAAGCGAGACTACGATATTGATATCGGTCCTGTCATGGTCAGTGATTGGTATCACGATGAGTACTTTGACCTCGTCGAAACCGTCATGAGCCCCAGCGGCGGTATCATCTTCTCAAATAACAACCTCATCAACGGAAAGAACAACTTCAACTGCTCCACGCTCTCTGCAGACGACCCAACCCCCTGCAACAGCCAGGCCGGCCTCTCCAAGTTCAAGTTCACGCGTGGCAAAACCCATCGTCTGCGTCTCATCAATACAGGCGCGGAAGCCCTGCAGCGGTTTTCCATCGACGGCCACACCATGACTGTCATCGCCAATGACTTCGTCCAGGTCGAACCTTACGATACTAAGGTCGTCACCCTGGGCATCGGTCAGCGCACCGACGTCCTGGTCAAGGCCAACGGCCAGCTTGACGCCTACTGGATGCGTGCCAACATCTCCGTCCCCTGCAGTCTAGCCCGCCAGCCCAACGCCTTGGCCGCCGTCTACTACAACAAAGCCGACCAGACCAAGGAACCCAAGTCCACCGCCTAGGATGTTCCCGACCCCGGCACCTGTGTCAACGACGACCTGGCCAAGACCGTCCCATTGATGAAGCTGCCCCTGCCTGCCCCTGAACTAACCTATGACTTCGAGGTCAAGCTCTTCGTCAACGAGAGTGGCAACAGCCTGTTCTCGTTTGACGGTATTGACTTCCGCGCCAACTACAACAGCCCTACCCTGCTACTTGCCAAGCTCGGAGAAGATGACTTCGAAGAGCAGTGGAACGTGAGGAATACTGGCAAGGCCAAGAGTGTCAGAGTCAATGTCATCAACAGCACTCCCTTCCCGTAAGTTGACCCATTTCTCGGCAAGATAAAGAACTATGCTAACTTAACTGACACGCAGTCATCCTATGCATCTTCACGGCTTCAACATGTACATCCTCCACGAGGGCGACGGAGCGTGGGACGGCACCATCATCAACCGAAATAACCCCCAGCGACGAGACGTCATCCAGGTCCGTGGCAAAGGCCATGTGGTGATCCAGTTCGACGCCGCCGATAACCCAGGTGCGCTACTTACCCCTGATCTTGACTCTCTCGGGTTCTCTCTCGCTAACAACCTTGCTTCTTAGGCGTCTGGCCCTTCCACTGCCACATTGCTTGGCACGTCTCCGCCGGCCTCTTGATCCAGTTCCTCACGAACCCGGACAAGGTCGAGAAGTTCAGGATCCCCAACGTCGTCGCTGAGACCTGCCGCCAGTGGGGCACGTGGACGTCGACGAACATCCCAGCCCAGATCGACAGTGGTCTTTAACTGACGGGCTCTTGTGTCTAAAATGGGCGAGAGCGGCAATGACGGTGGAAGTGGTGGGCGGACACCTCGGGGCTGGGTTCTGCTAGGTGGTAATAATTACAACGTTTCCGGTTCCTCCCAGTCGACCCTGAGAAACACAATCGCTTCGCCAGTGGTCAGAAGACCATACTCAAGGCCTCCCTCAATCATGTAATGATAGGTCTGCGTGACGGCAGACGCTGTCAGCCTGTCCGCGAGATACTGGAAAAGCGCGTCCGGGTCCATAGAAGTGGGAATGGTTTTTCGATTGACAACGTCCTTGGGAATGTTCATAGCCCGCAGACCGAGACGAAGATGCGGAGCGGTCAGCTTGTGGGGGGGCTTATACTCAGAAACGTAGACCATAGTACGCGTCATCGCAAGTGCATCGTTGGATCGATAGACGCAGATCTGATCGGGTCGCAGCTGGTTGAGGTCTCGTGTGCGGTCCGGCGTCTGTAGTGGTGTCGAAGGAGTCTCCCGAGCAACAACTTCTTCAGCAATGTCGCTGATGGCATGGAGGTGATTCTCGAAGATGATGCCATTTCCCATGTCGAAAGCACTGCTGACCTCATCCACCTGCTTGAGCTGCTCTATTATCGCTCTGACTGGATCCTCCACACTGTTCTGCAGGAAATGCTCGAGTGTCTTCTCGTTTGCTATAGATCGCGGGGAGATTCGGTTTCCCAGGCCGGCCAGGAAACTTCGGCTCTCTAAAGCGCGGCTCTGGGTAGGAAACGTGTCGTAGAGTGCACCAAAGACAAAGATAGCTCTTTGTTGTTCTAGGAAGTCCGACCATGGCCTGAGATGTGTTGGACACCACTTGTTACGCGGATTGGTGATATGGCCCTTCGAGGTCATTTTTTTGTCTGTTTCGACGGCAAATTTGGAGAAGACGAGTTCATGGCACGCGGCTATGTATGCATCAAGTGTCGTGGGCCGGGTTTGTTCCTCTGCTTCCTCAGCGCGTTGCTGCTCTCTCTCGGCGCGTTGTCGCTCCTCCTGTCGCTCTCTCTCTGCGTAGTCGGCGCGTTGGAACAAATATACAATGAGAGTGTGTCAGAATGTCAACACCACGGCTTTCTATCAACTGTGGTCACTATTGCTTCATGCAAAACCAATCCCATCCCATTCCATTAAACCCTAACAACATGCTGACTCTAGAAGTTCGGTTGCTTGGAGTTCAGCTCTGTTATACTCATTGTCTATTGAGCGGAGCTCATCTTGAGTTCTAGGATAGTTGCGAAGATCAGTCGGTATTATCAATAACGATGATGAAAGGCTGGGCGAAGATGAAATTTGTGCACGAGAGGATTTGTGTACGAAACGATTGATGATAACACCCCTAACCAACAGTTCTTGCGTAAAGTTGGTCAATATGGTGGTAACTGCGACAGAGACTCGCATCACACCGAGGTTAATCGAGACTAAACACTAAGCTGGCGATGCAAGACACTATCGACGGCGGATGCATGTCGATGGACCAGCCGTGCCAGGTCAGGGCCGGTAACTGAGTGGATACGGCACGAAATGGGTCATCTGGGCGAGCAAGTTAAACCCCATCTTTGATCCCCGACACGCTTCCGCGAGATTTCGGTCGCCGGACGATACGCTTTGGCAGATCCGGGGCCCACCGGTGCTGACTCCCCGCAGACTGCATTTGCAGGGCATCAGCAAGCCACTATTCGTTCAGCAAGAATGATGCGAAGAAGGCGGGGGGCGTTTACGTTTTAGATGCAATAAGAGGCCAACAACTACAGCGGCAGAGCCCGATACGAGAATCTGTCGTCGGCACACTGGAGGTCAGATACTCGAGGGAACAGAAACGACGGTGATGATACTACCATGCGGCATGTCCCTGTGAATTCACAATACGAGATTGGATTTGCCGTCTTCATCATGCCCGAGCTGTGATACATCATACAAGGCTTGCGCCAATACAACCAACACTCGGCCCACGCTTGTCACCTTGTTTTCTAAGCGAAGCCATTACTACATGAATATCAACATTGCGCAGAATGATCAACCCGAGCCAACAAGCGGCCCTATTAGCTGACGAGAGCCCACAACCAACCGTCGTAGCTCTTCTCGCCCACTGTCTGGATAACGACTGAGTCGACACCGGGCTCCTTGCCAGCATTCTCAACCACGCGTCGGCTGGCCACGACGTCCTGATCGGTGATGCTCAGGTCCGCCAACTCTCCCTCGCGCACGATATTGTCCATACAAATGACTGAGTTTGGCTTGACCATGTCTTTGGCCAGTCGGAAGTAGTTCCAGTTGTTCACCTTATCGGCATCAATAAAAACGAAGCCGAATTGGGGACGCGTCCCAGCCTTGACCTCGCTACGCAGCGTTTCCAGGACATCGACACTCTCGCCGTGAATGACTTCTATGCGATGCGACAGCCCTGCGAGCTCAATGTTCCTGCGTGCCACGTCGACGTGTCTAGGGTTGTACTCGACTGTTGTCAGGTGTAGCTGTGGGTTTCACTCGCCACCCAGATGGCCGAGTATCCGCCCAAAGTGCCGACTTCGAGCGCGAGTGTCACTCCTGATGCCCGGCAGTGCAGCGCCAGGAACTTTGCCTGCGCCGGCGAGAGCGAATAGTCCGGGAGGCCAGCCGCCGTGGATAACTTCAGCACATTCTCGAGCACTTTGGCATTGGGCCGCGGCGCCGGATGTGAGTGCGGGATCGTATACGCATCGACAGCTGTCCAACGGGGATCGTCGTGACTGTGGCTGGGCCAGTGGTTTCCTGCCATGACACCTTTTTGATGTTATGCCGGGTTTAAAGCGGGAGCACAGCTCGCTAGGACCCAAGTAACATCGAGGCTCTACTCTAAACGAAAGAAGGTGGGTGGTATTTATATCTCTATTCCTGATATTTCTATTCCCGCTCTTTCTATTCCCAGTGGCTGCCGTCACACCACTGTCCCAACAGTCATCTATCTAGCACGCTGCAGAGAATCTCACCATCGATCACGTACGCTGGCGGACTTATCGGATTTATTCGGCGTTCAGCAAAGACACCCCGGATCCCTACGGTGGTAGCTCCGCTTCTTTTTGGCGACCGTGCCGTTTTGCCGGTGCCATTTTCACTGCCTCCCAAGTAGATTGATCCTTTTGATTGATCGTCACGTCCTTTTATTAATCCAAACCGAGCAATCGATTCAATCCTTGATGCTTCCTTCTTTGCATTCCTCTGTGGGTATTTGTATTTAACTCATAACCTGCTTGATCATATCTGCAATCTTGTTCGACACCTCGGTAGACCGTGGGATATCATGGCCGCCTCCATGGTCGTACTCCAGTCTGTCGTCACAGAATTCGCGAGCTGAATGCCCGCGGGCCACCTCGGGTCCCTGGAGCCGTAGATGTGTACCGTAGGTATTCCAATGCGCGCGCTCCTGGGGAATCTGGTGAAGTCGAGGCCGAAGACGTCGCTCAGCTCCGGTCTGGCCTTCGGATCGTGCATCAGCTCGCTCTTGCCGGCGTCCCAAAGGCCGACTCCGCGCTTTATCAACTTCAGGTTTGCCACCATCTCGGTCAGTCGCCCGGCAGTCCCGTTCAGCAAGCTACATTCGTCCCCCTCTTGCACTCTTAATGTAAGCTGGAGATCACCGCGAAGCCAAGGAATTACTCAGATTCAGTCGGAAGCCGAGACATACGGGGAAGCTCAGCCACCAGGAAATGCGACGGATGTACATCCCTCATACCAAGCTGTGCCCCCTGTAATATGCACTTTACTTTTAGTTATAGGTAAGCAGTAAATACCGATTGAGTCATCGTAGACGTAGCCTACGGGTCACAAGCCTGTTGGGCTTCATAGGGGTCATATCCGTTTTCATTACCAATAATACAACCAAGACATTACCGACTCGAGATGCTGTCTAAGATTAGGTATAAGAGTGTTGTCCTTCGCCGTCGGAGTCATTCCAAGAGGCGAGAAGAGACTGAGGAGTAAAAAAAAAGCATGAGACTGCGCGGAAGAAATCCTCTGAGCCCGGAGACGCACCGATTGACGTCGGTGGCATGTCTCGGTACTTGGTAATACGGGGGCAATGCATACGACGCAGGAGGTGAAGATCCAAGCCAGAAGTGGACATACGCAAGGGACGACATATTGGCTCTATGCTCTATTCATGTGTTGAGCTCCCTCAATTTTAACCTCATCAAATTGGCTATCCTTGAATGCTCGCCCCTTAGCCAGAGGTGTAAACTTTGATACAGTCTATCAACGCTGCCAAAATTGGATTCATCCGTCTGACACTGGCCGCCCGAGTTGAGTGACGTAAATTGATCAATCAGGCGGCCGGCCCTTCCCATCTCGCCGGATAATAACTGGATCTTCAATGCCGTCTGGATACGTGGGTCGTCCACGTTGAAACTCCCTATAGCCATCTTGGCAGGCGCAACAGCCAGCCCCGTCGTGTACGGAGCGGTTGTAGCTGTATCTTCTGCGCCACCCATACCAAGCGAGCAGTCTGGCCGGACATGACTCCATGAGGCGCCATGTGTGTAGCCAGCAGCTTGCTGGTACCATAGTAGGACCCGGGATATGATTGATGCATAGAGAAACGCAAGATGCGGCGATCGAGCACAGGAGCAGGTCAGAAGAGGACCGAGCCGCTCGCTGGCCTCGGAGCTGAGGCGTAGCACGTGGTCCAAGGGTACTTGATTACCAACACTGCTTGTCGCCGAGGCTGGTGTTGTTCCTGGTGATGAGGTAGAGTGAATGTTGTTAAGATTGGGGAAAGACAGGTGTCGTAGGATATCGTATGCCTCCCGAGGGCAGTCGTGGCCGCTGATGCCTGCAGACGGCATTGCGGTTCTGCCAGAGTGTGAATTCGTGTCGGATGGGGATTGATGTGCGGTGGGCTGGGCCGTGAACGCCTCGGTTGATGGATAACTCCCCCAGTCAGTCGACTCCGGGGTTGGAAATGGCCCGGGATGCATATTAGGGGATAAGTGGTTGTTGAAGTGATCTGTCAAGGCCCATTTACCAAGATTGAGAGAAGGGGAAGTAGGCAGAAATTGCTCGTTCAGGTCGTTGAACAAGCTGTCCAATGCATCCAGGCCTATGCAGTTGGTGTTCTCATCTATCGCATCCCAGGCTGCGATTACGTCAGTAATGCTTGGGAGCGGATCGAACGTCGCAATTAATATACCATCGCTGGAACTGCTGCTGTCGAGCTGGCGCACATCTGCAACGCCGGCACCAGCTCCGGCTTGATCGCCCGGGGTCCGACTTAAGCTGGATCGAAGTTTCACTCGCGGCGGCTTCCCCATTTTCCGTGAAACCCCATAGACGCATGTCCTGCCATAAGAGACACAGCGTCCGCACTCGGGCTGGCCTCGGTCGCATTTCACCTTGGTCGCACCACATTGATCGCAGCTGGTTCGCAGTTTCGGCTGCCCTGGTCGTTTCGGCGGATTAGCAGGCATGGCGAGAGTACGACAAAGAATGGCGAGCGATTGGGATGACGCAAGTGTCCCGGAGCATCCCTATTCAATATATATCCTCGTTCAGATACCATTATTCAACCGCTTCTGCATAGCATATCGTCAGATGTCAGGTTCTTTCCAGCGGACCAATCTGGCGTGCCGCTGACTCTGACGCATGTACCATCAAACCAGTGCCGCTTACTCCGGTTTCCATATGCCTACACCTTAATCCTACCCGTCTCCATCGTGGCTTGTCTAGTGTGCGGCCACGGGTCGATTGTTGGTCGCCCTCCCCCTCGGGCGGCCGCCGACCAACATCTCACTTGCGGTCTAAGCATGTACTTACAACACCACACCACCAACGCCAATACCACCAACGCCACAGCCTTTTATTCCTCCTTTCGCCCATACGATGTCTCAAACTTTAAAGACGGATTACCCACATCGGAATATCGGATTGCCGCACCGTACCGGATCGGATCCGGGAACGCCCCCTCCTCCGCTCGTACAAGGAATTATAATAGCTGCCCATCGTCAGTGTGACAGATCGTTTCCGTCATGTGGCATCTCATTTCTGTTCAGAGACGCAAGTCACCGGCTTCCTGTCAACTCCTCTGGGACAATTTCTTTGGCATCAGCCGCGCGCTCTTTCAGACACTCACCCTCCTCTATTATACAGTAGCCCTCCGACATCGTACCGAGCCACCCTGGTCCTTGTCAACTATTACGTTAAGCTGCGCGACATTGGCAGCTGGCACTGATTGGCGTGTCGCAGCTCAGACCGTCAGAGTCGTCTTTTACGATATGAATACGAAATCCCCCCGGTCGGGGTGGGGCATGGCTTATGCACCTGGGACGGGCCCAGTTGGCGCTTCCACCCATGACAGCATCGCAGATCCTCATCGAGTAAGCGTCCTGACTTTCAGACTTCATTCTGACGCCCAGCATCGTTACTGTGCATTGTCTCAGCGGCCGCCGCGACCAAACCTGGACGGCGACCAATGGCGCCCACTGGCTCCTGCAAGCTTCGATTAACTTACGATTGCGACTCGCTCCCCAGCCCGTGACAGCAACCTCGCTGACTTCCACGATCACCCAACAAAACGCACCGTCAAGCCCATCCGTATCTCTCACGGACGACTATCGATGGCTACAAGCATCTTTTTGTGGGACGTCGACACGGGTTGCTGCCACCTCTACTAGTTTTCAAGCTCAAACTGTTTGGTGTGGCGGTCGCCCTAAATTGGCATGCTGTGTTGCAATGGCGGAGAAGGGAGCTGGCGCAAGGTATGTGAATAGGCCAACTGCTGATGAAAGATTGCGCAGCGATACTGGGCGGGAATATGTTGTTCTTATTGTTATTTCCTTTTTGTTAATCAAAAGACCTTGAGGCTTCATACATATACGTATATCTTCATCGAGTGGTCCCTTCTAAGACTTGAGTCCTAGAAAGTCCTACATCTAGGACGTTGAACCTTAACCTTAACCTTAATCCTGAAGTTGAGGGGGCTCTTAGTTCTTCCAACACTGAAGGATCCCGAGTACCATAAAACGCAAATTATCATGACAACTGCTATAGACCAGTAGGAAACGACTGCACCAATAGAATTGCAAGATGGAATTAAGTATTCTTACCAAGTTTTGCATGCATTAAATCACAAGTAATGGGGAAATTGGAGATCGTCGGTTACCAAATGTCCTGCTAGCGCCCCTTTCATCCCCCACGCATTTGAGTCGTCGGTTGCAAGACATATTGTGAGGATTTCAGGAGTATTACGTATCCTGCGACTGCGGGTAGTAGAATTCGCTCGATTCAAAACTACCACCAAAGCCGGATAGGTCTAATGAGGAGAGACTTCTCATCCTAGATGGGCCAGCCCCTCACAGTTCCGTAGCAAACATTGTGGTGATTGGCTGCTTTGCGCATTGAGGTGCCTTCAGTAACCTCTTGAATAGCCAATTGAAGGTCATTTTCAGTGTAATTGGGCATGCTGAATAGCCCAAAGAGGTTGAATTGCCCAATGAGGTGTTGTGGAAGGAAGAAACGCGTGTGGCCAGAGACGCGTTGTGGTCAACGCGGCTTAAAGTGGGCCGGTCAACTAGTGGTTTGGTCAACTACTAGGGTAGCTGACTTATGCTACCTGCCAAGCGTTATAGTTCCAGCCACGTCCAGATTTTTGACATCTCGAGGCGTGCGCCTTTCTCCGTCTTCATGTCACATGGATTTGTCATACCTTGTTAACTAAGAAAATTCGGAACAATCTGGACATGCAAAGGATGCTCGCTTTAATCAGGCACCATGTTTGGTGATTGTTTAAATATCTGCCACATTATTGTACTGTACTCAGGTTGCAAGTGTTTCTTCAAAGTCGGTTAAACAATTATTCAGGGTTGCATGCTTTAAGCAGGGTATTCCAAATACGACGAAAGTGTTCGTGCTCCAGTCTCGTTAGCTAGAGTATAACGAGCACATCAGCAATTCACCGTACAAAGCCTTCCATCATAACAGCCGGGCGGTTATATGTGGCAAACTCTTCAGCGGATAGCGGTGGTAACTCGATCTCTTGGAAGCTACTGGGAAGAAATTGTCCCATGTTGTCATTCTCCAGTGGCGACTGCTGTTGAAGAGGGTTCTCATTCCATCCATCCATCATAAACAATTTGGTTAAAACGAAAATCCATTAAACACCATAAAACTGAGGTATTCGGAAAGAACTGTGTTACGGTAATCCTGCCTTTATTTCAGCTTCATTAGAAAGTGAGAATAGTCTGAGCTTTCCAGTTCGGCAGGCTCACATCAATTTGATTCGTAAAATCTGACAAGGTTTTAGTCAATGTGGAAATGCCAAGGATCCCTAAGTATGTGGGGACTTGGAATACGAAGGGATACATTCGAGGAGCATTTGAAAAACGCACCACCCTGCTTATCAAGCATACTAACTGCGGCTACCATTGAGGGTGGATGCTCATACCACTATGCCCCGCAAAATCGGCATACAATTGAGAGTGCTATTATCTCGGAGTGATATATGCACACAGAAAAATCGTACTCTCCTCTTGTCAAGTTCTTCTTCGTCTTCTAAGTCTGTCAGGTCAAGTTCTAGCCTTAGCCTTTATTATAGTGTTTGCAATATATCCCCTCTTGTCTCATAACTTCGTTAACATTTGCTGTGGCAGCTGCTCGCGAGGTTCAAAAGAGGTCCATATAGTCTGAGCTCCTTGGCCTCGTATAATCATGTGCTTGTCGCTCCATTTGACTAGCCCCTAGTTGATATCTTGATGTCGCCTTACCCATTACAACTGCTAGCATGAATAGGTAACATGAGAGGTCGTTGTTTTTTCCTACCCCATTTACGTAAAATCGATTATCGAGCGCGTTTTTACAGACATGACGTGGGTATCCAACTCGAAAGCTTGGGCTGTTGAATTCAGGGTGGTCATCAATTCAATCCACTGACGCCTCCGGTGGACGAAAGATCAACATGTGAACCGTGCGAGCGTGCACGTAACCATATAACAGACCGTGCCACCCCTGTTTCAACTCAATCGACGCCCCAGATTGAATTGATGACCACCCTGGTTGAATTCCCAAGTTATTCACTCTCACTTATAGTGATTTTCGGATAATGTGTAGTGTAAAACCGCACTAGAGTACCACTGACGGACAAGTAGGGCCTCTGTTGCGTCCAGTCAACTCGATCGAACGGAAGCGGATCGCTCTGGTACCGTCCAACCTGTTAAATCTAGGTAGCTAGGAAACATCTAGCATATTCTATGACGATGAAATCACAAGTTCATCCAAATACCTGCTGAGTCATTAGTACGTAGCGGCATGGATCTCTCAGGCACGATGATGTTCTGATATCAACGCACGTCACTCATCGGTGTCACCTTTGCTCAGCTAGATGAGTCTATTACCGGTAGCTCGCCCAACTAGACGGTTAATGCAAGCGTCACACATGTCGACGCTCACTGAGCACGATGGCCAGTCGTACCCAACGGGCACATTTTCTTTGTTGCATGTTAATGAGTCTATTTCATGCATCATGATGAAAATTGACGTTCGCGTTGAAAAATATGTCTGACATGAGGTATTAATAAAGGTGAGATCAGTCAAAGGGAAGTGGATGAGATGCATCTCCAATGTCTCAACGTCTTCGTAATTTATCTCGGCAATTGTGATGTTTGCTCTGAGGCAAGAAACCATCAGATTGTCGCCATCGGGCGGGATGTAAACAGAGGGGTAATTTCAATTGCTTCACTGTCATGCAAGCTCATGCATTATAAGATTGGCTAATAGAGTTTCAGCCGGAGAGCCAAGCTGCCGACACGAGGTGGTGCGGGCACCAATTGCGTCCATCTCGATGTGGCGATGTCAGCCACGGCATGCATCACAAGCAATCAAGTGCCTGCACTATGCTTTTCTGGAGTAGGGTAGCAAAGTCTAGTCTCTGGTTCCTTGCTAGAAACTACCGACAGGCTTCCATCGCTCCCTCGAGGTTGTATTCTCAGCTGATGGCGTTTTGATGGCGTTTTGATGGCGATTTGATGCCGTTCGGCTAGGTCGGATACCAAGAACGGAAGCTACTCGGGTCTAGCACGAAACCTCCACGTTTGCTACCATCAGGAGATCAAACTCACTTCCCAATATAGCCGTTCTCGGCCGGAAATATTCCAGTTCGTAGGCTCGAGTGCTTTATATAGTGACCAATAGCTATGCGGCGATGAAATCACCTAGTCTCACCTAAGCCTAGCAGAATCCCGGTTGCAGCTTCCAGACGGATTCCCTGTGAGATCTGAGAATTTAAAATTGTCGCGAAAGTGGATTGAGATATTGCAGATGCCGTCATGACGATTGGTATATCCCCGTTTGCCGAACAACAGATCCACTAAGCCCGCAACGTAGAACTCAAGCATAGTTTCGGAGCTGACGACCACATAGCCGTCTAAAAAAAGAAACTCGCATGGAATTGATTGTGCTTCTGCACGATCTGCTAGTAGCATGAATAAGAAAAGGTCTCGGCGAAAGTCAACGAGGCCCAGTCAGAATTCAGCTCAAAAACATTCAGTGCAACATCGTGCATCCAAAATGACGAGTTAATGATGATGTGAGACCTGGCCAAAAGGCGGAATTTCTCTAGCCTAGACCACACACAGGAATGGCCACGTCATGTCATTTATCCTTTGCAGATGCCGAGATGGCTTTGAGGTGTATCATCTGCCGGAGCCGGCAACACGCGTCTTGGCTTCGGTGTTCGACTTGGTGAAGGCTAACAAGGAATTCATGTAATCTTGAGACCAGATTTGGGAGGCATGGCGACATGAAACAACTCAAGTCATCCGGCTTTGTAATGGGAGAGCGTCTGTGAATAAAGCTGAGGCCTTCCCCCTCATCTTCAAGAATGAATCTTCATCTCTATCTCCCAGCTCATACAGATAGAATCAACTTTGACTTCTCCTGACAACCGCTATCTTCTCTTAGTATACCTCTTGGACGAACCCTTTGCAATTCCTACTTCCTCAAACATCCTCTCACCCATTGACGTCAAAATGAAGCTCTCCCTCATCGCCCTCATTGCCGCTGCTGCCCCGGCCATTCTGGCCGCCCCTGCCCCTGAGGCTGAGCCAGGTGCTCCAGCCAAGTACGGCGACCATTATCCTCCCAAGGGCGGATACGGTCGCTACGGTGACAAGGGTGGGAAGCATAAGGGCAAGGGAGATGACGACGATGACGACGACAAGTACGACGACAAGTACGGCTATCCTTCCAAGGGCGGAGACAAAGGCCACTACAACAAAGATCGCCGTGGCAATGATTATGGAGGTTATGGGGACGACAAGGGCAAGGGCCATGGAGGTTATGGGGACGACAAGAGCAAGGGGCATGGAGGTCATGGGGACGACAAGAGCAAGGGGCATGGAGGGGACGACAAGGGACACGGCAAGGACCATTGGAAGGACCACGACAAGGGCTACGGCAAGGGCTACTAGGCCACTGGCTTTCAGGTCCAATCTTGGCTCCGAACCGGTCTCTGTGGGAGACGATTTAGGATTGGGTATGAGAAAGCGACGAATGGTGAATATAAGCCTGACTGGCGACGAGGTATCGAGAAGGGAATTAACGTGGATGAAGAGCTCGAGTTCATGTTTTATGTTTGGAAGTATTGACACACTCCTTCATGCTATGCGAAGGCATCGGAACGATGTCATAGTTGACAAGCCAAAACTGGCCTGAAAAATATTAAATACAATGTCTGTCCTTTACGAGACTTTATGAAACTTTTAGATCTCTTATATTTTACTATAAGAAGTACAAGTAAGTCTGTGAAGGAAATTACTGTACTGATTCCAGAGGTGTTGGAGATCAGCAATAGAACTCCCAGCCGTTAGGCCAAAAGAGGAACCAGTATCCGCACAATGTGCGGGTACTGCACCTCACATCTCTATATCAGGCTCCGGAGGTCCAGCGCTGATGGCAAGGACCCGACCCGCGTAATATCCTTACAATTACAATATGAAGTTATACTCCAATGAAACGTTAGATAGCTCTTGTAGTCCGAATATGTAGAAACTTATCATATGTGACTTGATCCCGTCCTATGTCTTCACGTAGTGTTCGAAGAACATGGACACTTCCCGGTGGAAGAAGATTGCCGAGCGGAGGGGATTCGATATCGCCAGCCGTGTCCGCTTGTATGCCAGGTCGAGGCTCGTCAGGAAAGCCTCAGCCTCGTCCGGATCCCGCGTCCGATACGCAGCGAGCCTCAGCTTGACCGGGTTTGTGATATCGTTCGGGTCAGAAACCTATAGGGCAGATAACGGGAGGCACATCATCAGCTGCTCTATCACATGCTCCTTATCCGCCGCCTGTGTATGGCCAGAGATTAGAACTCGATGCTTCTGTTCTGTTTGTAGCTTGTGCGTTGCGTCATCACTGAGCAAGCGTGTTCTACATGACCAATAATTATGTTCATACGAACATATAATATCTCAGCAGTGACATTTCCCTGCGTGTTCTAATACATATAAAGGAAAGTCGATTATATAGTTCACCAATGTGATCTAATCCTGATGAAGCAAGGCCGAACTATATAGAGTTGGGGTGAAAACGAGCGGGGTTCCCCCCCAACCCTTCCCCCCCTCCCCCAACCCTTCCCCCCTCCAACTCTTCTCCCTCCATGATTTTGGCTGTGATAAATATTTGCAGAGAACAAAATGCCAACCGCCTCTCACGTCTGTAGCAGGTGTGGAGAGCCTTGGACTTCAGGCCTATCTGGAACATATCGCACGTGCCCACGATGTCGAAAGGCGGATGCAGTTCGCAGAGAACGAAGGAAACGCGCACGCCAGGGTGATGGGATACGTCGCTGTACCAGTTGTCTTAGACCCTGGAACTCAACACTCTTCCGTCTGACGCCGAGGAGCTGATCGATGCCGCGCTGTCACAGGGCCGGTACGATTGCTTGGCCCTCTTGCTCAACAAATCCAGTCCCGTTCGGAAGGCTGTAACTCTGGGGAACATCACAAGGACGAGACAGTCACTGGATCAACAGAAAGATATCGTGCAGAGGGGAGACAAGTGGACCCCAACAAAAATCTGGGGGTTCCAAATTGGAACGGATTTACCAAATACATTCAACGCAAAGGATGCTTCAGAGGTCGCGAAGCTCCTAGACGAGATCGGTCGTGATCTGAAGCTCTGGGCACCTTTCAGAATCCTGGTGAAGAGCCTGAAGATCTCGATGTTCTTCGCTACCGGTGTGGTAGTGTGGTACGAAATCTTCTCTCGCCGGTCTTTTCATGTTGCAAAGAATTGGTGGTCTGGCTTGCGTTATGTTTTGTAGATGTGTCGTGGCCTGGTTGTAACTGTATCTCATAACTGTATCTCAGAAACCGATGCATCTTCTGCGACAAGGCCGGCTGCAGTCCGAGGTCCCCGGCACGGAGCACGCCCCGCTCAATTGACTACAGGAAGGGCTAATTGAGCCATTAATAGCCGAATGACGAAGAAGAACAAGATCGAATGGATTTAGTCCATCACATATATATATACCCTTATGCTTGATGGACAGCTTCAGCTAGCTCCTATTGGTAAAAATCTTCAGCGCGTGCTTGACCTTGGTACCGGGACCGGTATCTGGGCGATGGCTTTTGCAGAGTGAGTTTCCAGTCCTGGTGGTGATTTATTCCAAGATCCTTTCTTAACAACCCTGGGTATTAGTGATTATCCGTCCGCAGAAGTGCTCGGGACCGATCTGAGTCCTATACAACCCAAATGGTATAAATATTCCCTTCTACTTTGCTGGATCCTATTAACAACCATGATGCAGGACTCCGCCCAATTGCTTCTTTGAAGTTGATGATTATGAAGAAGACTGGGTATATCGCAAACCCCTCATGGCCAGTTGGACATAGACGTCCAAAGCGAGACTCGGGCAAATGATATGTACGAACATTGGTCTTGGTCATTGAGAGTGATATTGACAGTAGAGGTAGGTATAAAGTATCGAAAGGAGCATCGAACGATAGCTAAACGTGTCCGCATTTCTTTCCGTGCTTTGGTGGGCACATGAATATCGAGTCTGCAGGTGATCCAAAGATGGCTTCATCCCCAAAGTAAAATGCGTTGTAATCCTTATCAACGCACTTGCCGCCACCCGTGGGACCCACATGTGCACAGTGAATCTAGATGGCCAAAGTCAAGTAAACGCAGTCTTCAATATCAAGGAACGTAAAACAACTTACATCTAGACAACTTAAAGTCAAGATGACATGAATCTGCCGGCAAGCAACGGTGTTGCTAGTCGCGTAATCGAAGGTACCGAAGGGGATTGTTTCCAAAAATCCCAGGCATTCCTCCGGACTGCTCACTGATTGTTAGCTTCAATGTTCTATCCCATCTCCGCCTCTATGCCTCTGTTGTAGCGAATTAGGATTTTGCCAACCCACCTGTTCCACTGCGCATTAGGCCCCACGCATCGCTGCATGGCTAGGCCACAAATTGCCTGCTTGAAGCCGGCTTGGACAGCTAGATTGGACAGCGGTGCTCCGAGATTCATTTCGACGAATGCCTGGAGATTTGGGATCCAGGCGTCGTAGTGAGTGACTTCTCCTTTATCATTGAAGCGCCAGAATGCCACCTGGAAACCATTTTAGACATCATATCCCAAACTCATCCATCGATGGGAGGGATGAAAGTGTTAACAGCTGACTCACCTGTTTGAGGTACGTAACAAACTGAACGGGTACTGTAGGGTTTGCAATATCAACGCTTGAGACCTTCAAGTATACCGTCGACGTCGCAACCTCCGGACATCCAGAATTGAACTCCACGATTTTCGCCTCAGAGAAGATGGTAGGATTCTGTTCACCGGGGACGGGGGCCAGTCCGACGAAGTACTCGATCGAGCCAACGAGGTCGTCGAAGGCCCCGACTGGCGTGACGCGGCCGGAGATGTCGTTGGCGAAGAGCCCTGGCGGGAAGGTCGATGTGCCTTGTGTTATAATAGGGACATTATCTGGAGCAGTATGTTAGTAGAACGTTGAAGTGTGATTTATCCTGTCTAATGAGCATGGAATGTATCAGTGCTCCTAATAGTGTAAATAGTGCGTGTGGACACCCCAAACTGCTCCTTTAGTGCGTGTGACTGGGCGACACTAAACCACCAGTGCGTTGAAACGACCACACTAAACTACCAGTGTGCCTGCAAGGCCCACACTGCACTGTTAGTTCGTCTGTCACTTTCACACTAAACCATAGTGCAAATCATGGTCTGCACTATTAGTGTAAAATTCAAAGACTACTTGAGGCCGTTCCCCGTATATACTCTCAGTGCTCCGAATTGGCGGTTCAAATGGGCTAGGCTGCCTGGACCGCTTGGACCGCCTGTCATCCAGCGTTTTCAGTGGAGCAACAGCACAGTTGGTGAGCCTATATGGACGTGAAAACGCGCCAAAATCTAGACCCCCACTTCAATTTCCCAATTAGGCTCGCCTCAATGACCGCTGACCCGTGCGCACAATCATCTCGCACTAATAGTGAGACTGGTAGTCTGCGACTCCAGCACTGAACTACTGGTCCGTCTGATCGAGTCACACTGAACTACCAGTGTAGTGTGAGAGTCCTGCACTGAACCATCAGTGTAGAGCGAGAGACGTAAACTGAACTAGTAGTCCATGCACTAATAGTCTGCACTGCAGTGTGAACTAATAGTCCAGTTAATAGTGCGCACTATTAGGAGCACTGACCTACCCAGACGGAGCCGCATGCCCGACGATCCTCCCTCCAAGCTCTTTGGGAATCACATGTCGCCGAATATTATAAAGCCCGTAGCTTAGTCCCCGCAGGGTTTCCCTTGCCAAATCCCCGAGTCTAGACCTAGAGGTAGGATTCAAACCCTTGCGGCTCTTTTGTCATGCTAGTAGTCCACGGTCGCATCTGCTCAGAGCGCAATAGAGATGCGTCCCAACGTCGTATGACGCATACGTACCGATCTTGGACCCTTGGACAAACATCTGTATCGGCATCCGGAGTTCGCCTTGGCGATCGTCCCGGCGGATGGGTTTGGGTGCGTGCGTAATTACGTGTATTTTTGTTCCCTCAAGTGGTTCATCGTCATGGGGACCTGGCTGTGTCTCAGAAAATCTTGTAGGAGGAACCCTGGCTTGATCGCACTAACCGGTCGGACTGCCGGACCCATAGACCGCCGGGTAATCCTTAACAGGAAAAGCTCCCCTTGTCGTGGTCTTCTGCTGACAATAAGCTGCTGATGATTGGTTGAAACCCGATGTGGCTTAAAGGGCCAGAACTTGAGCCATCGTTGGATCGGCGATTCGGACCCCCGGCCGCACATCACCACGTAATATTCCTCGTGACTTGGTGATGGCCTTTGTAATCAGCCCATGCTTGCATCAAGGGGTGGCTGCCACTAAGTTGCTGCCAAACAGGCTTATCCCAGCATCCAGAAATACTTCAACTCAAAGATTATATCAAGTCCCTGAAGAATCATGGTTCTCGCCCATCAGGCCATCCCACAAGTACTCGATTCTCTAGACACTCAGTGCAAAAATCACTATTGAGGTCACACCGACCTATCTCTCGCGCAAAAATGGACGCTACGATATGTCCTTCGGACCTGGTCCTATCCTGTCGCACAAGCGAAAATGTAGGTACCATGGATCCTCTTTGTCTCTGAATCCACTCGGCGTACAAATCAACCCTACCCAATCTCATCCTTCCCCCCAGCATCCTGCTCCACATTTCCCCAAAAGTCGAAATCCCTGTGGGCTCTCTCGCATAATTTTCCGCGAGACAACGCATAAGGTATCCAGATCGCTGGAACAAACCGTGGGGCATTGTCATCTTTGAAATTAAGAACATGCTCATCGTTTGTTAGGCTACGGCGTCAGAAATTGGTCACTTTCCGTATGCGTGGGATCAATCCATCCCCAGATCCGACAATTACTATAAAAAGGCACCATTTTACGAGAACTACTATGGGAAGGGCCCCGCGGGGCTTTGTTTCAATGACTCTGCACTGTCGCCTTTCCAGAGCACAGCCGTTTCCTCTCTAGAATCTGACCGCATCTCATCACCCATTCTGGATGCAGAGATGGCACTGAATTTCTGTATGTCATACCAAAGCTACTCGCAACTCGCAGTCGTGACTAAACCCAATGGACGTAGGGGATGTGTCAATGGATATTATGGAGTCTATTCCTTGGGATCTCAGTCTAGGTCAACCATTGTATGGTGGTCTTCCCACCTTAGACCTGTCCCAAGATGTTCAAACTGCTTCCGATTATACCCACACAACAGCCTACCGACAAATTTCAGAAGCATTTTCTCTCAGTGGCAAGAGGGGAGAAAGAGAGTCAACGAGGAGCTTAGTCGGTGACGACAAAGGGGGCACCCGCAAACTTCCGACTGCGTCCCGAAAGTCCAAGAATTCAGGTGGGAAGAACCGATCGCTAGCATCTGAAAAGGAAGACCACCAAATCACGTTTGCGCAGAAACACGCCCGGGACTGTCACAACAGGGCCGAGAAGCAGTACCGCGACAGACTCAACTCGCGATTCACAACTCTGCTAAACATGATTCCCATTACCTCACAGACTGACAGCGAGGAGAGCGGCTCTGTCAGCACTGATGGGTCCGTTGACATGCGAAGCAAGGCCCGCAATGACAGCCGAGGAGTTAGTAGGGGCGAGATTCTAGACGCGGCGAGACAATACATTCAGACGTTGGAACGAGAGGAGGAAGTGCTTCAGCGAGAGAGGGAGCAGCTACTGAGAAGGATGCATAAAATTTACCCTAGCAAATGAAATGCATCTTGGCTTGCAGATAATAGAATTAAGGAGACATAATGCGCAGCGAGCTTGTTTGTTTGATCGTAACTGTACTCCCGCGAGCCAAATCCGATTGGTCCGACACTCTCACCCCAATCAATCGCCGCTTCTGCGTGCTGCTCCCCACACACTCACTCACTACCACACTTGCACGGCACGGAGATCCCATTGCGATTCAGTGTCCATTTTTCATCTTAACTATCCGTCGCGGTCAGTGTGGGGAATCTATCTACCGAAGTAGATGAAATGTAGATGTAGATAGATGTAGACTACATCTATCTATCTACTGCTGGCCCTTGTGGGTCATCTATCTATCTGGCCGCCAGGTACAGAGGAGCCTTTCAAAAGTCTCTGCTCACGCTAAGGACACTAGCGTCACGGGAAAGAGCAGGGTCCCACCCAAAATGTATAGTAGGATTCCCAATGTACCTACCGCTGTGTCCGACTTTCCTTGTATTCATTTCCTCCTTCCAACTCAATGATTTTTTTAATATGATGAGGGATGCGCTCAATCCAAGCCTGAATAGCTTCCTGCGGAAGCTCCTTCCAAGCTGCTTTCCAAGCTTTGACTGCCTCATGCCTTGACTTTGGGGCTCCTTTCCTTGTAGTCCGTCTCTTTATCCATGGCCAAGCCGGCTCAATAGGATTGAGGTCCGGGGAATTCCCACACCATAGCAGCCGGCTGATGCTATTCGCATCATAACATTGTTGCTGTATATAGTGGCTGTGAGCAGGAGCCTTATCTTCTTGGACCAAAGTGCCCGGGCGGTCCTTGGTACATTCCAAAGCAAAAGGAAACATCTTAGGGATCAGGATTGTCTTCTGATAGCGATACCAGTCAATACCGCCCTTGGACCCTCTCGTCAGCTTTCCGGACTTCTTATTCCATCGCCAGATTGGCTTCGGGCCGGGTAGTTGATGTAGATGTAATCGTCGTATTCCATTTGAAATTTCCCACTCTTCTCGCATAACAGCTTCAAGATCCTCATTCATTTTATTAATGATTTTTTCGGCTTCCTTCTTTTCGGCAGCAGTCTCTGGACCCCAACAGTGGCAGGGGCCCTTCTTATCATAGGAAAAGGCGCCCCAGAACATAAATTCAGATGCATCTTTCCATCGCTCCCGGATACAACTTCGAACAAATGCCTCATCGGCTTTTCGCCATACGCGATAGCTTCCTCGTCGATGGAGCAGGATAACAGAGGTCTCGTCAGACCAAATGACATTCTTCCAGTCCTCTAGGGTCCAGTGCTGGTGTTCAAGACACCAAGCCAGACGTGCCTCCCTCATCTTCTTCGTCAATCCAGGTTTCCTCGTTGGCTTTGTCTTTCGGAATCCAGCTTTCTTCAGTATTCGCCATACAGTGACGGCCGAGATCTCGATCCCATCGCTGCTCAGTTCGCCCGCAATATCAGCACACGTCTTTTCCCTGCCAAATCGATCGCGGCGAACCTTGGCGATGATCTCTATTCGTGCCTCGTCCGTCTGCTTCTTGGGACGCCCGGAGCGGTGCGCATCACGAAGGAATTCGTCATGGAGGGTCATCGGTCGGTGGTTGGGATCGAATCCGCGGGAAATAGCGCGTGCGTAGATGTCATTGATTGTACGGGGCGAAAGACCTGTTATCTCTGCAACTTCAGCTGTTGTTTTCCCGCCCGATGGGCTCTTGAAGACGACCACAAGAGCCCGGGTTGCAATATCGGTATTTTGACGCATTTTGGCGGTCAAGATGAGGGGAAAACAGGAAAAGTGAAAGAGGGGTGAGGTACCTAAGAATTTGGCTGGGTACATTCGCTTTCGGCACGATCCCTGTTTGTGGCTGACCTTAGCGTCCACGCGAGCAGAGACTTTTGAAAGGCTCCTCTGTAGATAGATGAAATGTAGGGTAGACGCCAGCCACAAACTACCTAAGGTAGAGGTACCTCGACATGCTGGTATGTTCCCAGCGTACTGAAGTACTAGTACCCCCCTCCTTGTATTTTTGCTTTTGTTCATGACCTATCTTTTTTTTTCTTTTTGCCCCCTGTCTTCGCCAAACCGTAGACAGATTTTGTGGTTAACATCATGCAGGCGCAAGCTTTGCTCGTCGTGCGAAGTATTCCGGGCTCATTGAGCCTGATCTTTGCCTCAAAACGACTTTCATAATCCCCCCGATTCGTTTCAAGACGAGCTATTGTCGTATTCGACCTACGAGAAAGAACCGATTGCAGATGAGTTCCAACGATGGTTAACTACAAGGCAATTGATAGGGGTGCTGCACCATTTTGATAGGGGTGCCGCAAGCTTACGGGTGCCGCACTTTTTGCGCTTCTCATTGGTCCAACTCCCACCTGTTAGTGCACCTTTACGCGCCAGAATTCTGCCGCATTCTTGCCAGCTGGTTGACAATTCGCGTCACATCGCGGTATCTCGGTCATCGCCATTATTTCTCTCAACGCCCGACGAGTACAATACGCCTATCAACACGGCCACACTGAAACCGAGCACAACCAATCGTAGAAAGAACCTCTGGATAATGACGTTATCCCTGTTTAACATTACGTGACCACATATTCCCGGCATTACCAATCCTGCGATGGTCTGTCCAGGCGACCTGACTATAAGAAGGAGCAGCTCTACAATGCCTTCACCTGATGCCGCTGCCGCCAACATAAGCCGTCGCAGAAGTCCAATTAGCACGATCAATCCCCCTAGTCAAACGCCATCGCGGCCTTCGTCGAGCAACTCAGACCAGTCGTCAGGCAGTTCAACGGCCAGCCTCGAAATATGTCGATATGGTACGGAAGGTATGGGCGGCGTGCCTGCAGGATGGCTCAACCAGCATTTTTACTCTCTGCCTGGACTTCACGATTCGATCGGCAAGGATATTCCAGGTGTTCAGTGGCGAAAATCAGACATATCCCTCCGGAACAATTATCGCACCTCCCAGTATCGACCAAGCCAACCGTTCCAACACGTTGACACACTGATACCAGACCCGGCCAAGACCATACGGGAGAGGCAGTGTGCCAATCAACAGAGCCGAGACGAGCGTATAACGCGAGCTGTAACGAGAATGACGATCCTCCCGACTGCCTTAGGATTGGCTCGCCAGCTCGTACAAACAGACCGGCACCTCGCCTCTGCACTTGCCTTGGCCCACGAAAGGAACCTTGCCTGGGCCGAACAAAGCCGTCAAGAGCAACAAGGCCGAGTGACTTTTTCACAGCCAGTCACAAGCCCTGTTCAGGTCTCATTGCTTCCGGAGGTGCCTGCCCAGGGCGAGGAGCAGTGTGAGCAGCACGGACTGTCCGATGCCAGCTCGAGATCCAACGCTATCGAAACAATCTCAAACCCACCAATTCCTGGCGATCCAGCTCCGTCGGTTGACGCCCTTTTTGCTAGGGTCAACAGTTTTGCGAAAACCCATGGCTTTGGTGTTATCAAGGCGCATGGTATGATTCGACCTGGACAGCGAAGTCGATATGTCTTCCAATGCGATCGGTACGGGGTTCCCCGGCCAGGAAGGGGTGCTGGCCTTCGGAAACGAAAGTCTCGAAAGTCGGGGTGCCTATGGAAGATTATTGCCGAGGCCCTGCCAGAGAACGGCTTCCAGTGGACTCTACGGCACTTCCCAGATGCGGAACACCACGACCATAACCATAACCCTAGTACCGATGCCGCCGCCCATCCAGTTCATCGACGACTTACTAGCCCTGTCAAGGCGACCATCCAGTCTTCCAGTCGACGGATTGGCATTCGTGCACGAGACATTGGTGGTATGGTCCGAGGTCACTTCCCAGATTCGGTTTACACCCAGAGAGATATCTACAATGCCAGAGCTCGGATTAACAGAGATAATCTGGGTGGCTACAGCTCTACGGCTGCATTGATCAAGTTGTTCGACGACAAGGAGATCCCTTACGTTGCCAAGTGGGCCAGGGACGAACCCGACCGCCTGGTGGGGTTGGTTTGGACGTTCCCTTACTCTATCCGGATGTGGAAGCGTTTCCCCGAGGTCATCAGTTTCGACAACACATACAACACGAACCGCTTCAAGTTGCCCCTCTTCCAAGTTACGGGACAGACCTGCTTGGGTACTGTCTTTAACGCCGCATTCGGGTTGATTGACAACGAGAGGCTTGAAGGGTTCCAGTTCCTTGCAAACGGTGTACGCACGCTCCTCGACCGATACAGCGTCCGATCCCCCGACGTTGTCATTACCGACTTTGACGACCAGATGAAGAAGGCACTAGGGGTTGAGTTTCAAGACGCCCAGCAGCAACTTTGCATCCACCATATCAACTCCAATGTAATGCTGCAGTCCAAACGGAAGTGGGCGAATACTACGATGGACAGCAGTACTGGCGAAGAGAGTAGTTCGGATGAGCCCGATGCTACCCTCAGCCAGCGCGATCGACAGGCAGTACAGGCATCTAGAAGAGAAGAGGAGCCAATCACCCAAGACAATATGTCTCGGCCGATAACCCACGATTACCACGGAGTTCTTATGCTGTGGAGGCTGGTGCTGTTTGCCGAGACGGAAGAGGATCATGAGAAGGCCTGGGAATGCCTCTGTACGCAATTCGGTGACCAGAGAGCGATTCTCGCGTATCTGTATGGTATGTACATGCCTGTAAGGGCGCAGTGGGCCCGCTGCTTCATCCGGAAGTACCGCAACTTCGGCATTCGAGTGACCTCCGGTACAGAGGCCAGCAACAACAATATCAAGAGCTATCTCCTAAATGGCATGAGCCATTTGTATCGGCTTGTCGAGGCAATCCAAGGTATGCTGGAAGACCAGGAGAGGGAGTTTCGTCAAGCTTGTGCTCAGGACGAAGTGTTAACGGCGCGAGAGCACGTGGGGCGCGGCTCAGAGTATCTGGGCGAGCTTCCTAAGATAGTGTCTCAGAAGGCACTTTCTTTGATTACCAGGGAGCACCGCAAGGCATTGAAAGGCATCCCAACCCCGGCAAATCCGTGGCCGGGTCCCATAAGATCGTGTAACGACGATTGCACCGTGCCTATCGAGCTTGGTATCCCCTGTTATCATACCATCTACAGGAAGCTTATCACCGCAACGCCTCTGACCAAGTGGAATATCCATCCGCGGTGGCATCTACGAGAGCCTGTGAGCGAAGACATACATCGCCGGATCCTAGACCCAAAGATCGCTACCAATCTTCGTGGACGGCCAAAAAACAACCCCCAGCCTATACCGGCGAGTAAGCAGTTGGGCCCAGTAGTCAAACCCGGAGCCGTCGGGTTTCAGACAGTCAGCCTCAAAACAGTCAGCCAAAGCGCCGCGGCCGATCACCTAGAAGTCGAAACAAGACGACTCTGGCCCCCTTGGCGGGCGGGGCCAGCCAGGCACAAAACAGTCAGTCAAGCCAGGGAAGGACATTGCCTCTCGGGTCTGGGAAGACTACCGGAATACGGGCAAGTGGGTGCAGGACTCAACCGAGTGTACGAAGACAACGGTCTCAATGGGAGCTATTGAGCGATGAGGAGACAATGCTTTCTATCCAAACAAGATCTACAGCAGTTAAAGCTGCTACACGGGCTCCAAGCAAATGCAGCAAATGCCATACGGTTGGCCATACAATGACCTCAAAGGCATGCCCTTTGAGGTACTCAGAATGACCCTTGCAATCAGATTTTGCTTCGGAGCAGCCTCACGATCTACCGGTACCGCATTATTGGATTCAACCCCAAATCCAAAAGGGGTCCCGGAATCGAATTCCACGACAGCAGTATCAGCATCTCAACCTCTTGCTGAAGCTGCGCCACCGCCTCCTACGTCGCCTGTTCTTATGTCAGTACCTTCGCCCAATATACCTCCATGTTCACCGCCGAGGTACGATTCCGCACAAGCTATATATCAAAGATATGTTGCTGCAGGAAGCGCTTGGTATGAAGCGCAACCCCGTAGGTGACATCTGGAGGAGAATCGAAAGAGATCCTGAGGAACAAGAGCTCTACCGTAGGAGACTATAGATGTGCATACTTACCATCCACGGCCGTAGTCGCTAGGCCATTTGCTTCCATTCTATGCCTGTGATGACCCAGTTACTCCACGAAAACACCACCGTGACAGTGGCGGTGGTCCCTACAGTGTTAAGGCATAGTGGAGCGGACCAGCTCACCGCCTTGTGCGGGGTGGCCTGACGGGGCCGACGAGTCTTTGGACCAATGAGAAGCGCAAAAGTGCGGCACCCGTAAGCTTGCGGCACCCCTATCAAAATGGTGCAGCACCCCTATCAATTGCCAACTACAAAGCCAGACGTCTACACAAAGCATGATGACCCGCTTCAGTGCTGGCCTGCTAAGCGGTTTAAACATCCACGCGTGGCTAGAATGGCGATTGACATCTTATCAATCCCGGCGATGGCTGCTGAATATCAGCGGACTTTTTCCTCCGCAAGTACCATGGTATCCCCCAAACGGACTCGTCTAGACACAAGTACAATTTCTGTTGCTCAGACAGTCAGGTCATGGCTGAAAGCAGGGCTGTTGGAAGGATATAACGGGTTGTTGACGGAGATGGCCGATGATATAGTAGAGACAGTGGTTTAGTGGTTGTGGGGTTTTAGTAGATAGATGCCATCTACCTATATCTACATGTAGCCTACATCTATCTATCTATCTTGCAAGTCATGACTAAGCATCTACATCTATCTACTTGAGGCGTTGGTAGATAGATGTAGATAGATTCCCCACCCTGGTTCGGGTGGACACATAACCTCCGGTACGAGTGTCGGCCAAGCCACCACCTTCGGAACGGTCTCATCCACATCCATCTCTTGGCCACGAAGATACGCTTTATTGAAAGACGCCACTGTCCGCCGCGACATTGTCGGATCCTGTCGCATTTGCCGAATAGGCCAAAAGTGGAGTGCACACTCCAGCAGATGTAGCTGTAGTGGCTGTATATATGTGACAGATCCTGCACCAGGCTTTCTAACCATACGCCATACGCCATACGGACCTATATGGTTTATGGTGTATGATTTATTCTCGTATGGCGAACTAAACCATATATTGCCAATACGGCAAATGACTTTAAGGCCCCATATCTTCCTCTAGAGCGCTGGTGCTTCCCTCCTTTGCCGTGTACTCGTGTTGTTCGACCTCGTCTACTTGTAGCCCTGCCGTTATGCCGCTGCGAATCCAGCTCTTTAAGCACTCCCCCTTTTCAATTGTCGATGCTCCAAGGAGCATTCGATCCCATGAAATTGTACGCCGTGCTCCAGAGAATATACGCTCGGGGTCAGCAGACATAGCGGGTATTAAGAGAATGTCTATTGTCATCTTTAATAATCGAGGAAATCGCTCCTTCTGCTCATCGCGGAGCCACCAGGCAAAGGGGGAGCAGTCGATTGGAATAGATGACTGGGAGGTGTAGGTTTCGTATTCGTCAACGTCGGGCTCTGTGCCTATAACATCAAGCTCCTGTGCAAGCAGGTCATACTCATCCAGTTCCAGTTCCAGAACAATGGAAGGAGTAGTATAAACGGTTGGTAGGTTCTTGTATTCGCCTTCCCACAACTTCTTCACTCTTGTAAAGATCTTCTTATACCATAACTTTAGCCAATTTTTCTATACATAAGCCTTTCCTCGGGATAGATGGAGAATAAGCGCTGCACCGTATGCCGGGCTCTCATCGGAGAGCTGGTAGTATTTATCGAAGACATACCAGCTCGTCAGCACTGGACCGAGTAGCTGTTAGTTCATCTTGTATTTGTTGAAAGCTTGCTAGTAGTGCTTGTGGAGGGCGTCCATCGTAAATAACATACGATCAAGCGTTGAACAATAGCCCTCAGTAAGGAGAGTTATCCTCCAAAATGGCTATGGGAAGTTCCATGTCTCGCAGAGGTTTTGCTAATTCTATAGTGCTAAGTAGTCATCCACAAGAGCGTCGTAGTACTTGTCCTGATACCATTTGATATACTCCTTCTTATTAAGAGCGATATCCAACACGAGAAACCATAAGTTCCAGCGTATATCGTTATCTAGCCCGAGGACTTTGCCCGCACGCCTCCGAAAGAGGTTATACCTGTAATCGTTCGCTCTAATATGGATAGCAGTATTATGCAACTTGCCGAGCGGACCGAGTTGACTCCAGCGACGCTCCTTTCGCTTCTTCCAACCCTGCATCATGTCCATGTTGAATGAAGCTTGGTCCATCTCTTCAATCTGCCTGCAGGCCTCAAGCACAGCCTCTTTGCTATCCATGAAAAGAAAGGCTTGGACGGAAAGGTTGACAACGTGGCCATGGCAATGAATCCGTCTGTGTTTTGCATTCTAGACGATGTCTCGTCCCTCAAGGAAGTGGCTCAATAGACGGCATAGCGCGTCATTGGAACCGTGGTTATCTCCTGTAATATAGCCCAGCTGGCGTAAGATACCGTACTCCTCAATGACCGGCTGAAGGAGCTTCCATTGCTCAGCTCCGCTGTGGCTTCCAGGGCCGTCTATGCCAGGAAGTTCAGGTAAGGCCAGCAGTGCCTGGCAGGGATTTTTCGTGCCTTCCTGCATAAATTGCACACATATTCCAAGGAAAGCTTTATGGTTTGGTGCGCTCCATACGTCAGCGGAGAGGTGAAGCTTGGGAGGTGATGATTGCAGCTTTTTTCGAAGAATATCCTTGTGGATCGCGTAGGAGTTTGAGCAGAGTTTTTGGACATGGCCGTGGGAGGTATTGATAAGCTCTTCTGCCGTATAGTTTGCTGCCATAAGCAGAGCGTGCAACTCTGGCCAGGTGTTTCAATTGTATGGAAGATTGCGGACAGTAACCAGCTGGACTAAGGCTTCCATTGCAGCCTTTGGATTAAGTGCGTTCCGAAGCACTTGCTCCTCTCTTTCTTGAAGCTTAGCAACCTCAACCTCGCCAGCTTTGTTGAACACCTCTTTAATGAGGCTAGTGCGCGCTTTCTTGGTTGAATTTGGCTCTGAGCCAGCACTTCAACTGAGTGTATCTTAAGTAGGTGGTTACGGAATGTGGTAGACACGTAAGTGGAGTATGGTGGGTTGCTGCAGTAGTTGCAGTAGAATACTAAGTCTTGTTTTGGCCCAGCGCGCTCGGGCTCGGATCCTCGAGGTTTTCGAGTGTATTGCCACGTGGCATCGGCCGTAGTGATACGTTTGCGCTTTGGAGTTGTTGAGGTGGAAGATTCAAGGGAGGGTAAGCTCTGCTCATCAGGTACCTCAGAAGCCGTCTCGACTGTTGCGGCTATGGAGGACTCGCGGTCACTAGGCGTGCGGATGAGGAAGGAGTCCATCGCAAGCAATCAACGGCATAACGGCGTGGATTGAGATGGGTAGCTGGCAAACGGCAGGGCAGAAGGTCCCCCGTGAATCGGGTAACGAATGACTCTTGATTTCAATCTAAAGGAGCCGAATTGTATGAGACTATATGCTCTGGAATACTACTGCTGCCTGCAAGGCAGCAGCTGTTGCCTCTAGGCAGGATCGTACTGCCTGTTTGCTATAAGTGAGCCACTGGATCTTGACATGAAGTCTGACAATGTGACTCTGAGCGACCTTGATAGTTGCCCAGGATCGGAGCGACGGAGACATTGCACAGCAGTCCAAGTTGCCCAGACCTAGCTTAAGCAACCGACTTGCCGCTCAAGTATCCTCTCTACCTATGGATCTATCGGGAAGAGAGGCCTTTCAGGACTAGGAGGATGGTCAAGTGTCGTGGGCGCCACCGATTTCCTTACCCGACCAATTTTGACCTCGGAGCAACTTTATCCCGCGTATGATCATATATGGTCATACGCCTTAGGCCGTATGGTATAGGTGTATGGGCAATATATGGGTAATATATAGTTTAACTAAACCATACGCGTATAGTTAGAAAGCCTAGTTGCTCGCGTGCTTCTCAAAGTCTGCTGACCCGAGCCAGTACAGCGAGAAGAAGACCAAGACGTGGAGCGCCACGCAGTACACGGCAAAGAGGTTCCTGCTCGTCCGTGATGCCTGCACCATCCTCGTGACCGAGTACACCATCCTCTCGGGGAGGCTCATGCGTCGGTAGGCCGGCGCGGATTCCCGTCCCCGGAACGCCGCAAAGGGAAAGAGGTTGGACTCGTACGCCTGCCTATACCGGTCCATCTCGATCCCTGGGTTCCCCGTGCCCCCTATCGTTACCGTCGAGGGGTTGGGGTTGGCCGAGTACGCCGACGTTGACGACAATGTCGCCCCGCCGCCCCGGTTGTACGTCTACACGTATCTCGTCTTCTCGTAGAGGCTCAGGTTGTCCTTTTGCAGCCAGCGACCTCCTGCCTCAGCTGCTGCACCGTGCGATACTGGTCCGACAGGTCTTGCTCCAACTCGGCATTCTTCTTCTTGAACCGATCACGCTGTGCTGTGACCATGGGGAGGATGCCTGAGCCGCCGCCCATCGGCTCCCGCTCAGGCGCGCTGCGCGGATCCATGCCACTGATGATGGACGACGTTGGGGAGATCCGGCCCTTGCGTCTAGCCGCCCTGGTAACATAAGTGCCCGCCACGGACGCGCCTGACGGGAACGCGTTGGTCCCCTCCGCCTGGAGGTTCTCGAGGTCGCTCTCGAGCTTCTCGTTGAGGTTCTGGGACCTTTCGAGCTCAGCGTTGGTCCTCGATAGCTCCTCTTGCAGGTCCTCCAGCCGCGTCTGCAGGTCCAGACGAGACACGCGTAGGATCGTGAGCTCGTCGCCCAGTTTCTTGTTGCGTGTCAAGAGCATCTTCTAGAGCGTGTCGCCCTTGGCGGCGCCATCCTCCAACTGCTCTCGCACGTCGTCATCGTCGCCTGTCGAGAACTCGATGCTCTTGAGAACCTCGAGCTCCTGCTTGACGTCTTCGTAGTCGCTCCACTTCTGCACCTTGGCCTCGAGCGTCTCCCTCTCCTCCTTCAGCAGTGCCGTTTCTCTCTCCATAGCTCGTAGTCTCGTGTCTAAATCTCGCTTCTGGCCCTCTCGTTCTATCCTGGCAGCGTCTAGCTTCCGGATGAGGGACGAATTCTCCGACCGCATGCGCATGTATCCGGGGTCGTCTTCTAGTGACTTTTCCTAAGATGGCACGGAAGACTTAGCCTGCGCCAGCTCTAGTCGCATCTGCTCATTCCTTGCTTCCACCTGAGCGAGTCGCGCAGCGGTGCGCTCGAGGTCCGAGTTCAAAATCTCCAGCTCGGCCGTCGAGACCCGGCCGCGCTGTGCGTCTTGATCCTCGCCGCTGCCCTTGCCTAGTCGCTGGTTGACTTCGTAGCTAGCCCGGAGCTCGTTCAGCAGTCGATCCTGGTTCTCCACCTTTTCTTCAAGGCTCTTCTCCTTGGCCTCCCAGTTGTCCTTCTTCTCCTCCAAGACGGCAGACCACGAGGACTTGACTTCCTTGACCCAAGTCTCCAGGTTGTCCTCTAGCTCTTTACGAGCCGTGCTCTCAGTTTGGAGGCGGATCTCGGTCTCTTCCAGCTGGGTCGTGAGCTTGGCAACATTTCCTTGGAGGTGTTCGTTCTCTTTTGTCACTTTGGGTAGCGTCTCTTCCGAAACGAGCATCGAATCGACCGAGGCTTCGAGCAGGGGGTATGGGTCGGGGGCATTGGATAACGAGGTGTATGCGGAAAGAAACGCCGAGTTTACTGACTTGGAATGATTCGTGAGGAGGTCGATAAAGTTTTGGTAGGCTGGAAAGAGATGTGAGTCTTCCATCGAGCGAGGGTCCGGCGGTGTGAGTCGGCAATCTGCGTCTTACCTTTGAGCAAGCCCTTGATCTCGGTCAACTTTGTCGGGTCATCTAGCTTGCGAAAGTCCTTTGTCTTCTGGGCAAGGTCCTTGCGCTGGACCGTCGAGTCGCGCTGGTACGCCACGATCTCCGATGCCGTGTTGTCGAGGTTCGAGGTTAAGGTGGTGAAATCGAGCTCTTCAGCAGGCGAGCCAGCTCGACTATTCAGGGGACGCATCAGGGCCGCTAAGACTTCGTACTTCTCCACGCTGCAATGGCATGTTGAAACTTGTTCTCTCCCTCAAAGGAGGGCCCGCCAGGCGTTGATGTCGACGGCGCTGCGGACGAAGATGGAACAGCCGGAGCTGTGGGAACCCCTTCCACGATGTCTGCCATGGTGACTGCGCGTCTCTCTCGTATAATTCGCAAGGTTCCGAATCGACCATCAGTCGAGCTGCAAGCCTCTCGTGGGCCACCAGCAAAGTCGAAATGGGAGTGCTCTGCGGCAAGCAACTGGTTGAGATGCGGCAGGTTGGCGGACCGAGTGAACGTCAGGCGCTTGAAACTGAAGCTGAGGACGAACGTGTCCAGTTACTTGCATTTGCCGGGGCGGGCGGTGCAAAACCGAGGTACCGTTAGGATGGGTCGCACCGTCGGGGGCTAGGCAGTTGATTGGCTGCAACCGACACTCTGGAGCTCAGAGGCACAGTACAGTAATTATTAGCGCTCCCAGCCTAGCTTTGGCCCTACGGCAACGTTAGCCTTGTTCGCAGCTACTACTGTAGCAGTGTGAGCATCACCCAGATGCGCCGCCAAGCCCATTACCACCACTGTTGAAAGCTCCAAACCCCATCACTTCAACTTCGCCCCCTCTCAAGCCATCGGAGACCACGCTGTCCATACACGATCTCGACACCACCGGAAACGCCCCCAGACTTGAACTGTCGCGCAGAGCCGGCTGTCAGCTGCCGCGCCTGCCCCAGCCCCTTGCACTCCTCGACCGACACCATGAAGGCGTGCTGCAGATGAGGTGGCCGACTGAGACGACGTTTCAGACACTGCTGCGCACGTCGTTGTTGCGATGACATCTACGCCTCTAGAGGAGCCTGGGCCTAAAGCTCCGCTGAAACCTAGGCCTAGGCAATTCCTCGAAGATGGGCCCTTCGTCTTGCGATCGCTGCTCGACGAGGTGCCCCTCTCTGCAGATGGCACAGACGAGGACATCAGGATCAATTGTGTCTACTACCTAGGTTCGCAGAGATTTGACAAGCCTCGGTATGTTCAATGCTGACCGACGCTCCTTAGACCACAATCTATATGTCGGAACATCCGCCTCGGAGCTCCTCCACTTCGTCAAGATACCCCAGACCCGTCAGACCCGACCGGAAAACCCGTCTTCGTCCTCGCTTCGCGACTCCGCCCTGCCTGCGTCGAACCACCCGGTACACTTGCGAGCTCACGCCCCGGAGTTCAACAGATACTTATGCTCCCTCGGGTTGGAAAGGCGTGCATCTTGTGCAACTGGACCGTCGCTTTCTACTCTCTACCCGAGATGAGCCCATTCCTCGACACGACTCACGTTAAGAACTGCAACTGGATCGGCGGTGAATTATTTAAGGTATCCCCAAGGACGAGCGCATGATCTCCGCTATGCCGCCCTGGCTCCTATTGAAGCTTCTTGGGTCCGGACCTCTAGAGAGTCTCAGCCCCTTTCCGGCAGCAGATTCTATCCAATTTTTATAGATGGAGTCCGGAATTGGTTTGCCCATCTACCGCTTCTGATAAGCAAATGCCTTTATTCCGTGTCGAACAAGCGCCTAAAAGTACTAACCTTGCAAAAATCGCAGCTACATGGCGTGCTTCCGTTTCCATGGTGGTCACATCCGAATCGCTGATCTCCCTCCGTTCCGCAACAGGTCCACCGGAAACCTTGTGGCCAGTACTCGTACATCTTCTCCTCGTTGGAGTTGAATTCCTTCTCGAATTTCTCTTTCAGTTCGTCGGATTCGGAAGCTAGGCAATTTCCCCATCCCATGCGGTCCCCACCAGCCGTGGATGTCCAGGTGATCAATTCAAGCTTCCCTTCGTGCGAGCAGCCATCCTTGCATCTGCGGTGACGGTCGTACCATTGGCTCGACGTGGGCATACTGGTGGTCGATGACATTGTTAATGTCTGGAATTACCGTTTCTCTTCCAAGGGACTGATCGGAATGAAAAGGAAAGATGGGAAAAGAGAAGAGAAAAGGAGAAAGCTGAGGGAAGGACGCGGCTTTTATGTGGGGCCATGTGGAGCAACAAGAGGACGGCGCCAAACCCGATCCGGGGCAGTCTTTCCATGCCTACCCGGTGGGTTGACTAAGCCCGGCCAAGGCCCCCACCTCTCCTAGCGGAGAGGTGGTATCACAACCCGTATCTGCGTCACTTGCGTATCCGCATTCTGCCACTTTGGTGTAAGCCACCACGTTCATTTGAGGTCATAAAAATAAAATAAAAACATCATGTGAATCGCATACATCTGATTAATTGATACTGAGGTCCCATCACGTTTTTCTTCAAAGACTAAAATGTTGTGGCTGATTGAACCCTGACCCTAGCCCCGCTGCCGTACCTTTGGGACCCGAATTTGCCGGCCTCCTACAATAATAGAGGGCTCAGCCTCTTCGTCATCTGAATAGGTATTACGCATGCGTTCGTAACCAAACCCCCCATAGCTCTCTGTGTGTATTTGCTGCTGACTTTGAGCTCTATTTTCTTCCTCATTTGCCCGTTGTTGAAGATTTGAAAGAGACTGCATTGTAGCATCAATCTGCGTGTTAGTGATGATCTCAATATCATCACTATCATAGTCTTCCTCGTTGTGCAAGATCGGTAATTCCAATGACGATGCGACGGAAAGGAAGTCATCTACAGCATCGTCAGAGCCGTCAGCCCCGTCAGCCCCGTCAGCACTGTCAGCGCTGTCAACCTCATCTGCACTGTAGGTTGTAAGGGGGGCACATATAATTGTAGCCCGGCTTTGCAACCACATAGCAACCTCTGGAATAGCATCTAGCGTTGGCTTTGAGAATGTCGAATAATAGAAGCTTCGTGTGTTATCATTAGCTTGATTCCATCGCCGCCTTGCATTCTCAATGATCTCAAGCTCCTCTGACGTAATGAGGCTTTGGTGATATTCTTCCAACTCAACTGCTTCAGCTGCCTCTCGTGCCTCTTTTGCCCTTGCGGAGGCTCGACCGTACAGGCGAGGTCTTTCTGCCTTAGCAGCCTTTTCCTTAGCAGCCTCTTCCTGCCTCATCTTACGCCACTGGGCTTCCTGCTGACGAGCCTGCTTTTTGGCTTCCTTAGCCCATTCCTCATAGCCTCGGTCTGCAACCTTCTCACGAAGCTGAGCTATAGTAAAGGCTCCATCGTCAACCCGGATACGTCTTAGGGTCTTTGTACGGCGGGCTTCAACTCGAATACGCTCTCGTTGAAGATAAATTATCTGCTTATAGGCTGATTGAGTGATAATTGCAAGGTCGAGGCAGGCGGCAACATCGTCAATTTTAGCCCCCTCGTTGGGCTGCTTAGAATATCGAGCTTATTTCCTATCTTTGCAAAGTCTCTCTTTGCCTTCCTTGGTGAGACTGTTCCTTTCTGAATAAGCTTAGGAAATAAGGGCTCCTCGAGATCCAGAGCAGCCCGACGTAGTGGCCCTAATACCATCTCTGGCTTCAATGGCATAAGACCCGATTTATCGAAGCCAGCAAAGATATAACAGGGCCGAAAGGCTGCATCATAAAGCCGGTCCCACTGATTGAGGAAGTCATATCGAGTAATTCGCATACCGCCGGCCATAGTGAAGTCATTAAGGGCGTTACGCTGTTCCCTTTTTAGATGCTGATAAACACCAACATCTAGAGGCTGCAATAGATGGCTGGTATGAGAAGGAAGCCGGAAAGGGATGATATCGAATTTATTGCAATACCAGATAAATTCAGGGTCTTCATGAGCAGAAAACCCATCCATCATCAGCAGCCAGAATACCGGCTTTGTCTTCCGGGTCATATATGACTTCGTGTAAGCCACCTTTTCATCCCACTGACTGCGAGATAAATCAGAGTCATAACCGAACCAGGTCTTGATAGAAAAGCCCTTAAAGTCATCGCTTAAGGCAAAGGAATGACGATTAAAGTGCTGCAGCCACTGCAGAGCTCGATGGGCGTTATTAAAGCCAGTGGATGTCTGAGTGAGGACCACCTCGTCATTGATATCAGCTAGGGCATATTCTTCTAGCAATACCTTTGCACTCAGGATAAGGAAGGAAGGAATAGCCCGGCCGGCTGCGTTGATAGCATCCACTGATGTCAATGACTCTTTATTTCCCGGCTGAAAAGTCACTGGCCTTGTGTTTTTCCTGGTCCGGGTCGAAAAAATCCTCATAAAAGAGTCAACCCACCCTATTTGCAAGGGAGTCTCGTCAAAATTCCATAAATTAGCTGGAGTGATTCCAAGCTCTTGAAGGACTGCAGTATATTCTTCAAACCAAGCTTCTAGTCTTTCAATGTCAAGCTCGGCTCCAGCTCGTGCAATTTCCTTGATTTTTGGCGCCTTACACTGCAGCTCTGGATGCCTCTTTTTGAACCGCCTGACCCAAGACTTCGAGACCGGCGTCACAGGGCCTTTGATACGGTATTTCCTTATGAAATTGGCGTAGTTGCGGATGGTGGCCTCTGTGACTGCAAATGCGCTCTTTTCGGCAGTGCGGATATATGTAACCAGCGCCTTTTCTTCAGCTTGTGTAAGAGCAGTTGGGTTGCCGCCCTTATTGCTAGTTGGAAGAGCCTTTCCATTATTTAACAGCCGTATATATTTAGAGGCCCGCTGGCGTGGTGTAAGGCGGCGACATCAAGGATTGAGAGCTTGCGGGCAGGTGCGGCGTTCCCCCGCGTTGTACGTGTGACGTAGTCGCCGGAGAGATAGGCACGGGCCGCGCGGGCCGCACACTGACGGGACTTTTCCAAATCTTGGGACATGATGAAATAAGATTGATGAGATTATGTATCTTCAATTTGAAGTCAAAGGAGCTTGAATTGACGAAGTTGTGATAGTTCAAAGTTACAGGAAGCGGATACGCAAGTGACGCAGATACGGGTTGTGATACCACCTCTCCGCTAGGAGAGGTGGGGGCCTTGGCCGGGCTTAGTCAACCCACCGGGTAGAGGAACGAAAGTGCCTGAAGAAACGAAAGTTCCGACAGGTTCTTCCAGCACTCCTAACAGTTCAAGATAAATCAGTTCAATTCAATTCAATTCAATTCAATTCAATTCAATTCAATTCAATTCAATTCAATTCAATTCAATTCAATTCAATTCAATTCAATTCAATTCAATTCAATTCAATTCAATTCAATATCAGTTCAAGATGGGATTTCTACCAATTCAGTTCAGGATAAGTTCCATCTTGAACTGAATTGATAAATCTTGATAAGTGTAGAAGCCCATGATGCCTCTGGATCTCGGCTTTGACTCGGTCCGAAATACGTCTTAGGAGGTGGCGTTTCAGCCACCGGGGCACACGCTTCGATTCGTTCAATTGCCCGTAGTAAAATCGGCTCGTCGCAGCTGCATATCCCGTTCCCGGGAGGTCGAAAATCAACAACACTACCAACCAACATGATCGATTGCGACGATAACGCGTCAGTGTCACGGGCCAGGGCCCATATCCTTGCGGCTGTGCCGCAAGACGTACTTGGCTCGTGCGCCAGGGATGGGAAATCATTGCACAGCTCAGGGGCACTTAGGAATTTCTTTCTTTCTTCTTCATCTTTGATGTAAATAGCATCCTGGACTAGATAGCTGGAATACAGTTACTAGAGGCCGTTCACAGTCAGTATCTACTGACGTAGTTAGCCAAGCTTCTTCTTCGTCATCCTCGCTTTTTACTTTCCAAGCGGACAGTCATAGCACCGCGATTTCACGGCTAGGGCGCGCCCGGAGCGTTGCTGACCAGCTCCAAGACCTTGCCCATCAAGACTCACATGCCGATCTCGCCGAGTTACACAAGATATTCGTGGGCAAAGAGACGTTTGTGCTGGAATCTTCCGCCAAGCGGCGCAAGAAGAGGTCCAAAATTGACGCGTTCAGCATCCGGCTGACGAAGATTGATGGCGCTGGTAACAGGAGAGGCGATTATTGGATGTGTTCCAAGTGTGACCAAGCTGGTAACCCATTTCCCTACCTCCTGTATCGGTCTCAAGGTAGTGTATTGCAACTAGCTAGGCCACTCTATAGAGTATACCAAACTTAAGGAAAGAAGAAGAAGAGAAAGAGAGTAGAGGAGGTCCATCCATAAATATACTCGTCATGGTGGCTTAAAGGTAAAAAGTGGGCCACGTAAGGCCGAGGGTTCCCGAGGCCACCTACGGGCACAGCCCGTTACACCTCCTTAGTAAGGGAGGCACGAGCGGAGCAAGAAACCATCTTCGGCGAGACTATTGTCTTCTCCTGAAGGCCGGCGGTGATGGCAGTGACAGCGAGACTACGAGCGAGTCGATCGAGTCCGAACCTCCGCGAAAACGGCAACGAACGCTCGAAGATTCCTTCAAGAACAAGCCGGTGGTTAGCAAGGCGATAGACGAGGTTTTTAGGGAGACTCTCTTGGGATGGATTGCGAGCTGTTATAGGCTAGAGCTTTGCTCTAGCCTTGAGAAGACCTTGTATAGCTAAATGGTTGATCGTGATGACGATCAATCAATACGTATCCTTTTGCCGCAATGGCAAAGGATAGCGCCGTAAGGCGCTGGTGGCCGTTGCGCTAGCTATCGCTTAGCCCTTCTGGGGTTAGCCCATCACAGGTACGTTGTCCCGAGCTCTCTGATAACGGCTTACTAATTAGTTATCAAGATTTATCAATTCAATCCAATTCAATTCACTATCAGTTCAAGATAGAGCTCAGGTTACCAATATCAGTTCAATATGAAGCCCCATCTTGAATTGAATTGAACTGTTAGGAGCGCTGCCTTAGACAGATGCTTGGTAGCCCTGGTCGCGGACGATGAGCGCAGGAATGCTGTAGTCCTGGGTGTGAACGGCCTCTAGTAGCTGGATTCTGTCGGAAAGCTAGCGTGGCACTTGGATGACTTGATTGTGTGTGTGTATTGTCTGTGTGTTTCTGGGAGGTCTCCCGGCCGTGACTGCGTATGTGTTGCAATCACCACTAAAAGTGGGGGCCTGAGGTATCTGCACCAATAGGCGGTCTCAACCATGGAGGTCACCACGTGACCGCCCGATCAGGTGCTTTGTACATGATCCAATCTAACAGATTCCAGCTATCTAGTCCAGGATGCTATTTACATCAAAGATGAAGAAGAAAGAAAGAAATTCCTAAGTGCCCCTGAGCTGTGCAATGATTTCCCATCCCTGGCGCACGAGCCAAGTACGTCTTGCGGCACAGCCGCAAGGATATGGGCCCTGGCCCGTGACACTGGGGACCATCAGCAGCCACCAGACAGTCGTCCGGCTCGACCTCCCGGGTGAGGGTGTAGGAATAGACACTGCCATACATAAAAAACCACATATCCTCCCACTCGGATGGAAGGATTGTCTGGTTGTAGAACGACATTTTGAGGCTGAAGAATCCGTAGAATGGCCTGCCCTGACTCGTTCGTCATGGGGATCCCTGAAACCCTCATTGACATTACCTGCTGGACGATGTGACAGCGATCATAAATGAAACCGGCTGCTCCGGATCGCCTCTAATCTAGCGGCCAGCGTTAGTGATGTGGGTGCACTGCTAGGCTAACAGAGCCCCTGCAGCCGCCAAAATTAGGGTCGGCAAGACCCCCCTAACCACCAGCATCACGCAGGCGAGGATAGACATTCCTGGCCAAGTCCCCCAGGAACAATTGTTCAGATCTCAACGCTGACCATTACAGCATCTAAGGACGATAGGGCAAAGTGACCTGACAATGATCTGCAAACTATCAACACAATGGCTTTTATCCACTTGTCTTCGCCAACCGCCTTTGTTTGGTGCCTCTTTCCTTTTGACATCCTCGTCGCTGGTGATGTTGACTGTCAGTCGCGACCCTGTGGACCATCCCTTCCGTCTCGTCCATTATCTGCAGCAAAACCTGAGGCGGCGCCAAAATAGCTTTTAAACACCTGATTTCGGTGTCAGCCCCTCGATCGCGCGAACCTCTTTGGACGGGTTGTCTCTGCTTGTCCAGACCTCGAAATCCCTTGGGGCTTCGCGTACTTGGCGGCAGCTGATATCTTCGACAACGCACCGCTGCGAGGGCCGGATCTGCTCGTCTTGCGTGTATTCGAAGGCTGTCGTAATGTTGGCAGCATGCCGAACTCAGGTAACTGCCCCGGGAGCCGTCGGCTTGCCCGCTCCTTCTCGTATGTCTTGCGTTGCCTCCTGCGGCGTTGGGGTGCGGTTCGTGTGTTATCGCACTTTTGATTGGTAGAGATCCCCGTGCGAAGTTTTTTGACAGTCAATGGAAGAAGTATGGACCGTAATGGCAACACAACGAGCCTCCTCTCCCGAGCGGTTTGCGGGGTTTGCCGGGAAGCACACAGTTCCTAGCAGAGCCTATGAGCCATTGGCGATGACATCGACGAATCTTAGCCTCGAGGAGGTCGTCACGGAGGCCGTCGCATGGATGTTGCTTAGAAGGGTGGATTCACATGCTCGACTCTACCGTACTGACATTGACATTCCTCCACTTTCCAATGAAGCGCAAATGACGTAATTCTATTTGATCACGCTGTGCGGCCTTTAATAGTTCATTTACTGGATGCGGCGATGGTGGAATGATCCAGGATAATGAAGGCAGAGGAAATACTAATGGCATCCACAGCAATCGACTCTGCAATATTCCGCGACATCTTCAGCTCGGAGGCGATGCGCCGCGTCTTCACGGACGAGCATCGTTTGCAATGTTACCTTGATATTGAGGCGGCACTGGCGCAAGTGCAGGCCAAAATTGGTCTCATTCCCCAACACGCTGCTAATGAGATCGCAGCCAAATGCACACTCGACAGTATTGATATGGAAAAGCTGAAGATCCAAACGGAGTTGATCGGCTATCCCGTCCTGCCAGTAGTCCAGCAGCTGGTGGATGTCTGCTCGGATGGTTTTGGGGAATATTGTCATTGGGGAGCGACCACCCAGGATATCACCGATACGGCCACCATCATGCAGATCCGAGAGGCGCTCGCTCTAGTCGAGCAGGATCTGAAAGCAATAGTCGATTCTCTGGCTGGCCTCGTTCGCCGTTACCGCGATACGCCGATGGCAGGGCGCAGCAACCTACAGCAGGCGGTCCCGACCACCTTCGGCTACAAAGTCGCCACCTGGCTCTCCGCCATCCAGCGTCACCAGCAGCGGCTGGCAGAACTGCGTCCGAGGGTGCTTGTAGGCGAGTTTGGCGGTGCTGCTGGTACGCTCGCTTCGCTGGGCGACGCTGGACTCAGAGTTCAAGAAGGGCTGATGGCGGAACTCGGATTGGGCCAACCGGACATTGCCTGGCACACCGCACGCGACCGCATTGCAGAGGTCGGCTGCTTCTTGGGACTGGTTACCGGGACTCTGGGCAAGATTGCGACAGATGTGAAGCTGCTAATGCAAACGGAGGTCTGCGAGGCCTCCGAGCCCTACACTAAAGATCGCGGCTCCAGCAGCACCATGCCGCAGAAGCGTAATCCGATATCCTGCAACTACATTCACGCCTGCACGGTTATGGTACGCCAACTGGTGGCGGCCCTTCTGGACGCGATGGTCGGGGATCACGAGCGCTCCACCGGCCCCTGGGAATCTGAATGGATTGCCGTGCCCGAGATCTTCTTGTTGAGCTCTGGTGCCCTGCAGCAGGCACGGGCGCTCCTCGCAGGCCTGGAGGTGGACATCACACGCATGCGTTCCAATTTGCAGATCACCAATGGTCTAATCTGTGCTGAAGCCGTGATGATGAGACTGGCACCTCATCTCGGCCGGCAACGAGCCCATAACCTGGTATATGAAATCAGCCGACGAGCCATCGTCAGCGGACGGCCATTGCTCGATCTGTTGATAGAGACACAGGAGATTTCTTCCGTCCTGGACCGAGCCGTTCTGGAAAAGCTGCTCGATCCTGCCGAATACCTTGGTCTATCTGGCGAAATGATCGATCGGGTCCTGGGATCATGCTAATGAAGCCGGGCCATGCCCCTTGCATTCACCATAATGAACCTTGGCTATTGTATCTAATCCATAACCGGTAATCAATTTTTTTTCTTCTTCGGAATCCTTCATCGCAGAAGCCAGATCAAGATCCATCCCTGAGTCCAATAACTTTCCAGTAGCGCTCCATAATGAGCTGCGTCTTAAGCGAGTCCTGTGCGAGAAACCAACCCTTGCCCTGCAAGTAGGTGGTGAAGCTGCCGTGCTTGATCGAGGCTGTCGTGCGGCTCTTCGTCTTGAAAGACGCCTCGACGATGTACTCGATTCCCGTGCCCGAAGAGTTGAGGATGGGCCAGACCTCGATGGACAGCCGCATCCCGCTCCATGTGCCAATCGAGCGCTTGGCGAGGACCGGGCCAAAAATGCGCGACATCGCCAACGCGCCGGTGCCCCAGTTGCTGGGCAGCCAGTTGTCGAACTTGTCGGGCGCTTCGTCGATCAGCATCGCACGCGAGTTGCTCGTCCCCGGCAGGTCCATCCCGCTGTTCCCAGAATCCGCCGCTGTCTTCTTGCGGCTGATAGAGAGTGTCTGCTTCTGGTAGCCCCATTCGACTTGCGCCTCGTATTTCGCGTCGCCGGCGTCGAAACCATCGTTATTAGCCGTGGTGAGCGCGGCGTCTATGTCGCCGCCCGTGATGACATACCGCTTCTTATACGTCAGCTCGAAGTCGTCCTCGTTCTCAGTCTTGCGGATGCGGGGGCTCCAGCCGGCGGTATAGATCTCCTTGCAGCTCTTGTCGAGAAACTGGACATTCAGCTTGGTGACGGTCGGGGGCATGTCGAAGGTCAACAGGACGGTGCTCGTGAGCTCGTTGTCGGGGCCGAGGACCGCGGTGGGGTTGAGCAGGAGCTTGACCTCGTAGTCGGGCGTCATATTTGGCGCTGCCTGCGTTGGGGAGGCGACGATGGCGGTCATGGCGAACGGGCGGCGCGGGGAGAAGTGTATGGGTATCTGTGAGTTCGCGGGCAGGGCTTGTATGAAGCGATCAGGGCAACGGAGCAACGGTAGTTTGCAAGAGCGGACCAAGTAGGTGCGGTAATGGCTGTTCTTGAACAAAACGCCAAAAACTCACTCACCGATTACGAATAGGAGCAAGTCCGGTACCCACTAAGCGATCAACCCATTAGCCGATCAGCCTTCCTTCTTGTTAGATACGCGATGTGTATTTAAGATAGATTAGGGGTAGTCAGATAGATGTGGATGAAATCTTGATGATATTATTGATTGTTCTTGACTCTTGTCTCCTCTTTTCTCTAGAGCGGGGTTTTATCGTCATCTTGCACCCCCTCAGCCACAGATGCAGATACCTGATATTCATATATCAAAAGGCCTCTCTCAGTGCATTAACCAGCCACGATCTAACAGGTAGTTAGCTAGGCCCAATAAGCGCATACGGTAGAGAGATTGAAAGAGCCTTATTTTTCTACAAAGGGAAGCGTGGCGGTCAGCCGTTTCGTACGTTGGAGCGGAGCCCCTATTGTGGGTCTGCTACAACCAATCATATCCCAGCTCCTTGCAACAACTGTCGAACACGTAACCCGGCCGATCGAGGTAATTCTGCAGTCTGCCTTCTCGCTTGGTAGCTCTTTTGCTAATATATTTTGGCGTTGATTAAGGCTCGAAACGTAACGCGATGGAGTATGCTTCCTCGCCGACTGCCACGAGCTGCGACAAGCGCACTGACCTCGCATCATCGTTCCCGGCAGAGGAGGGATGGGTGATGAGGCCCATTCCACTTCCCGAGAAGGTATTGCCTTCCTGAAACGCTATACCCTGCCTGTGTATGTGACTAACGTGCCATGTAGCCCGCAGTTATTGAGGAACGCAACGGTGAGATAGAATTTCGTGTCGTCAACAATGATGGTGAGCGGGAGAGTCTCATCATCCTGAACGGGTTGAAATGCGTCTTCCAAAAGCAGCTGCCGGAGATGCCCAAGAGCTACATCGCGCGTCTCGTCTACGATAGAGCTCACTTGTCCATGGCCATCGTGAAGAAGCCGCTGGCAGTAGTGGGAGGCATCACGTACCGACCGTTCAAGCACCGCAAGTTCGCCGAGATTGTCTTCTGCGCCGTCTTGTCAGATGAGCAGGTCAAGGGGTACGGGGCGCACCTCATGTCACATCTGAAGGACTACGTCAAGGCATCATCGAACATGATGCATTTCCTGACCTACGCCGACAACTTAGCCATCGGCTATTTCAAGAAACAGGGGTTTACAAAGGAGATCACGTTAGATGACTCAATTTGGAAGGGGTGTATAAAGGACTATGAGGGCGGAACTCTCATGCAGTGCTCTATGCTCCCAAGGATTCGCTACCTGGAGCTGGGCCGCATGCTTCTCAAGCAGAAGGAATGCGTCCATGCCAAGATACGGGCTCTTAGTAAGAGCCACGTGGTCCATCAACCTCCGAAACAGTGGGAGAACGGCGTTGTTCCCATTGACCCCCTATCTATCGACGCAATCCGGGCGTCGGGTTGGTCACCTGATATGGACGAGCTGGCCAGACAATCGCGTCACGGTCCGTACTACAAGCAGCTGCTACATCTCCTAAATGGCCTCCAGGACCATCAATCATCGTGGCCATTCTGCCAGCCTGTCAGCGAGGACCACGTCGCCGACTATTATGAAGTCATCAAGGAACCAATGGACCTCAGTACTATGGAGGCCAGGCTGGAAGCGGAGCAGTACATGACACTTGAGGATTTCATTAAAGACGCCCAGCTCATCTTCGACAACTGTCGGCAATTCAATGGCGAGAATTCGCTGTATGTGAAGTGTGCCAACAAGCTGGAGAAGTACATGTGGCAGCAGATACGCACGATCCCGGAATGGTCACATTTTGGGTAGTATGATGGCATGACTTGGTTAGCTTGAGGCACCATGATAACTTTTGCGTCTGCGAGTCTGTCGGCGTAGACTGCAGAGTACCCAATCCCCACCTCCCTTTTCTGCCAAGCAGCGGCTTCAAGCACGGCGATCCGAGAATCCTGGGGGACCATTGATGGCTGGGAAGAGTTTCTTCGCTAATTGGTCACAGGTTGTCGCAGCGTCATTACGTGCTCGGCCCTCAAGAGCAAAATACAGACGTCATCCGAGTGGCAGCTTACTCTCCCCCAGATGTCCTTCTGCACTGTACAAATTACTCGCCGTTTTTACCGTAATCGCGGACGCGCTGTTTTGATCCGAATCCCACTTGTCCATTTCGGCCGTCCCGGCCTCACCGATCCAGACCACAAAGAGTGGCCCACAACAGTGGCCACACAACACCAAGACCTATCAGGCTGCAAGAAGGACGGAATGGCGTCCACCCCCGGACCCAATGTCTCGCCAGGATGCACGTCTTGAACAACACAAAGAGCGTCGTATGATCACTGACCACCGCTCGGGCCTCCCTCAAAGGTAGCACGGCTGATCAGGCGCCCCCGCGACCCCTCAGTAAGCCATCTCAGCTCGATCAAGGCAGAGTGCAGTTCGGACGGCAAAGTACATAACTGTTTTGGTATTGCTGCAGGTTTGAGCATCAGGCAGCAATGGGTCAATGCATTTCCGGCAACGTTGGCTTAGAAAACACTGCATCCTGCCGGTTTTATCCGCCTTGGCGCTGCTGCCGGTAGACAAGCAACTCATGGGTCTTCGTATTGTGTGAGACAAGACAGGAAGCTCGGTCACGACCAACACCTGCAATGTAGGACCTTGATTTTTCCTTTTGAGGGCGAATAGATAACGCAGATCATCCAGTCGGCTCTAAGCGATCTGCGCGGGGCCGAGCCGGTCTGCCCCTACTACGACTTGTGACAGGGTGTGTGGGGCAAGCGACACACTTTCAGCCACTCACTGCTGCAACCTTCCGTGTCACCTCAAACTGAGGCAAGATACCATGTCACATATCAGCCCTACCCCACTACAGCAGCTGCCTGGTAGGCAGCTGCTACTGCCTAAACAGGCAATGTTTTCATTTGTGTATAAAGAGCTGAACGACTCAGTGCATCTTGTCATTGAGTTCTTGCTCCTTAGATAATTCTCATCAATTGACTGGTGCCATCAATGATCCCTGTGGAGCCAATTGTCTGACATACCACGACCAATGATTCCCAATCCGGTCGCCCTTGCTGCTGAGTCGACAGGTCCTCCCTTCACTGCCTCACCACGATTTCTCATGCAGATTCTTTCAAGGCAACTCCGTCTTGCCCCTCTCGCACTGGTAAGTGATCCGCCAAGCTGAATAAACGCTTTCTTGGCTTTAGCGTTGCTCGCCTCTACATTTGTCTGCTGATCAAGCGCCACCGATGGTCTGATACCCATCTGTCCCCGCCACGACATGATCAGATGCCTGTAATTAGGCACCTGCCTGGCTTGTGCCCATCTTCGCCCCACCCGTAAGACTCGGGGCCTACGACGGCCTATTGTGGCTGCAGCTGGTCAATTAAGCCGTTTAGAGGGCCTTCGACAGGGGTTTCCATCAAAACCAAAAACGGCAATAGATCGACGCAGTTTTTCTCTTTCCCCGGAAAGGAGATAACGTACATCATCCCTAAAAGGACTTGAGCGATGGTACGAATGTGAGGCAATGACCTCCAAACCAAGGCCGTTTCTGACTTTGGGCTTTGAGTCGAAACAAGATGCGTGTACCCGTAGGCCGGGTTTAATTTGATCATCTCTCTATGGGGTCATCATCCGGTAATTTCTCTTCCATTTTAGAAATCGAACCGATCAAACTGCTTCCTATTTGAGGCGACAGGGAATCAGTAACGGGGGCATGGAAGCTGGGGAAGGTGCATGGGCTAAGTTTTCTTGCATTCAGACCCAATACCAGATCCAAGAAGCGTGCACGGGCCAGAAAAAATGGTACTGGGTGCCAATACCAGTGGTAATTGGTACAGTAAGGTGAGAAAGCCATGACAAAATCTGATTGGTGACATCCTCACAGTGATATCTCCGGAGCCACTCAGGACCTAAGTCAGCACGACGACTGACGTCAAAGAAATGCTTTACATGGCCACCACATTGAAGATATCGTTGTTGGACAGTGCCAGTCAAGGACGAAGAAGCCGCAGAGCTCATGCCTCCAACACCCCTCAACCAAGCATTAGACTCAGTTCCCTCACCCCCAAGACGCTTCTTCACATCTTCTGGCTCCCACGAACTCATGTGCCTCGCCCTGCATCGCAGCCGCCGCACAGCAGCTCTGGCGGAGATACAGCAACATGATCGCCGGCGCGTCGAGGCCCGCATGATTAAACAAGCAGAAGCTGTGGTGTCTACTGAATGAGTTTATTGTTATGCTATGCGACGTCTTGCGACTTTGATCAACTCCCAGTTCACATCTGCCAGAAACTCATCCTTGTTATGAGGTGTAATGTAACTATCATGTCCGGGGTAAGAAGATGCATCCAAAGATTGTTGCACAGAATGCGATCGTCCCCGTTTGCCTGGTCGGTCAGGATCATTGAGTCCAGAGGCAACAACTTCACTCTGTTCATAAGATACAGCGTGTGAGGTCGAGGTCCAGTCGTCGATCGTTGGTCTTGATTTTCCGCAGCGAGTGGATGGTGACCCGTCATCGGTCGACGAATCTGTGTAATCACTAACCATCTCGGGAACGTGATAATCCGGAGCTGCTTGCGTATTTTGCGCCCGCTTGGTTGGGTCGCCGGAAGTACCCAGATGAGGGCAGCTATCCTGATTCTGCGACTGAGAGGGTGACTCTAATATACCTGGACCCGGGATTTTCGCCAGCTTGGAACGTATCTCGAAAGGGGTATTGTTGCTAGATGCCGTGGCTGCACTTTCCAACTGCGTCGTTTGCTCCACGAAGGCCATTTCGGCTGCCATATTCTCGATGCAACACATCTCGTAGTGATGGCGCAGCGCAGCCCGATCTACAGATCGTGGTACGTTGGCAAGGTGCCCATGATACTGAAGAATGACATCGTAGGGCACAAATGCCGGAATCTGCAGAGTCGTCGGGTGGATCGAAAAGAGTCGCGCATCAAAGAGTTCATGAAGGTGGCTTAAACGTAGAATGCCGTTTTTGGGAGACCAAGTGCGCTCCCAAGCCTCCATCAAACGACGTGAACTCCACCTTGCATTCTCATCTTGTACTTGGCCGTCAACGGCTTCGGGATCAGGGTACAAATGATAATGCTGCTGGGGGATAATATGACATGCCTGCAAAGCAGGGCCAATACTAGGATTGACACACCAAGACCGTCCCATGCCCGAGATAGCACACTGACGGGCCGAAACGAGGCATGAAGATCGAAACGCCGCGATGGTCTGTCTGGCTCGTTCGACTGGAACGTCGCTCTGCGGGGGCGCAACCATGTTGGGGAGGTCATCCTCCTCGTTGATCGAAACCTGGCCTATTTCCGGGTCCTTACTAAGGGAGACAGAGCCAGAGCCAGATGCTGATCGTTTCGAGGGAGACTGGGAACCTCTCTTTGGGCGTGCTGTTTTTCGAAGCGGGTAGGCGGCGAAACGGGGATTGGATGAGGTCTTTTTTGGCGGCAAGTAACGCGAATCTACCCGGCGAACAGGTTTGGGGATGTGCCGTCCGCATCCGGCTGGAAAACTGATTAGCGGCAAGCTGTCACATACGCATGTAGTCAGCCGCGATGTGCATTTACAATGTCATTGTCGGGCATGGTGCTGCGGAGAGCCGTCCTGGTAGCGGTTAGCAAGAGGGATGCAACGCTGTGGAGGGCCCATCACGGAAGGTTGCCACGTGGAACTCGTCCCGGCCGGCGCGGGGTGATTTGACCCATCCAACATAACATCACTAATCCCACTCCGGCTCGTCGTACTGATCGCGGACGGGCTCGACCCGTCAACAACGTTTTCGTTCGTGTTAAAAGACATCTGATGCTCGAACCGAGTCAACCAGTCAAAATTATCGTCGAGGGTTTGGCTCGAGGGCATCTCATTAAGGGATTGCGCAAACGGCGGGGTCTGTTCCAAGGCCATCGACTGTGGCGAATCATTGTAATGAAGGGCGTTGGGGTTGATGGTAGAGCCCGGCCCAAAGAGAAGACCCTCAAAATCGAATTCCGTGTTAAAAGCAGCCATCGGCGGCGCGGTCCGAAGACCGCTGGTGAAGTCCATGTGGCCGAGGGTGCCCGTCTCCAGCTTGGGCAGGCCCGGCTGAACCCCTCGCTGGCCCATGGCGGCCGACATGCCACCAAAAATGTGGTCGAAGTTGTGAATGGGCAAGCCGGCGAGACTTGGGTGCCGGCTATGGCTATGGGTCGGCGGCATGCCCCGTGCAACGGAGGCATTGGCCATCATTTGCATCGCGGTGCCGTCAACGTGGCTGATGGTGTTGGCACGGGGCCGCACAGAGTTGGCCGCAGCATTGTTGGCGGCTGGAGGGCCAGCGACGCTGTTCTTGCGAGCACGGCTTCCGCCAGGAGCGACGCCGGTTGTCGACTCGCGGCGGTTGCGGGGACGGGAGGACGGTGTCGAGGTCTGGTGCAGCTTCTGCTGGTGACGAAGCAGCAGGTCGCGGCGGGCGAAGCATCGTGCGCACTCGGGGCACTCAAAGGGTTTCTCCTTGGTGTGGGAGCGCTCGTGGCGCTTGAGATGTTCCAATCGGGCAAAGGAACGCTGGCAGGTGCCACAGACGTGCGGTCGAGGCTTGTCCGTCTTGGGGGGAGCAAAATTGGCGGGAGCCTTCGTGTTTACGGTGATGGTGGACGCTGCCAGAGTCAGCATGCAGAGTCGGGGCAGAATCGGGGGGCGGTGCGGGTCGGGCTGAGGAACATGAGGGGCAGTGCCGGCCACGGCGGGAAGGCTCACCAGAGTCGTCGGCGGTGGAGGGCGTGCTGCCGACGGCTGCGTTGGACGTGGCGGGATTGGACATATTGATGGAGGAGCGGGAGACTCTGACACCAGAATCGTTAATCACCATGACAGGTTTTGCAGAGCTCGCGGGAGGGAGGAAGACGTTGGGGCGGGCGAGTCGTCGTCGTGGGGCGGGAGATTGAGTGACGAGGGAGCGAGGATGGCAAGGAGGACGCGGGCGCGGGGTTGGGTGCCGTGCGTAGTGGGGGAGGGGGACGGAGAGAGAGACAGAGAGAAAGGGAGCGGGGAAGTGAGGATCAGGATGAGAGGGAAGAGGCGTGTCCCATGGCCGACAAGAGCATGCTCTTCAGTGCGCACACAGCAGCAGAGTGAAGTGAAGCAATCAAGTCGTCGTCGAGAACACGCCAGCGAAGCAGCAAGAGTTGCTTGGGGAGGCAGAGGAAGAAGAAAGGTTGGCGGCGAAAGAGACGATGGCGAAAAGGCAGGGACACAGTGCGGGACAGTGCGCCGCCGCTGGGCTCCAGTCCCTTCCCTGTCCTGCTGTTGCCCAGGGAATCCCCGAGTCTGTGCTCCGGGCTTACGCAAGCGACCACGGGGAAGACGGCAAGGATGACCTTGACGAGGACCTCGAGATCCTACGTGGATACTCGTTAGTGGCCGTGACGGCCAATAGAGATTTATTCGAGATGCATGCCTTAGTGTAGTTTTGCACGCGGGTGTGGTTGTCGTTTGACGATACGCAGCGATGGAAGCGGAAGTTTCTACGGGTGATGTCGGGTCAGTATCCATCGGGAAAGTATGAGAACTGGGTGGAGTGTGAGAGATTGGATCCTCACATTGAAGGGACTATTAAAGAAAAGCTAGGTGATAAGGAAGACGGTCCAAAGTGGGCGGAGCTACTTTGTAATCTAGGATGGTATCGGTGGATGAGAGGGAGGTATGAGGCGGCCGAAGATAAGAAAGATGCTCAGTTGTGGGTCGGGCTACTTTCTAATGCAGGATGGTATCGGTGGATGAGAGGGAGGTATGATGAAGCGGAGGAGATGTTAAGAAGTGCGGTGGATATGAGGGAGAAAATGCTTTCAAAGGCAGAGAAAGGAAAGTGCAGGCCGCGTCCGTGGGCTCCTCCATTTGAGCTCGAGCTCGGCATATTGGCTGTTTGTATGTCCTGGGGTGTATGAAGAGACTAGGTCCCTGTGATGTCTAGGAAAGGTAAAAGAGGGTAGGCTGTCGGCCTGGGTGGGCTGTCGGCCTAGATAGGTTGTCAACCTAGGTTGCCCTGATGGGCTGTTTGAGTCCGGATGGACAGATGTCATTGAAGAAACCTGTGGTCTTGGCGAAGCTGGCGAAGTCTTTGGGACTAGCTACCAGACGTTGCCAGTATTCCTCAGTGACTACGCGACGGAACAAGGTTCGCAGGGCCCTCACCGAGGACCGGGACAGGGCCGTCGATAATTACCAAAAGGGCAATTAGAAACTAGGGGAGCCTTCGCGCCCGCGACCACACCTTTCTTCCCCTTTTTTTTTTTTTTTTTTTGCATCCTTTCGTCCTTGTTGCTGGGGTTCTTCCGCTTTGGAGGGGTCCTGTGTCTCATCTGTCTCAAACATGGTGAACACCACGGCACGGTTCTGGTTCCGCTTTTTCGGTGAAGGGGAGACGGTTTGTCTCTGTCCCATGTGATCCCCCCCAAGACGGTCTCGTTTCGCTCAGAAATGATAGCTCGCCCCTGCAGGGCGTGGACTTTGCCTGTGACGGTAGTGTTGTCCCACTCTCCTTGACCCCATGCTCCCGCAATCTGCGCTACTTCATGTACAATGAGGCTGGGAGGTGTCATCAGCGATTTTTTTTGGATTTTGTTACTTCTGTGACCTCCCGGGAGGGGGACAGCGTGAGCTCCCGGAAGCGGTTGGTTGGAGGGTTCTGTTACATGAGAAAAAGCAAAGTCGGCTTTCCTAGCCTAAAGAGGCGACCAGCAGACAAGCACAGACACAGCTGGGCTATGGCAGGGATGGGAATGGGATGGGGATGGGATAGGGCCAAAAATGGGTTGGTCATAGGGAAGGACAAGGAGGATTAAGGCGTCTCGTGCCCTGGCTGGCATCGCAGGGCAATGGCATAAGCGACTTGGTGTGGGCGACGCCGTGCCAATGGCAACTCTGCCCACTGTGAAACAAAAAGAACTATTGCTCCGTTTGGAAATAAGGGTCGGCTCCCTGGGCAAGGCGCCATGGCCTGTATCCAGAACGGTGTTGTTTTGTTGCGACCTCGGCCTGGCTTTGGTGTACAGTAGCAGCAGTCGCAGTCACCGTCGCAGTCGCCGTTACCATCGTCGTCGTGTTGTTAGTGTTAAGTTGGTGTTGGTGGTATAAGGGCGCTGCAACTTGGGTAGTGGTTGGGGGCGGAGGTGGTGTTGCGGTTCTGCGGCTGCTGATGGATGGGGAACCACATGCGATGTTGACCCCTCCAACAGCGGCCACTGAAACCAACAAAAGGGCAAGAAAGACTAGAAGGGGTGCGCGGAGAGGAACTAGGTGAGGAGTCGACATTGGCGATCATCTCGCAATTTAGACAAATGGGCGCTGGCGGCTGGGTGGTGCGACGATAGGCGGCAGCAAAGGACTAACAACAGGGACTAATAGCAGCACAGTGAGCAGCCAGCAGCCAGCAGTAGGGGAAGGGAGGCGGGGAGCGGAAGCCCCTATCACTGTTCCCTGCGGAGGCAAAGCATATCGGTCAGCCCTGTAGTGTCTTGCACTTACCCCGCGCTGCTCAATGTCATTCGACCGCTAACCCAAACAGTTCAAGTCTGAAGATTGACAAAATGGGTCAGGAACTGACCTGCGGGGCAGTTTGTCGTCTGATGGTTATCTATCTTTGTCACAGGGACAGTTGTTTCGAGGCCTGGCCAAGCTTGAGGCTGAGGGTTTTCTGGCCAGGCTTGGCTCAGAAACCGTTGGACCATGCCGTCATGTATCGGACCTGCTTGCTTGACCTGCCGACCGTCTTGGGGCGAACTGAGTTCATTGGGAAGCCATCCCGTATTGGAGATTGGCACCCCCTGCTCTCATTCAAGATATCACTGTTGCAATTCAAAGTTTATTGTCGATGACCCATGTCAAAGGCTGTGAAGATGTCGCATTGAATCGGCCAACTAGGCAATATCGCCGACTCTGCTGCTAGACAACTAGTTAGACGCATCGGATCATGGCATGATCGATGAACTAGTAACACTCCCTCCAAGAGCCGTCTGTGTGGTGGCTAGGCTGCCGGTCGCCCTTTTCGTCGTTGAATGTCCAGCCTTGGCTTGTACAACCGGACCGTGGTGGAAACTATCGGTAGCGTCAGGCTCTCGGACGATCTAAGGCTCAGGCTAGGCCTTTGGAGGCCTGGCGCCTTTGCACCAAGGAGGTTGCTTGGGCAAGGCGATCTATCAATGGTAGCATCGTTAGGATGCCCATGTGCAGCTGTCCAGGGCCATGTTAAGCGCTTTGTTGCAGGGTTCAAAACCTGCTCCCACGTGCAGTGTCATCCCGTTGCATGTTTAGGGCAGGGGCTTGGGCTGATCTTTCGGCACTCGCCGTCACGAAGTGAGGTAGTTAGCACTTCCAGCACGAGCCCTATGATCTGGCATCAATTCTAAACAGGGAGTCCAAGAGACGAAATCGACGTTATTCTGCGGACCGGCGTAGGGCTGAGGATAAGTGTGGGGGTATGCACTAACGTTTGTTTCACCGGCTGTGCTTGTTTGTTCAGTGTCAAGACTCAAGAACCAGTGCGGCAATCTACCCAAGGCATGCGAGTGCCGAATGACGCAAAGCCAAGAAACGATTCATCAAGATGATGGGCGCGGCATTGGTCCGGAATGTGATGAGGAGAGGCCTTGCATCGAGGTATCATCCTTGTTGCAGGCGGCCAAAGCTCGAGACGCCAAAAACCAAGGCGTGAACTATAGTTACTTGAATCTGATATAGGAAAACTGGAGCTGGATATGATGGGCCGGGTGATGTAACGCTTCTCGTCTGCTACGTGAGGGGGGGGGGGAATCTGAAATGCTCCCAAGCTAGATGACAAGATCACACCTCGATGCGCCCTGACGCCTGAGGCTGGAGACCCCAGAGGCACACGGAATTTGTCCCGCCGTGAAGCTTGGTTGTTGCTCGGTCCTCTGTGAAGCCCACTTTGAGAGGGTTCACAACGAAGTAGCGCCGTTGGAGCTTGATATCTAATCGTGAATGGCTCGAAAAGCCGTTGGTGCGTACGGTTCAGTTTCATAAAAGAAACATCATGCTTCTACTGTACCAATCAAACGAAGCACCTCTGGTGGTGCATGCTAACTGAACTGAGACCAAAAAATAAAAAATATCGCTGCGTTGAGAAGGTCAATGCTGCGGATGAAAGTGATCCCGTTGCTGACCATGGCAAGGAGGTGACAATCGGCCGGGACGGACCAGGGTGTGGGTGGGCGTGGGTGGATGTGGATGGGGACACTCGCTGTGCCTCAGCTCAGTGGCTCAGGTTTCCGCGCTGTGCCTGAGCCGAGCCCCCCTTCCATCTGAGCAAGGACGACAAGAGTGGATGGGATGGGTGACACGGCATGGCAATGAGTGTGGGCCGGAATGAGCCCTCCAGATTGAACCCCGTTGGGTGGAGGGATGATTTGTTGACCGATGGTCCCGGGGGTGTGTTTTCCTGGTTGAAATGGACACAAATAATGGGTAATGGGCAACGGGCAACGGGCACTGAGCGGGCACCCGCCAGCTAGCAGATACTGGACTGTAGGCCAGCGGCGGAACTCTGTCGCCAGAAGCAATGGAAGTCTCACGCCCGACACAACCTCGACACGCGGCATCGAGAGGGTGAGCGACACGAGGATACGGAGGCAATGCACTTGGAGGATTCACTCCATGGCCAGGCGCATGGCCAGGCGCTGGGAGGATGAAAGACGAGGAGCTTAGGTACCTAAGGTAGCTAAGGTCCCCGAAGGTGAGGTCCGGTATCTGTACCGAGCACGCACATGGTAGAGGAAAGGCTAAGGATAGTGGGGTCAGAGATGCAGCCAGGTAAGTAAGTGGAAGCCATCCCAGGCGGGAAAGGTACGGAGAGGTACATGGGGTGGCAGGTTGTACTGTGCCTTCTGTGCATCGTGCATCGTAAATTTTACATCGTACATCGTACCTACCTCCATCGTACGTCGTCCCGCAGCCTCAACGAACCGCTCCGCGAAGGGTCCTGCAGCCCTTCACTTTACGTCGCTCAGGTCGATGTCGGGCTGTGAGTCCTGACGCGGTCCCAAGCCCACGCACACCACCCAGAGCCACACCACCACAAGTTGCAATCCCCCCCCCTGGTTGACACCAAAGAAGCAGAGACAGATGCAGAAGCAGACCGCAGCGCAGACCTCAGACTCAGAACCCGGACCGCACTGCCGCAGAGAGGAGACAGCAGCTAAAGGGCTGGCGCATGCAGTGTCCTCAGCCTTCCGGCGCTCTTTGCGGGTCCAACCATCCCCTCTCTCCCTTGCCTCGACGCCTTCGATGCAGCTCGGCTCCTTGTACTGTGTCTCCTGTCTGGACCAGCACCCCAGCGAACGCACTGTCTCTCCCATGTTCTTTGGTGTCTTTCAGACACAGCTGCGATCGACGGCCGTGTCCACGCCCGAGACCTCAATACGCCCGTCATCCAATGGCCGTGCCGCCGCAGATGCGGCAACGGGGCTGCCCCTAAGGTAATAAGAAGAGCCCCATGCTTCGCTCTGTTAACACACCTACACGACCACGACCGCTCCAACTCTCTCACAACCCACGCTACGCCGGACGCTACGCTGGGGACCACTATTCCAGGTTCTCTCCCCTTCACCTTTGACGTACCTAAGGTAGGTAGTGCCCGCCCCGTCTCCATCCATCCCATGTCCACCACGCCCACCAAGGCCACCATGACCCTGTCTCATCCACCACCATGTCCACCATAGCTCATGGGCCTTTTTCCTCTCCCTCTCTCTCGCTCACTTCCTCCTACCTTACCCAAGTCAAGCTACAACATCTCTGCTCCAGTTGCCGAATGAGCCCCACTAACACCCGCCATAGCAGGGCCCCCTGGCCTTTTTGTCTTTACCTGCTGCGTGGCTCCTCCTCTGGCTCCGGCTTTTCGTTTTTTTCTTGTCACGGCCACCTGCGCTCACACCTATAACCAACAACTATAACTAACAACCAAGTGCATCATCGTGACGGTTCGCCGCTTGCTCACTAGGCCCCCCGTCCATTTTTACATCGCACGGCCCTGGCCCTGGCTGATATCACAACGTTCCCCCAGCCCTTACCCTCTTGATCCCTGTCGAGCCTGATCAAGGCCCAGAACCCGCTCACCTCATCGGTATCTCTCACTGCTCCCCCAACTCAACTCTCTCGACTCAACATGGTTCGACCCCAATCGACATAATCGGCCCTCCTCCACCACGTCCTGAGCACTGGTCACCTCCATCGCGTCTCTCTGGTCGGCTTCTAATATTAAAAAGCAAACCCTTCTCCACTACCGACTTCCTTCCTCCCCTTGTCCCCAGACTTCTTTAAGTACCCCTCGTCGACTTCACCCTCACCCTCATTCTCCTCCACCTCTTAATCTCCCATCTCGTCGTCTTCCTCGCCTTCTTAATACACCTTCATCTCTTCTATGCCCCCTATGCCCCCTAACTTTTACTACCTACCTGGTTGACATAACTGATCACCTGCCGACTCAGCTCTCGCTGCTACACATTCCCGCACACAGAGCACTTTGGTCTTCCTCCGCGCCAGAAATTGCCCCTCCGAAGTCAGACATCGCCAGATCTGGAACCCGTCGCTCCGCCAAAGACTAGTCGTCTCTGTCGCGCAATCCCCTAACTCGCCGCGAGCGTGATCAAATCCAATTCCCGCCAGCGGGATCCCGGCCTCCGGCACCTCTGTCGTCTCGTCCGCTGTAGCGTGGATCACTCAAATCCTTCGTCTGGAACTCAGACCAGCCGAACAGCATCTGCCCCTTGATATCACCGACACATTCGATCGTCTGCAGTCTACAATCTAGCCAGGACATCCGAGACATTGCTATGGAGCTTTTGGAACTTGTTGAGAACGAGCTCCCGGGTCTTATAGGCTACACTTCCGGTCGTCCCTCCCTCACGTGTTTACGACTGCTGCGTCCGGCCCCTACGGGACCTCCCTCACCTATGACGAGTGTAAGTAATATGTGTGTCGCAAGCTCCACTATTACATATTACATGAATTACACTATAGAAACCAAAGTTATTCCGCTCACTTCGCTCGCGTTTCTATAGTGGATGCCCGGGCTCATCCTTCGCCCTCCTGTTGGATGGGATTTCCACCCATCTTTACCATTTCACGTTCGTTCATATGAGGTTATCACGGTCGCGTTGCTCCCGTGTGTTCTCGCATTTGCTCGTGTTGATCGTCACTTCGTTCCTCGTTGATGCTTGGGCGCATGTTCCCTACCGCCTTCCGGTGTGTCGCTACGCTCCCCAACCTCCAGTTGCTTCGACGTAGTTCTGGCCCTCTTTTCGAGGTTTACCACTTGGCGTTCGGCCCGGCCGCACATTCCACTACGTTCCATGGCATCCCTCCATCGCTTCGCTCTTGCGGGGGCTCTCGTCGCTACGCTCCTCTGCCTCACTCGATACGCAACGGAGTATTGCTTGAGTTCGGAATGTACAAATTTACACATTTACGTGTCACGGTGGAAGTTCAAAATGTTCACGATTAAATTAAGTATGATTACGATAAAGTATAAGTATGTCTCGCCTTCGTTTGGGTCACTCGCCGTTCGGGTTCTGGGTGTTTGGCTCGCGACCGTGTTTACATGCTCGACCAAGGTAGTATACAACGATTACGATGTGAAAAAGTGAAGCTATTCCCACTTCGATGCGGGAATGATTATGGCTCTACACGCCTTACGCCCGCACATACACTGTCTCTAACGGTGGAACAGGAGCCCACTCCAGAAGACAAGATCTACGTCCCGTCTCGATGGCTAACGACCTCATGTCTACGCCGCCCAGCTGGTTGAGACACAACTCCAACACGTCGGGGTCTCCGAAAACGCAACGATGTAGACCGTCCCGACTACCACGACGATTCCCATCGCCTATGTACGCTACGGCAAAGCCGACCCAGGACACGATATCCTGCACATCCCCGGGATCGATAAAATCAAAAGGGCACGGAAACACATCGAAATGACATGTCTCGTCCAGACTCGAAGACACTAACGTCTCTACCGCCTCGATGAGCACGCTCGGCTGATGAAAGCCCGTACTCCCTACGACTACGCTTACGCACGAGTGAAGCACTTGGTGAACCCCCACGGTTCGATGGACGTGATCCTCCCGACTCGCGTAATACCACATATGACGCGGCAACACATCCCCCAGGGACTGAACAAGACGGTCCGCATCCTCCAGATTCAATCCCGCGAGAAAGAAAGTCGTCCACCGTGTCCTCCGTAAACCATCTGCCCCCCACAGCTGGATATTGGACGCATCCTCGTCCGGACATAACGACAGAGTGCACCGACTCTGTATACACCGACCTAAACATAGGTTCATCGCCCCTTCCCGTGGCTTCCATTCCTCGCCCTCCAGTCTCGTGTGTACGGGATGCTCACGCATCTTATCGTCGTGTCCCACTCCAACAACGTCGCCTGGTCCCCCGGCTATAGAGTAGAGCGAAGCGACCATCACTTCGAAGGGTAAGCACTCACTTCTCGTTGCGTGGTTGTGTCTCCCGCTGGTCGTGGTTGAGTGTGCGCCCGACGCACATCAGTATCCTCCGGATGAATGAAGAGAAGACGAGAACCAAAACGCCTCCGTTTATGGTGGGCGACCCGGTCTTATATAGTTGCGTGTGCCCCCGCAAATGGACGTTCATCCCGAACGACCAACGATGAGTCGCTGACGCGCCTGCATGGCCCCACTTCGATCGTCCCTCCCTCCGTGTTGTTAGAACTGCCCTTCCGGTGGTCCCCACCTCTCGGACCTATGACTGCGCTTCCCTCGCCAGCTCGGTCGCCCCTACGACGAGTGTTTACATGTAAGCGATTACATCTTACATGAATTACACTATAGAAACCAAAGTTATTCCGCTCGGTGCCCTCGCGTTTCTATAGTGAGGTGTCCGTGCTCGTCCCTCGCACTCCTTGAATGGATTTTTAATCCATCTTACGTGTCGCTTCGCTCCACTTGATACTATCGTCGTTCGCTACGCTCACTCATGATCACTTGTTCGTGATGTTTTATCGGTCGCTGTCGCTCCCTCTTGTGTGCACTGGATCGTGCGGGCTCTTCGAGGTTGTTGCTAACGCCTTCCGGGATTCGCTGCCGCTCATACCCTCCAGTTGTTTGGATGGAGTTCGGGCCATCTCTACGGTATTCCCGCTCGAGGCCCTCCGACCGTCGTCCCTTCACTTCGTTCCGGGGACATCTCAGTCGCTGCGCTCCTTCGGTCTACGGTCTTACGAATAAAATTACGATATGTTTACGGTTGCATGTCACATGGTTACGGTTGAAATTTAAAAATTGATCACGATGAAATTAAAAGTATGATTATGTCTCGCTACGGTTACATCACTCGCGGATTTACGGTTTGGGTGTTGGTGCTCGCTCTGTTGGTTGCGCGAGACTAGAGTACGGTAAAAAAGTCACGATCTAATCCTTGGTGTTTTGCATCCCCAGTCCAAAACCCACTTACGATTAAAAAAAGGAATCTACAAGAATCATCTATCGCTCACCCTGTCTCGCAATAAACTTTCCACGTATGCCGTATCCAAGTACTGTCGCGGTTCCAATCTACGATGATGACATCCGTCTTGCCGCTCACAAGTACCGATAAATGTTTCCCAAAACGTATGATAAACACGAGCCATATCGGCCTCGCCCTTACGAAGATACCTCTCGCAGTAATCCCCCCTACACTCTCTTCCGGGATAGACGAAATAAAAGTCGACCCCTAGGTCAACCAAAGCCTCTCTCACATCGACATGTGCCTGGACGAGAAGAATACACGGTTCACTCAACCGCTTCATCATGGTATCGATATACCCCCTACTGGGGTTAGAGTTCCTTGTCCCATCGTCACCAAAAAGAAATGAATCCTTTCGAAGCTCGACCACTGGTCTCGATTGAATATATTTGGCATGTCGCGCCAAAGTGGACTTGCCTACGCCGGCAAAGCCAGCAATGACGATCGCACGCTGCTCCGTCTCCATGTTCGTCCCGACTCACAATAAAATGATTCCGTTCCACGATGTCCTACCCGGACAAAAGATGAATATCTCTCCCGAGAGAATACAACGTACTCACCCTGTTCGTATTCCCCGTTTCCTGTTGCGCGCGAGCGCCAATGTGCTCCTCCCCAGTCGATAATACCGTATCCCCCGGATCCTTAATGGAGCGAAGCGACCCGTGCTTCGATGTCCCAAGGATTCACTGCCGTTCAACGTTTCCTTCCCGGAAAGAATAAGTATTTGTTTCCCCAAACAAATGATCTATCGATCTCAATATGCACTCACTCTTGTTCGTATCGTGTCGCCTGGCTCCCGAATAACCACTGCCCGTGGAAACACTCCGTTGTGTTCGTCCCTCACAATCCCTTTCGCGTTGCAAAAAGTAAGAAAAGAAGTCTACGTTCCCCCTCGACTGCCTCCGGCGACAGAAATGTCTTTATACTCCTCCGTCGATAGTGGACGTTCACCGATGAACGACCAAATGTGGATACGCTGACGCTTCCATGCCCCGCTCTGGTCCTCCGTCCCCCCGCGTTGTTATTGGCTACCCTACGGTCGTCCCTCCCTTTCGGGTCTTATCACGTGCGTCGGTCGCCAGCTCCCTCCTTCCTATGACGAGTGTAAGTAATATGTGTGTCGCAAGCTCCACTATTACATATTAGCGATAGACCTAGCACCCTTTTCGACAGGCTTCGTGTTGAGCTGCCAATGGGCGATTGAGTCGAGAGTTTCCTGTCGCAAGGTCTGGTGCCGGATGACCTCCCAGCAGGGGAGAAAGACGGTAAAGATCTCAAGCATCATGATTGAGACGGCAATCCTTCACGTAGTTAGCCTTGCATGTTCTATGCTTGACTGATATATGTCGAGATGGTTTACCATTGAGGAGGAACCCAGACGTGGTTTACGGGAGCCATGGCAGGGACGTGTAACGCAATTAGCCACATAGGGGTAGCATGAAGGCTGTCAGGATCAGTGAGGAGTCGGGCATATCCTTCTCAAGGGATACTGACCTGGCAAGGCAGCAAGCAATGGTTTGGGCTCTCCATCCCTGGGTGTCGTTGATACCACGGGCCTTCCACAGAATGTAGGGGGCGACGATCCATGCCCAGAAGAATTGCCAAAAGACGGACGGCCACCTAGTATACAGTCAGTATCGAGTTAAATCTCGGGGGAATACTAGACGTACCATTCCCAGCCGCGGCCCATCTGAGACATCTGGTAGTCCTTGGTGCCAGTGACCTCAGTACCCGGGATGCCAAAGGAGGGATGAAACTTTCGCGAGATAAGGAACATGAAGATTGTGAGGAAGAGCTTTGCGAGTTAGTTATGAATCAAGTACTGCAATGTAGAATACAATTCGTACCTGGAAAGCCATGCCGGCGCCGACAAGGACTAGAATCTTCTTGGTGTACTCGAGCAATTGGAAGCGACCTTTGAGCGAGCTGGGTTTGGGTCGTTGGGTCTTGGACGGATCTTTCTCCATAGCAAAGAGCTTCTTCTGAGTCTTGGCGACATGGAGGAATCGACTGTTGGAAGCGTGGAACAATGCAATACCGAAGGGAAGATAGGTGCTCATGACCCAGAATTCGAGCTCGGGCGTAGCGAGCGGGAAGTAGACGTAACCGGTTTGGACGGCGCCCCAGTAGAGATGGAGAAGGATAATAGCAGCAAACGATAACGGCAGGCCTCGAATCCTAAGCAAAGGCATATCGCGACGGCGCCAGAGGAAGTACATTCCGCCTGCGAGCATGAAGGTCCAGGCGAAGGTGAAGACGATCCAGAAGATGCCGAGGGCATCGAGCCGAGGCTCGGCCTTTGCCGTGTCCTTGGAATCTGACTCCGCCATTTTATTGTGTAGGTTAAAAAACGGGGGGATCGGGGCTCTCAAAGACGATGGATGTTTGAGGGAAGGGAAGCAAGTAATGAACGTGGTGAAAGGAATGTGTGGTCTCCGCTACAGTGCAGAGAAGCGGAGATGACGATGTATTATGTATTGTTGGTGATGAGATGGGACGGGAGCGTCTGAGAGAGCCCCAAGCGCTGTGAGGACGAGCAAACAAGCCTAGTCAACCACCACGAAGAGAAATCAGAAATCGCGCGGCCGATAACCCCGTAACCCCCTGGCGCCCGGTACTTGGCATCTGGTCGGGAGCCCGATCACTCGAGCTAGTCCCTCCCCCGATCGCCTCGATCCTGGCCTCTTCTGAAGTACTATGTAGGGCTGCTTTAACCTTGGCTTTCCGAAACCCACCAGTCCCGGAGCTGGCAATATTTGTCGGAGGAGACCCCAGCTCCCCATGCTGGGCATGCTCGTCCGTGTTGGGCGCTCAGACGGGGACGTGCAGCCCCTTACCGACAGCGAGTGTCAAGGCCAGGGATATGCCAGCGAAGGTCCCCTTGCGCAAATGTAGATCGTCGCAATAGCTCAAAGTGGCCGCAGCATGTTATTGCTTTTCCAACAGCGCAAGGGCGGCAGGCCGTGGCTGAGCCAACAGGCAAAGATCTGCAGCAAGACGATGGGCCTCCACCAACCACGAGGCCTCTTTCTTGTGACTCTTGAGCTGGAAGTCGAGGATCAACATGCCCGGTTGCCCTGAGAGCCAACGCGGCCCTTGCGGGAGATTGTGCCAAACTCTGTTAAGCCACAGCATGTTGGGTGTGCCGGCTCGTGTTTTCCTTTTTGCTGGCCTCAACTGCACTTTGCTCACTGTTTACCAAAGAGCCAATTCGCTCAGGACTCTTCTGGCGCCACCATGACGAATTTGTGACTGCTTTTTTCTTTACCGTGGCGCAAGGTGATTGCTATTCTTCGCTGTGACGACGAGAGCTGGGCGTTGGGAATCTCGCCGAGGCACGGGAGTTCTACCGCAGCACGCGGGAAACGACAACGCTCGTGGTCTCTCCCTTCTCAGGCGGAGCGGCCGTTTAGCTGTCTTGAGCTTGCAACGATGATGGGGAAAATAGAGCTATCACATGTTAGTTGCTACTGAGGGGATCTCTCCTAGTTGGTCGTCCAGTAGTCAACATTCCGGGTACAAAGATCGTCATGGTCAACGAGCATAGTCAGGTTCTGAGCCGGGAACAAAATACTTGCTGTGCAGGCTTAGCAACAACAGGGCATGGGCCTCGGCGGCCAGAGATCCCGGCCCACCTCACCGGACATCGGCAAGCAGTCCGGATTCGGTCACATGGCGTTTGCATCTCCCCAGAATAACAGGTTCCTTAGCGCCTATGATGGGCAGGCGTCTTTGGTGAACAATGGCATCCCCTCGCTCAACGTTGGCCAGCTTGGTCTAGGTGGCCGTGAGGGTTGTTCCAACACATGTCGCATCACATGTCTTGTACTATGCACCACCCGTCTGCACAAGGCTGAAAATGGCGATCTCCTGCCGGGGGTTAGTTTAGTTAGCGGGATGTGACGAATAAGAGCGGCCAATCGGAATACGCCCTTAAAGCTGGAGGGCGCATCCTGATTGGTTGCCCTTGTGCCACCCAACCTTGATGACGGTAATCTGCAATTCGCCGAGAAGCGGTAGACGCCACATCTGTATTGTGCTGATCCCTCACTCCGACAGAGCGAAACGGTGTTGTCAGCATCCTGAATATTGCGGAAGTATAATTATTATCCAAGCTCTGTGACAAGGCCGATTTATGATTAAAGCCCTGCTGGAGACCTTTGTACATGATTGCCTTCATACTAAGGCGTCGGCCACTAGTTCCGCGTCGATCAGATTGAATCGGTGCGTGGAGTTACGACGAAAGGACGACGCTTTTAAAGAATCCAAAGGTTCTCGAGCCAACTAAAACAAGAAAGAGGCGAATATGCCTAACTCCAGGGGCCTAGATCCTTCAATTACCTCTTTCCACCTTGAATCCGTTTAGATTATTTCATTGGACGCTAATGGCAGGATTATTGTGTCTGGTCGAGCTCAGACTGCATAACAGTTAATGCTACTCTGCATCTCCTATAGTCGTCCCACACATGGGCGGCCACATTCTCCTGACAGTTAGACACTGGCATACCATGGCCGTTCCATCTGAAGCCACCGCATGGCCCTGCTTGGGTGCGTCTGCACAAACTCAAAGGCAATACGGACTGTGCGTCGTGCAGATCTGCACTTGCCTTGAAGATAGCGATGTTCAGCGCCTTAGATTGAAGTTTGCTTTCAACTTTTCATCGTGACAAGGATTGGCAGCCTGATATCGACACACTGCCATTCAACTCAAATGTACTGTTTGGTCGAATAGAGTCCGAGGGCTTATGGCTGCCAAGTAATGTTGAGAGCGCGGATCTTTCCGTTGGCGAGCCTAAGGTTAGGATGGAGGTAACGGTGTGCCACCGAAAAACGGCAGGAGTTAATTGCTTTTGAGCCGCCAGTTTTGTTGGGGAGTTCGCCGACTGGCGACCTAAAACGCCGATCTCTCGGATGGGATACTTCGATGTTAACTTACATGACGAACAAATTGTGTACGGGAGTGTTGCTACGATGCCTCTGATATAGTGCACAATTGGCTGGGTTCTTCCGTTGAGGCTATTCGGTCAGTCAGCTAATTAGGCCGGCTGGGTACTTCAGGGTAAAGCTCCGTGCTCCGTGGCATGTGGCTTTGACTACCAACAGGTTTCGATGGTATCACGGCGTCGTTGGATGAATAGGAGCTTGGTGTCGATGCTAAATGAGGAAGTTGCTAGGTTGATCTTCCTCCGGGAGATGCCAACTCCCTGACTGAGGCGCAACATGGTTCACAGCCGGCCAGCTGCAAATCCTGTTTTGTTGGGGCTCCCTTGCCATGGCCACAGCCGCCGCTCCTTCCCTCGATACCCGAAACCCCACCAGCCAGTGCAACAACGACCAGAAGCCGGTCTGCTGCAATGGACTTGGCCTCCTTGGTAACGTAGCGGTGATTGATTCTAACTGCGACGGTGATGTTTACAGTATGTCAGTATGATTGCTCGTATGTAATCTCCTATCCGCCTAGCCCCTTGGAATGTCTATATAAGGGTGGCTCCCCGGCCGGCAATGAATCGTCTCATCTCACAATCAAGCATCGAAACTTAAGTCATTCACACTTCAACACACCTCATCTTCCCAATATTACCCGGAATCTCAGCTCTTCAATCAGTATGCAGTTGTCCACGACCATCTCTGTCCTTTCTATGGCCCTCGCGGCCGCTGCGTCCCCTGAAGTCTTTGCCCGAGGCGGCAAAAATACTGCCTGCTGCAGCGGCTTTGCCAGCTGCAACGTTGTTGTGGGTGACAACTGCTCCGGTGGGGACGTGTTGAAGTGCAAGACCAATGCTCCTGTGGTAAGTGTTCCCACGGCAGGTCAACCGCATCCCTATTTTGGCAAAACCCTGCCAATCTCGGCATACTTTGGTAGTTGAGCGCATTAGCATTGCTAACGAGCCCGTCCGGCATGCAGGGTAGTAAAGGTAGTGTCACCGTGATTCGTGCTTTCGACTGCGTCGATATCCTCTAGTCATGAGCAAAGGCGCGTAGAGGTCGGGTGCGAGTCCGAACGAATGTGGTGCAGGAATGAAAGATTCTGCCAGGAACAAATGGATGGCTGCCACTCTTTTTTCCCACTGGGTTTTTTTAACGAGGGCATCAATCCAAGGATTAGAATGGTAGTAAGGATAAATTCATTCAGATACCTTGTGTCTAAACTTGCCCTGCCAATCTACGAGTGTGTTCAGCGGTTGAAACAGTTATCCTAACGAAGCTGTACCTCAGTGCATCCCCCATCGACGCAGATACAACAATGCATGCCTTCTTCGTCCTGAGTGAGTGTGAAATACTTGAAAGCCAAATATTGTCCGATGCTCGTCAGACATCTGCAGACAGCTCATCGGACGAGATTGGGTCATTCACGGATTTGACACGTCGTCATGTGTTTTTATGGGCGCCCTATGATTGGAGAAGAGCAATAAGTCACGTGACTTTTATGTCCCTGGTTTTTGGCCGAGCCCCTCTTTTTTCTCGCGCTCCCGTCCTCCAAGAGCCTTTCGTTCCTCAAGGCATATAATCTAGCCCGAATGAATAGCAAGGGCCCGATGTGTCAGCCCAAAATCCAAGATGCAGGTATCACAGGCAGTTTCTCAACATCACACATTGGAAAGGGCCGTTCTTTGACGCTTTGAATGTGTTTGAGAGGATAATCCTAGATAGAGCGAGTACTATCTAGCAAGAGTAAAATCTAACCGTGTGAGCACAATTGATAAGTGTTGGATAGCGTACGGCACATTCAGGGATTAATGTTCAATAGGGTGTGGATCCTGAATCTGTTGATTGTCTTGATCTAGGATGCCTCCGGCCCCCTCTTTTCTCGAGAGGGGCTTTATGTCATCTCACGCTCTCTCTGACTAAGGTCAGGATATCGATCTATCGCATTCTGTCTCACTAACTCATCAAACCAAAAGTGGAATGCACACTCCAACAGGAGGCGCTGATAAGTTGTGTATATAAGAGATGCATATTATGTAACACGATCTATCAGAGGTTTCGTAATACAGGGTCACAATCCAACAATAAGCTATCTGGTATGGAGGACATGAGGGGTGCAGTCAGTGGCTTGGCCCTCTAGTCAGTGGCTTGGCCCAAGTCACAAAGGGGCTACTGTTACTAGTAGCAAGCCATCTGCGGCAGACAGTTTGGCAATGAGCTACTACTAGTAGCAACAAGGCACCGCTCGGATGAGCTAGCGGCGGGACCGACCAAGGCGGAAGAGGGATTAAGGCTATATGGTGTTGCAGTGCATCTATTAGTTAAGCGGGTAGAACCACTCACAGAAGGTAAACTAAATTGTTCCGGCATCTTAGCGCACAAATTCTCTATAGGGCCGATTAGGGCGTGATCTAGGGATGGAGTGGGGAGCTCGAAGGGCTTGATCATCAACAGCGCACTTCGCAAATCAGTGTCCGTTACGTACCGCGCGACATGGATCGCTGGAGCAGGGGGGCAGAAACGGAATTTGCCATTCATGACAGGGCGCAAAAAATGTGCGGCAGTAAGTCGGGCACCCTAAGTGGCCGACCTCCCCTGGTGGCTTGCTTCCTCAGTGGCCTGCTCGGAGTTTGTCGATCCTCATCTGAAGCCATATCGGTGCAAGGATCCCTCGTGCCACAATACGCAGTTTCTTCCACCACTGTATTTACCAGTCACGTTTATCAGTCATCTGGAGACGTATTTACCAGTCACCTGAGGCCGCATTTACTAGTCACTTGGGGTCATGTTTACTAGACAAAATCGGTGGGAGAGCTTTGCTGGTAAAGGGATGGTCTAGTGACTGGTAATTCGTCGGCCGCAGCACTGGTAATTGCGGCGGACCTTGGTGCGAAGGTATGGCCGTGGCTTTGGCCGTGACTCACTATTCTGGTTGCCGATCGACATGTGTTGCCGTGACCATGCCGCAGACAATTAAGTTGATCTGCAAGATTGAGGTCTATCAAATTTTATGCGATCCAATCCATCCAGCCAACAGCAGAGAGTTGATGTCACTCTGACCCGAAAATTCGCCAGCCATGACGGCAGATCCCAAAAGAAGAGAGCATGATGGCCCTGTTGTTCTCATTGTGACGCCGGCACAGTGGCCCGGCCAATGCCCCAGCAAGTGCTTGCGAAAAGTTAAGCTGGAGTCACGTCACCACTTATGTAGCGTTCGTCAGTCTCATCAGGTCTCTTCTACGCCTCAGCCCAACACGGCCTCACGCGGGCCCACGAAATGTGTTCATTTAGAGGCACCATTTCCAGCCCCCCACGATCGAACGAACCCAGTCCCAACAATCTCCCTTCCAGCCATGATCGAGTCGGTCGACCGTGCCCCTTCGCAGCCACATTCGTCCATTCGTGCTCCTATCCAAGACACCAGCGAGCCTGTCCAGACAACAATTGAACCGGACTACATGTTGGCCATAAGCCCGCGGATGACAAGCGAGGATATTGAGGCCTTGGGCCATGAAATGCATACCGAATTACGACGGTTAGTGGAGACTGCAGTGAAATCTGCCGGGGGCAGTATATGTGTCTGATGGGTATTATGTTGTGGACCACATTAAGACTTTAGCACTCGAGGACTGACTCGCCGATGGTTGTTGCTGGTGATCTAGGCATGCGAAGGCCTTGCACGACTCGCTACTCCTCGTCTTTAAACGCGTCGAGGCAGTTGAGAAGCAACACGAGAAGCTAGACAGCAAGAACAAGTTACTACAGAAGTATATTGGGGACATAACCAGTATGAGCTAGATCACGGCTTCAGGCAGCCACGAGATCTTGTGGGCAGTTAGTAGTAGCAAGTGCGCTTGAAGGCTATTCTCCAAGTTATGGTCGTGAGAACCGAGGTCTGCAACGGCGTGTAAGTGTCGTGCAATGGCGGTGGTAGGAGGTTTTTCGTAAAGTGGTCCTCTGGTTGGTTATTAAAGGGGGTTGGCTTATTGCACAACGGCGTTCTAAGTCGTGTATCGAGAGGACAGGCGACGATAAATGTGATGGAGTAGTTGCTGGTGCTAGTGGTATAGCAGCGGATGTAGGCAGCGTACTTGTAGGTGCTCGCGGCGTCGAAGCTGAGGATCGATGAGGGTTCGACGGCGGTGAGGATAATGTCGGGGGAGGACGTGATCATGACGCTATCAGACAACAAAAGAAGAAGCACTGGAACGAGTGTCTGGCGGACAACGACAACATCTGGAAGGCGGCTAAGTACTTGAAGTCTGGGGATGATACGGCATTCGGCAAAGTTCCGCAGCTGGTCGGGGCGGATGGAACAGCCACGACTAACCACAGGGAACAATGAATTTGATGGCTTTTGCGGCTGCTTGGCGCTCGTTCAATTCGCCCGGAGGTCCTTTCGTCCCGGAATATCGTCTAACTCTTGGCGCCGGAGTTGTCGATATTTACGGTATCGCAGCAGTACGTGCGATACTGTTTGGCGTCCTTCTCTGTATGGGCAGTTAGCGTCTGCGGTATCTGGTACTCTTCGGTTGAAGAGGAAGTTGTTGAGTCCTATATTCTCTGTACGCATTTGCACCAGGAGTGCACTTTGTCGCTTGCTCAGCCCATCGTGCAGCTGTAGGACTTTTTGGTTAGCCTAGGTGTGTATCGGAAAGAGGTTCTGCCTTGTTCTTCTGCTCTCCATTTGGATTCCTATGTCTTGTTTGCTTCCTTGTGTGCCCATGTCTTGAGTATCGATCAGAGTGGATAAAGCTCCCGTGCTCTCTCCGCTCTAGGTCCCAGAGGTCCTCTTTCTCGCCAACCCGTAGCCTCTTTGGCTGCTCTGTCTGCTTCTTCGTTGCTTTGGATTCCAGTGTGCGTGGGGATCCATCTGATTTCAATGGGAAGACCCTACTCCCGGAGCGCTTCTGTCCGTTTTACCGTTTTACGATATCCTTCAGTAGGTATGCGCCTGATTTGCCTTTCGGTTTGATTGCGGATCGTATGGCTGCTTGGTTGTCGGTGTAGATCAGGAGTTTGCTTCGCTTGTCTAGTGATTTATGGGGTGTATACTGAAGTGAATGTGAGGGATCGTGAGGCGCGTCGGAGCGTCACGATCCAGGATCGTAGGCACGAACATCAGTGCGCGATCCATACATGATAGGAAGGAAAAGGTGGGGCCTGCTTTTACTACCAGGTCTGACCGCCTGGTCGCCCTGGGGTCACGGAACCGAGCCGTGACAATTATAGGTGTTGCTTGACTCTTACCTTTTAATGCATGCCCATTTTATGTATTTTTATTCCCAAGTTGGAACTTGGAGTTTTGAACTGACAACCAATCCTTGCGTGAGGTTGTCAGCATGACTAAAATAATCATGAACATGCGGCAACAGCCTTTCACAAGGAGCGTCTCGGCATTCAGGATGCACAAATGTCGATGCCAGCGCCGTTGGGTTGCATTGTTTTTGGTGCGTCCTCCGCGGGGACCCCAGAGAGATAACGATCGACACAGGCTATTGATTTTAACGTTTTAATTACCGCCGATGTCACTCACAATGTCATTGTTGAGTCCTATACAGATTAGAGAACGAGCAAATTGTTGGGATCTAGACGGGACTTCCCGGATCTACACGAGCCGTTGAAGTCATGGAGCATGATGCTATTGCTTATGGCTTGCCCAGAACCTCTAGGTCTTTGACGTGTCTTTACTTTTAGTTGTTTTTCTCCTAGTCGACCTCCAGCAGCAGAGGTTGAATCACTAGCTCCTAGGCATTACAACTGCAGTCAGGTTGGCAAGGAGTCATATTATCATGCTACTAGATAGCTTTCGACGTCGTATGGGTTAGGGTGGTGGAACATAACTTGAAGAGCCGCAGGGAACTCCTCCTCACTAAGATTCAGGGATGGGGAACTACATTGATCAATGCACCGGCCAGCTCTGAACAATGCCGAATTCAACGACATGTCTGATGGCTTAATACTCCATTATTAACAGCAGTGATCATCGGCCTCAGCGTCACCAATCTCCAATGGGATCTATCATGACGTGTTTCTTCCCTGGGTGGAACTCTCATGCTGTAAACTTTATGCATTGTAGACCCTCCTAAAGCAAAAAATACGAGGCAATTGTTACGGTACAAGGGCACGAACGAAGTCGAATGCGACTTGGGCAAAATGATTGTTTACAAGGAGAGAAAGAGATTCCTAAGGAAAGCTCTGACTTAAGCTATTTACACAATATTCATAAAGTGAGACTATTCATAAAGTATGAAAGTCACATGATCGTTCCCTCATAGCAATGCAACTGCACCACATGAGGTATCAATGCCTAAGTCCCGAGAGAAACCAAGAGAAGGAGATTTGCTCATACATCCTGATGCTTTCCTATCCTAGGTAGAAGTCTCACGCAGTTCACCACATGCATTGCCGATCTTCCGTCAACCCCGAAAGAGAAACAATAGGAAATGAAATGACAACAGCAGTAAGGGATTTCCCGGTGATCTGCCGGATCTGGTGATCCGCCGGATCACCGCCACTTCGCACACTCAACATCAATCGACAATTACTCAACAACCATGGCGCCGATTGATGAGGCCCTTGATTTCCTGAAATCGTCGGAATCAGTTAATTATGCTGAGACTGCACGGCGTTTCAATTGCGACGAGACGACCTTGCGACGCCGACATCAAGGCAAACAGCGGTCAAGACGAGATGCCGACAGTTTGTATAAGTCACGTCTGTCAAAACAACAAGAACGGGATCTTATCGCTTATATTCATAAGCTTTCATCGCGTGGCATTCCCCCTACCTTACCTATGATAAAGAACTTCGCCCAGGATATCGCCAAAATCGAGGTCGGAAAGGACTGGCCGTACAGCTTCGTTCGACGCAATCGTGATGAGTTAGGTTGTACATGGTTCGACGGGTTGGACATCGCGCGAAAGAGAGCCGATAATGCCTCTAGGTATAGGGCTTATTTTGAGCTTGTAAGCCAATGCACGAAGCTTCCCTTTCACAACTGACAGTGGAAGATCCGCACAAAAATCGAGAAATACAACATCCTACCCTGCAACACGTATAACGCGGATGAGAAAGGATTTCTCTTGGGTGTGATCAATCGAACGAAGAGAGTATTTTCCATTAACGTCAAAAAGCAAGGCAAATTGCTCGGTGCGTCGCAAGATGGTAATCGATCTTGGATTACGTTCCTGGCGTGCATCAGCCAGGACATGACATCGCTGCCCCCATTCCTCATCTATCAAGGCAAACCAGGACAAGTCCAGGACTCTTGGCTCAATGAATTTGACCCAGAACATCAATCAGCCTTCTTTACCACCTCAGAAACGGGGTGGACAAATCACGAGCTTGGAAAAGAGTGGCTCGTCGGTGTTTTCGATCGCTTTACTAAGGCAAAAGCTCGAAACGGTCGTGATTATCGCCTTCTCATTACCGACGGCCACTCTAGCCATGTTAATATGGACTTTCTGGAGTGGTGTGACCAGCACCGGATTATCGTTGCGGTGTTTCCCCCCCATTCCACGCATCGGCTGCAACCCTTGGACGTGTCGCTATTCAGCCCCCTTTCGACCGCATACTCAAATCAGCTTATCCAGTGGACAGCAAAAACACAAGGCCTTATTGGCCTATCGAAACGTGAGTTCTGGACTTTATTTTGGAACGCATTTGAGACTTCCTTCTCTTCCGAGAACATTGCGAGTGGGTGGAAACGGACTGGTCTCCTGCCTTTTGACCCAGAAGTGGTCCTATCGCAGATCACTGAGAAAAAAGATGATGATTCGAATACGGGTAGCGACTCGGCAGAATCACTAGCCCTTCAGCAACCTACGGCCCGAGATTTACGCCGACTTATTGACAAAGTAGTCGACAAATCCTCTATCGATGCTGACCGCAACAGCCGAAAGCTGAAGAACACCCTCGAAAGCCTGCAATCTGAGGTTGAACTGCTTCGATATGAGAATCAAGGACTCCGCGAGACAATTAGCCAAGAAAAGAAGCGCAGACAGCGCGGTAAAGCTCTGAAAGATCTGCTCTTTGATCGTACAGATCCAAATTCAGCTCAGGTGTTTAGCCCAGCAAAAGTCGCTCAAGCCCGCCTAAAGAAAGCGGCGATGGACGCCCAAAAGAAAGAGGAGGTTCTGCAGAAGGAATCGCAAAAGGCTCAGCGACAGCAGAAGGCGGCGGAGCAAAAAGCTCTCGCTCTGGAGAAGAGGAGGCAACGAGAGGCGGAAATAGAGAGAAAACGGCAGGTAAGGGAGGCCAGGCAGCAAGAGAAGGAGACCAATCGACAGATTCGACAAGAACTTAAGCGTCGCAATCTGGAAATGGCACATGAAATGCAACATGAACGACGGGTGGCTTCTGAAGGCCGCGAGAAGAGTCCGGACGTTCGAGACGAGATAATCGTCGCTCTTCCACTCATACCAGAGCCGCCGGTAGCATCACAGGCCCTAGATCTACCAAAAGACAACCGAAAAGGGAAGGCAGCGACCACTCCAATCCGTACCGCTCGTCCGAAAAGACCCTGTCTAGCTGTTGAGAGTGATCGGGAGATGGTAGTCGCATTTCGGGGTACCGGGCGGCCGCAGCGGAATAGCAAGCGACCACGATGGCTTGATGACTGCGAAATAGACTGAGACATATCTTATAGTTGCATTTTCATTATGTGTTTAATTTTGGAAGATTTGGGACTGCGGCTGTGGAGCTATTATAGATTGATGTCTGGAATGCAAGTAGGTGTAAGTCCGGCGAATCACCAGATCCGGCAGATCACCGGGAAATCCCTTACCGGTTAGGCACAAATGTCCGAGCGGTGAGGAGATACTATGGGAAGATGGCTTATTCGATGCCTACCAGCATGTCACTAAGGGTAATAAGTCATCGCAGCAACCGTGGTTATCGCGAGGCCCCAAATATCTATATAAACCAGCTCAGATCCATTGTGGAATCGAAAATCTTGACCAGCACCCTCAACATCATCCACAAGTTCCCAAGTCCTCACCAACCTTAAGGCTATCATTTCATCCTTTGACGAAAGCTCACACTTTCTCACATTATCCAAAATGAAGTACTCTGCTGCCCTCTCCGTCCTCACCCTGGCCGTCGCTGCCCTGGCTGCCCCTGCCAACGTTGAGGGTCGTGACAGTGGCCATGGTGGTGGTAAGGGTGGTGATACCAACATTGCAGCAGCGACCGGCAGCAGGTTTGCTGCAACGGCCTCCTTGGTTGTGCTGTCCCGATCCTTGGATCAGCTGTGACGGCAGCGCCTACTGCTGCAACACCGAATCCAACGTAAGACCATTCACTTCCTTTGAAATGCCACGCAAATAGCTAACACCTAGCTCCACAGGGCTCGCTCATCTCCCTCAACCTGCTCGACTGCCTCAAACTCTAAGTGCAGTCCAAGCAAACGATGGGAAACCTTTCCCAACACACGGCTAAGACAGCAGCAAATTTGGTTAGGGGCAGCTGAATTTCATGCCCTTGCCTCTTAGGGTAGCCGAAAGATGGAGCAAGAGGGAAGTCAATCTTTGAAAATGTATCGATGATGCTCTGATTTATTGCCACATTCTTTTTGGTACTCGGGATATCTTGTGACGGTCAAGGTTCCCAACGTAGTAAACCGTAACCAGATGGGTTTATGTTGGCAGTTGTGACGGGGCGTAGCGTACTGAGCGTAGGGTTGCGTATCACGTCTGATAATATCAAGAAGTATTCTTGAGTAATCAAATTGTATTGAAAGCTGGAGAGCTATCTAAACATAGGGAAGTGGGAATGAGTGAAGCTATATATACTATTCTGATTTGCTTGGTCGATCGTGGTCGAACGCACTCTTGCTGGACCCGTTCGACCATTTAAGGTTAAGGTTTCACTGGGAACGATGGAGCGCGAGGAGCGATAGGAGCGATGCTCCCCCGCTCCCATCGTTCCTGTCGCTCCATCGCTCCTTCCCTGATTCGCCCGTGAGGCTGACTCATCAGCCTTACCGTTCGTTGTTTTGCCACCCTTCTGGCTTGGGTCGTGACAAAGAGGTTATAGGGAGTATAACGTTAACTGCAAGGTCCTGGCCATGGCTAACGATGCTACAATAGACTACATCGAGCGGAGGCTTGCTAGGAGTGTAGCAGGTTCGACATATACCCAAACTTCGTCTTCTGCAGCGCCCAATCGCTGTAAGAGTACCTATAAGACGAAACAGACCGCGGCAGCAACGACTGATGACGAGTATGTGCGGTACTGCGCGGAGGATATTGTCAATAGGCACCACTACAGGAGCAGACCAATTGACTAGTGGAAAATCAACGCCAATCGGTACCCGCGACTGTCTCTCACTATCCCATCGTTGTCTACAGGGAGTGAGAGAACGTTTAGTAGTGCAGGACGTATAATAGCGCCGTTGAGAAACTGGGTGGGGAGGGAGATAGTGGCGATGGCTCAGTGCATTCGATCATGGAGTGAAGCTAGGATCTACAGGCCTTCACTGCCGCTGCTTAGCCTTAGTGATAACTAATGGGTTGATGCACTTGCGTTGCTGAAGGAGACGAGCGATATCTAGTCGGATCAGCTTAGAACCTGTTTTTAACCAATTGACTTATACCCTCCGACATCTCTTCCGAAGCCCCCAGTTACTCTGACGTTATTCTACCTTCGCCGGGATTAGTCATGCGTTCGATCCAGGGTTGAAAGCCACTCCACTCAATCCACTGGCTGCTCGAGTGGAGTGGGTAGATCATAATCCACTGAATATCTCAGTATAGTGGATCCACTGGAAGCTATCGTGGATTGGGTGGATTGGGTGGATTGGCAAGTGCCTCTATTCTTGATGCCACGATGGTGAAGCTATTCCGGGAGCCCTTGCCCACGTACGTCACTTATTCCAACTTCCAAGTGAGACTTATCTCCAACTGGCTTCCATCTCGTCTTGAACGCTCACCACCTGAGTGAGCCACTTTGTTGCCCACCCTTGAAGCTGTTGATCTGACATCTGAGCCAATTCGAGGTCGACTTTTTCTTCGTCTACCGAGATAAAGAAGGGATCTAATTCATGAATAATACCCGCCCTCAGCCATGAACGCAATACCTGGCACATCCCGATAATCTGGGCTTCAAGTTGGTGGCGCAGAGGGTTCACCATCCGACCTGCTGCTGAGAAGAGACGTTCACACTCAGCAGACATTGGTTGTATCGTGAGAAAATCAAGCGCCATTCGCGATAAGTTTGGATACTTGAATCGCTTCTCGTGCCAGTAAGCGAGAGGATCGTCGATGGAGCCATCGCCACTTTCGCAGTGCGTAATCCAATGGAGATATTCGTCTTCGCCTGGCGTGAGGCCATCGTGACCTGCTTCTGGCGCTGTGTAGCGGTTTAGTTTAAGGTATTCCTGGAACGGATTGTCCGAAGTCTTCCGCTGCTTGGGAACTGGCTCAACGGCTGATGGCTCCTCTCCAGGCAATGCAGCCTCCCGATATTCAAAACGCCAGACATCATGGACCATGTTTTTTGCCTCATCAATCCACTCAGGGCGGTGAGACCAGTTGCGTTCAAACCATTTCCATCGGTATGCCGGATGGAGCGCCAGGCCAGTGTAGTAGATGGGCGTCTCGCTCAATATCTCGTAGTACTCATTCAGCTTCTGCCAGCCTAAATTGATGTTGATCCTGAAGTGTTCAGAATCAGGGAAGTCCTTGGCGATATCCTTGAAGCGTTCAAGCTGCTGGAGAAGGAGTTCGAAGCCTTGAATAACGTCCCAAATATTGCCATATGACGCAGTCCACCCACGCTTCCGCTTGCGGATCTGGCCGTCGCCTTCGAGCATTTTGATCGTGGCTTCGTAGTAACTAAGGATTCGCTCAAATATTTCGACCACCTCCCAGTCCTTGTCGGATAGCTGGTTCTCTGGCTGGCAAATAAAGGGCAATGTGAGTGACTTCTTAAGGCCGCCCCTCTTGGTCTTGTTCTGTTGTTCGAAGTCGATTCGATGGTGGGCAATGAGTCGCTCGACATAGTCGCGGAGCAGTAGAGCTCGTCGTATCATATACAACTGTGACAGCCATCTGGTATCGTTGTCCAAAATAACATCCAGCGGCTTTCTGGCGCTCAGTTTGGGGTCAGATGACTTGTTGAAAGCTTCTTGTTGAATGTTGCGAAGCATGCCAGTCAACAAGTCAGATCTGTGGATAGCTACCACAAGATTGTGCAATTTGCCTGCTGGCCCCTTCTTGCGCCAAATCAAGTGTTCTGCTTCGGTAAGAGGCTCTGCCCCTGATATCCGCCGCTCAAAAGCGTCAGCATCGTGCCCAAATAGAATGGCTTTGGCGGAGAGGTTCAAGGTATGCCCAAAACAGCGCCCTCGCCTGCGTGCCCCTACGAAGCCGAGCTCTCCACCAATAATCTCCATGGCGGTATCATTGTTTTTCGCGTTGTCAAGCGTGAAATAGCCAATCTTGTCTTGGATCTGATACGATTCAATTACGTCGAGGATTTCGGCGGCGATATTGGGCCCAGTGTGCCTGGCGATAACTTCGGGGAGCCCAAGCGTAATCTTGCAGGGCTTGTTGTTTTCGTCCCTAAAGAAGCAACAGATACCATATAAGGCGTACCGGTTTCCAGACCGCCAGCCGTCGAAGGACATGTGGATAAGGCCAGGCGCCTTGCTCAAGGCCTCTATCACCTTCTGCTTGTGTTGTTCGAACGCGGCGACGATCTTTTCTCGAACTGTTGTGTGGGTAATATTGGCTTTACGTGCCGAAACTGACGGGTTCAAGTAATCGAAGATAGCATGGAGTTCTGCCTCCTCGGCAATTGAAAAGGAGTGATTCTTGGCCACGATCCAATCGATCAGAAGCCTCCGGAAGTGTTCCTTGTCGAACCGTTTGATGAAGTCGTTCGCAATTGCTTGTTCTCGGGGGTCGTGTAGATCGAGCTTCATGGATTCCGCGAGAGTCCGCTGCCCCGGAGGCTTTCTGCCCTTAGAATTCGCCTTCTTTTCAGCAGTTCCTTTGGTCATTCCAGGAGGAGCGCGAATCCCGTGGTCATTGAACAGATGATTGTACGCGTTGTGAATGCCATCAGCTTCGAAATGACGTGGATGTGGGTTATTCTTGCGAATGCACGCTCGGCATATCCATCTGCGGTCATCTTCCTTTTAGATGTCATATCCAAATTGCCAGGCCCAGCAACGCGTCTCCCTGGCTCGCTCAGAGAACGCCCAGCCTGGGAAATGCCTCCAGAGCGTACGTTCGTACTGTTCATCGCTTGTGGAAGAGGTCGTCAGAGTCGAGACAGGGGTCGAGGTTGAACAGGTAGGATACGGCGTCGGGCAGGGCGTTGATTCGGCAGCGGACCCGAAGCCGCTGTCGGAAATGTCGAAGCAGGAATCAGGTGAGGTCATGGTAAAATAATATCTTTATCATGTCGAAATCACAAAACATGGTGTGGTGATGGGCCAACAGGTCGTCAGGAAAGCGCGAATGACGCGTCCAACGCGACCAGTTGGCTCAATATGCTCTTATCCTGCAGATGTTTCAGATACTTCCTTTCAAGCCGATTTGTTGTGGACAAGCATGTAGCGAGTGTCATATTGGGGTCGGATAGTAGATAAGTCCCTAACAGCCTTTAAATCACGAGCTTGACGCGGTCAGTGTTGCTTGCAATTTTTTCGCGTAGTATTGAGATATTGCGGGATTTGGACGCGTTTTTCAAATCACCTTGCCGGAAGTTATTTAATGGTATAAGTGTTGTATTATAAATCTAAAATATGGACAGTCGAACGTGATATGTGCTGGAAGTGTAGTTGTGCAATAGGAAAATGTATAACTATTGACACCCCTCAGGATGATATAGCACTGAAGAAGCAAATCCTAAGTATACCTATCGAGGCTTATATCACCCTAATGAGAAAGCCCAGAACACTTCAATAGTATTCACTGTATTGTATGCATTCTAAAACCGCGCTGTTCAGAAGCTTCATGGCGTTTTTGATATAGGGTAACAACATTGTAGAAATGTAGAGGCACATCAGTCTCTGTTAGAGGTATTCTGCCAAAATATGGGCGCCCTTAACTACCCCGCTTCTAATCCACCCAATCCACGCAGTCCACCCACGACATCGTCGAGTGGGTTCGGTGGATTAGCCAATCCACTGGGATTTTGCCAGTGGAGTGGACAGTGGAATCCACGAGTGGATCCACTACGTGGATTGAGTGGAGTGGCTTTCAACCCTGCCTGTGATGATCTCGTCCTGGCTCAACTTTTGCGGTGGCTTGTACTCGATCGCGACCGTTGGGACATTTCGATCGTCGGAGATACGATATATGCAGAAATGATCTGCTCGATTGCCTTTCCTCGGTGCCTTTCGACGTCGAGTTGTTTGGTTGGGTGGTCTGGGGAATTGTGGCGTTGTTCCACTGCCACTGGTGCCCCATAGACATATAATCCATTGACTCAGAGAGTGACTCATCGTCGTTACCGAGGTTCGTGTGGCTTTCGAATGTCACCGTTCCATAGAGGTCGAGGCGGCTCCTCAGCAACGGATCGTTATACGTCTCGTCCACCAGCTTCTAAACCGCGTTTTCCACAACATGCCGCTGGCAATTCCGGAGTCAAAGCTCGCTGCTAACTAGAAGCAGGGACCTCACATAATCTAGCTGGTGCCGGGATGGAAAGGCGGCTCGGGAAGAAAACGAGGGACTGAAGGAGAGCTGATCATAGACTTCTTATTTCGTTGCGAAAGTGGTCTAAGGGATGATTCGTCGAGGATAAAATCGGCCGGTCTGGTTCGTCATGTCCCCATGTGTCGTCAGGGAACGGTCGGTTACTACCTTGATAGCAAGGCTGAGTGAATAGCATGTTTCAAGATATTGGTGGAGTATCAATGGTTGTGATGCGCTGGCACGTTCTTCAGCCTCTTCGCGTCGACATTGCTCTTCTTCGCGTCGACATTGCTCTTCTTCGCGTCGGTGTTGTTCCCGAACGAGGCTTCTGGTGACTGACCCAGCTTCCAGCCTGACCAGCCTATCCCGGGCCGGGGGTGACGTGTGGCCCCTGGTACTTCAGGAGGAGAAGCAACGTCTAGACCCTCCTGACTTCGCTTTCCGGTCGAGCGTGATAGCCGTAAATACGGCGCTTGCATTTACGTAGTGTGCAGTAGTTAGGGGTATTAATAGCCAAAGCCTGGCGGCGGCGCTTAGTATGAAGTATTGAAATGACTGCTGACACTCCCTTCTCCTCATTGCCGATCCCAGACATGGCGGGTGTATAGCCCACCAAGGCAAATACCCTCTATCGTACAGAGTAGCAGGAGGCTGTTCATCATGGCTTATCCAGGACCGTCCATGGGGTGGATATAAGTGCATTACTCCACAAAGCTTAAGAGACGGGAGAGATGCTAGGGTATTGGCAGCGGCTGTAGATGTCTACCTAGAGCCTGTTTGACATTGGGTCTTTTATATGCCCTAATTAAATTTAAGGCCGCGGAAGATGGTCTCTAAGTGGAGGGGCAGGGGGGAGTGCATGCAGTTGTTTCCGGGAAGGAATGTCGGAACCTTTCATTATGCTATAAAATTGATGCAGGCTGAGCTTAGGAGACTACTGGAAGATCATGGTGATATGTTTCTCCATTGTTTCCCTCTCTAGCCCCCTGATTGGTGTAATTTATTGCCAAAAAGTATTGCCGAATGGCTTTGATGCTGCCAATGCTTGTCAATTGTTAAGTTGGATGAGGAAAGGGAAATCGCTGGGAACGCCAGACTGAGCACATTAAGTACATTTTAGCCCAGCACCTTCATTGTTTTCTTGCTGCTTGTTTGCCTGCTTGTTTGTTAGTATGTGCATGTTGGTTATTTGCATTTTTGTATGCTTGGCAGTGAGGGGCGGGGAGCTGATCCTCTCTGTAATGGACGGAGCCCGGTTATGGGACTCTGGATTCTCTGACCCTAGATGGATCGCGTCTTTCGGCTACAGACGATTCCCTCGAGCTGCTGGCTGTGCGCGGCATGTAGCAAAGTTTGCAAACCGGACAAGTGTCGTGCTGTTTCAGGAACCATTTCGTGATACAATTTGAATGGAAGATGTGGCCGCACGGCAAGTGACGGACCGTGTCCCTTTCCTGCAACGTCTGCAAGCAAATGACGCTAGGTGTGGAGTTAGAGCCTAAACACTGGTGGGCCGAGTTTTTGGAAGTCCTTACCAGGTGTGAAAGGTGCTGGACCGTTCAGCGGAGCTCCCCGCGTCTTTCGTTTCGGCTTTCCATTTCTTGTAGGTCCGGGTTGGAATTGTTTGGTCTAAGTTTTCAACTGAGAAGAGACCCCTGGCAGCATCTAGATCCTCCGGATGGACGCCCACTCGTTCGCGTTCCAGTCGCCTTAATAAATACCTGTGGCCTCTGTTAATTGTCGAATGGGGAAAAAACGAGTGAGCCCATTGGCGTGCGAGGAGAAACAGACCAAGGAAAGAATACTATTAGAGCTATGACGAACTCAGCGCCGAACAAGATGAGCAGCGAAAGATATGCCAGCTGTGCAGGTGAGACTCCCTCGTCCGAAGCAGTGGTGTTAGTGCTCATGTTGACGGTCCAATTATTGATGTCTCCATGGTCCATTGAATCTGGACTTGTCTTGGCATTTCCGTTATGTAACGTGAAAGGCGATTGAGAATTCCGCAGCGCCCCGCTTTATGTTTTCTGTGAGCTTCGGGCAGATGCCGTCGGCAGTACTGACATTTCCCAGTTCCTCAGCAGGCCTAGTCGTAGCGTCGATAGGCCAATGGCACCCTAGAGCTGACATTGCCATGACGCCGAGCAGACGTCTCCATCGCCGACACGTGAGTGTGCACCCGCCCTACTCTCCCCACACGTGGTGGCAAAGTAACAAAACAAGGCGTTGAAAGCTTAATATCAAGCCCTTAGATTACCTTGATTGGTTGCATCGTGGCCATGGCTCACCGCCACTACAACTGGCCGTCCGTCTCCTTTCTTTGATATTCGGGAGTTGTCATGTGAAAATGGTCTGAGTGCTGCGGACGGGCTTCCAATGGCGGTTCCAGCGGTCGGCGTGCGTGACGCAAGCCTTGGCCCATCTTGTTGGTCGCGTCGTGGCCACGGCTAACAGCCAGGGTAATGGCTGTTCAATTCTCCTCTTTACTTGGCTTGCAGCCCCACAATGCCAACGGGTAGTTGCCAACAATCCAACGTTCCGCTTGCCGATGTCGCTGTCCGAACCACTAACCCGGCGTTCATTGGTCGAGTTTCACAGACTATGCTTTGACAAGCCGGTCAAGTCGGTCGGGTTAGGTAGATTACTCTCCCTAGCCACACGCGTGGCGTTTGCGCTATTGATTCTCGCGGTAAATGCCGTACCAAAGGAATGTCATCTGACACCGCAGTGCAACCCGGGGCTGCCCGTGGCTGAAAAATGAAGTGTCAACCATGTCCATACGAAATGGAGGCCGCATTTCACCCTACAAGCATGCACGGGTGAAAAGCGTGTATTTTGACGAAAGGCTGGCAAGACCCTCCAACGTACAAAAAAACCAACGAGAATGATTGGGACAGGGACGTGTGCGCGGACGCGTTTGGACATATTTTGTCGAAATACGGGCGGTAATCAGCATAGTAGGTACATTTGAAATGTTACTGATATTGGATATGAGTTGCCAAGAGCATGTGAAAGGCCATCTAGAGTTCATTTAAAGAAAAGGCAACTGACTCCAAAAAGCAGACCAATTTACCCCACCCAGCGAAGCAGCGGACATTCGGATCTAACCAAAATCCAGCTCTAGTCAAGTCTATTCTCTCATCTTTGTTCGACGAACCATTCAATTTCTCGTTTTTCTTTCTCACCTGTCGGATTCTATCGCAAATCGCTGTTGAAATCCAGCCATTGCCAAGCCTGCGCTGATACCCCACCCAACTTAAGCTTGGCTTGTCAGCCCAAGTGATCGACACTTGCCAAACTTCGAGCGTCGATATTATCTCAATTTCTTGTCGGCCTCTCACTGTTGGGACATCAACATGGACGGATCTCGATACCTCGTTGCTAGAGACTTGGATGAGTTAAGCCATGGTAAGTGACTACGGTCGCCTTATCCTCATGCCTATCGACAGCCGCTGATGACTGTCCACAGTACTTCAGCTCGTCTCTCGAGGTAACGACTGCATCAAGTGTGACGATAGCACCGAGCTCCAATGTCCTAAGTGCTCAGATGGCGAGAGCTGCCAATTTACCATTCCCCTCGACTGCACCCAATGTGCTACATCCGTCTGCATGAAGGATGAAGAGGCCGAATCTGACAAAGGCGGCGGCGGCCTAAACATTGGCGGCATCGTTGGCTGTGTCGTCGGTGGCATCGTTATGATTGCCGTCGCTACATATCTAGTCTGGAGGTTCTGTATCAAGCCTAAGAGGTCACAGACTCCCACATCTATCAACGTCGAAGACGTGGATCCTGTGCAAGGCTCCGAGAAGCATGCCGTGAGGGGAACTCGTCCCCCATCGACACATACCGTTCACTCTATCGCTCCCACGGTCCTTACTCGAGCCTCCAATATTATCCAAATCGCCTACATCCCCGGCGTTACAAACCGAGCGACTCCGACGTCACCAAATGTCCTTGTTCCTCCCGTCCCGCCGATCCCCATGCATCACGCCGAGGGCAACCAAGGCCAAGGAAACGACGACCAACACTTTTTCGTCCTTAGCGACCGTCAAGACTCGACCTACTCGGGCGTATCTGGCTTCTCAGACCAAACCTCATACGCTCGCACCTCTTACGCGCCTCGCTCTAACGTTGCTTTCCTTCCGAGGTTTTACTCTGATCATTAGGCCGACATTCCCAGCAAAGTATGGCTTCCTAGACAGCAGCCCAGCATCTCAGCGCAGTCTCCCGCGACAATCGAATCGACTTCTTCTTTCTGAACTCTCATAGTCAGATAGTTCACGGGTTCCAAGTTAGTAACGGTCCTTAGAAACATGAGTTTCTGAGGAGTACCTTTATCATCAAAACGTACCTTGGAAAGTTGATTGATGGCGAACTATGGAGAGGTGACTGGATAGTAGAGGGTGGATGGAGCATCGGGAAACCAGTTCTGGCTTCGAGGGGGCCAGGTGAGCTAGAGATCTTCACAGTCGGCCAGGACAACACTCTATATCGCAAGTGGTGGGATGGAGAGACGGAGAGACTCGGAGGCTTCGGACCATTAGGGGATTGTGTTGCTGTTCGAGCCTGACGGCACCGAATGTTCACTCCAATGGAAGTGGTGGACCGGCAGCGCATGGAATCCCTCCCAGAGAGGGTATGCCGTCCATTCACGGGTGGCAGCGCATCCTCGTCTTCGTCTTCGTCGGGGCCTTGGCAGGCTTCGAAATCGATCGATCAGAGCTGCCAGTCGATCGATATCGATCGATTACAAGTCCTGATCGATCGATTTGATCGTCGATCGGGTGGACCGTATATAAATCGGTGAGGTGCAGGGTAGGCTGCCCTGGATTGTGCCTCTGTGTGGATCGCAACACATCGCATGTCCCACAAAGCACCCCTGGCAGGCGCGATTGGTGGAGAGACGCTGCTGTTGAGTGCTTTCTGAGGAGGAAGGCGCCCCACCACCTTCCTTTTTAGGATTCTGCAGCTTCGTTGCCTCGTCACGTGAGGCTCTGTCTGATCGATTTGATCGATCGATATCGATCGACTGAGACGGCCGCTCGATCGATATCGATCGATTGAAGGTGACGATCGATATAAATCGATCGATCAGGGCTCGGAATCGATCTATACGATCGATTTCGAAGCCTGGGCCTTGGTCATGCCATGGCCAACCTCTTCCCTCTCGTCCCTGTCGCCGCAATCGGAGCTTTGGGAATCGTCGGCCGTCTCTTGAATGTCATCCCCCTCCAGCAGTCTAGCTTCCCAAGCCAACACGATGGATATCGATTCCCAGGACATTTTCTTGGGCCAAGCAGGATCTGGGGTGTCCTTGACCCTACATTCGTCTCCCTGCCCGTCGAGGCTCTCTACTCAGTCCTCATTCTTGTCAGGTTCAACCCGCAGACCCCACCGAGGAAGATATTTAACCTGGATGAGAATCCTACGCCTGGCGAGATAGCCACGTTCCCGTTCGAGCTCTTCAACGACGAGCTTCGGGCAGGCACGCCTCCGAGGACTAATGGCGCAAAGGTTGCCTGGTGGTGGGTGAAAGGGTTCCGTATGAGGCTCAAGAGCAACAGCAAGAAGCTTCGATGGGTATGCCGTCTGTGCGTGAGGAAGAGGTGCCGGACGGTTTCGCACTTCTCGTACGAATCTAACGGCAGTGCCAATATTATCAAGCACCTGCGAGATATTCATGGGATCAAGGTAAGCAATAAGCAGCTCCTCATTCTTTTACTCCAACTTAATCTTGCAGGACCCAGGAAGGAAAGACGTGACGCCGCCCAGCCGCACTAAGACTCTGACAGAACACTTTGGAGTGACCGCAGCCCCAGCCGACCAGCGTATCTTTTCTACCATTCTTGGGAGGCTCAAACTCGGCGCATTCGAAGAGCTTCTCGTCGACTGGATAACACACGATAATCTCCCTTTTCGACTAATCGAGAGTGAGCGTCTCCGCCGCCTCATTGAGTTTGTCAACCCGATGTACAAAGACAAGATACCATCTTCCGCGGTCCTTCGATCTCGACTGCGATCGATCTACAATGGGGCGAAAGGAGCTGTAACGGAACATCTAAAAACTGCTCGTGGCAAGATTCACATCACATTTGATGGCTGGACGTCTCGCAATCAGCTCTCGTTGCTTAGAGTCAACTGCTTCTTTGTTGACGAACAATGACAGCACCGGAAACTGCTTCTCGCCCTTCCAGCTGTATCCGGACTCCATACTAGCGATAACTTAGCCAACGAAGTGGCTGACGTCTTGGCAGAGTGGGATCTTGGAAGCGACCGGCTTGGGTATATGGTCCTTGATAATGCCAGCAATAACGACACGGCAATGGTGGCTCTCGGCAACGAATTCGAGTTTGATCCAGACGAACACCGTCTCCGCTGTCTGGGCCACGTCATTAACCTCGCTGTCAAGCAGCTGATATTCGGCAAGGCGGCGGACGCAATGGAGCATACAAGCAGCAGCGAACTGGACTCCGAATACGATTTTGACTCTCTACCGGCCGATAAGCTTATGCAATGGCGGAGGAGGGGCCCAATTGGTCGACTTCACAATCTCAACGCCGCTGTCTTGAACTCGCCACAACACCTAGAGTGCCTCTTGAAGTGGCAAGAAGAAGATCTCAAATGCGGTGTCCTTGAACTCGTCGATCCTGAGACTAGGAAGAAGCGAGTGCCGCTCAGACCTATCGCTGACAACGAGACCCGCTGGAACTCTCGCCACCGTATGATGGTCCGCGCTCTGCTTCTCCGTAGATACTTCAATCGGATTGTCGACAAGGCAGAAAGGGCGTGGGGAAGGAGCAAGAGAAAGTCAACGAAGCCTTCTATAATTGACGACAAGCTGTCAGAAGAGGACTGGGATGTGGTTGAGGTTTTCATTCAAGTCTTGCGGCCGTTTGATGAGATCTCCGTTCGTCTACAAGGCAACCCGAAGACTAGCGAGGATGACTATGTTACCACCGGCTCCTTTTGGGAGTATTTCCCCTCCTTTAAGTATCTCTTAACGCATTTAGAGGAGCTCAAGCAGAATCATGACCTCCTTGAGGGCTTGGGAGAGGACAGCGCTGATATGGTTGCTACCCATATCAACCTTGCGTGGATGAAGCTTAAAGAGTATTACAATAAACTCTGGCCTGTTGCGTATATCGGTACTATAGTGCTTCACCCTTGCTTTGGGTGGCCGGCGCTGCAATACCACTGGGAAGGACATGCGGATGCGACGCAGTGGGAAGAAGATTACCCGACAAGACTTAAGAAGATGTGGAAGGAGGAGTATGCTACTCGCGTGGTTCCTGGCTTAGCGATGATGTCGACAGCGAGCAGCCGAAGGGCGCTCTCTGGATATGACGCGTTCCTGGCACAGTCGCTCGGCAAACGCAAAAGGGCGCATCCAGAGGACAGAGCGGGATATCCTTCGCAACGGCGCCCAGCGCTTGACGAGTACGAACGTTATATCCAGACTTTTACCCCCGCCGACGACAAATACCAATTCAGCCCTCTTTCTTGGTGGAAGGAGCACGAAATGGAGTATCCGAACCTCTCTCGAATGGCCTCTGACTTGCTGTCTATCCCTACAATGTCAGCAGAGACTGAAAGGTCGTTCAGTAGCGCGGGAAAGATGGTATCACCTTTACGAACTCGTCTTGATCGACACACTATTGGGATGGCGCAGAGTATGCGGTCATGGAGCAGGGGAGGGTATTGTCCTACCCTCATGGCAGTGATGAGTGGGATCGGCGTTAAGGCGTGAAGATCGGAGATATCCGTTAGTCCCAAACAACCAACTGCAATCCAACTGAGAGCAGCCTCGTCCAACGTCAATCCAACTGAAATATACTTGGCCGGATGTCAATCCAACTGCGAGGAGGTACCAGTTGAGTTGAATTGGTTGATTACGCACCCTGGTACAAGGGAGTGCATGTAGTTAGCGGTGGTGCATGAGGCTCAACTTGACAGGATGCATCGTCTCAGTGCGATGCATGTTCATGAAGGACTGGAAGATCCAGCAGAGTAAAAGACGTACATCATACCGTCAACACCAGCAACAATACCAGGCCCGACGGCACGACCATCACCATAATGCCGTCGGCACATTCAGCACCACCGTTGCCTTGGTAGAACGGCTATCATCGCGCAGGGTCCTGGATAGCTCGCCATCCGGCGAGCTGCATTCGCTGGCCTCTGACACGGCGATCCTAGGCGAGTACAGCCCTCAAGCGGGTAGACACTTAAGCCGAGGTTTCGAGTCCCCAGAAGGGAATTTTATGTGTGGATAATGATTAGATTTCTAGTCGGCAGTGACCGAGAAGACCGGCGACGAAGGCCAAGTTCCCCCGTCGGTCTCGCTGCACATGGAAATCCCCTTTGGTCTTTTGTCATATCAACATATACGACTCGAGCGTCCGAGGACATAGAACCCCACCCAATATCTGTGACGGGACAAGAGCACGAACGAGGTCGAGTGCGACTTGGGCAAAATGATTGTTTACAAGGAGAGAAAGAGATTCCTAAGGAAAGCTCTGACTTAAAGCTATTTATACAATATTCATAAAGTGACTATTCATAAAGTATGAAAGTCACATGATCGTTCCCTCACAATATCTTCAAGCCTTCACCTCCAGCACAATATTCTCTGCAGGCAGCAATTTCATCCCAGTGGTAAAGTGTTGCCCTGTCTCAGCTCGGTTTTCTGCCTCCTCATACGAACTCCTCGACGCCCGCACGGCTGCCGGGGAGGACGTAGTGCAGCCCGACAAAGCCAATGAAGCCTAACTCTGGGTTAATGAGGTTGTAGGCGCTGTGGCCGAGCTCGAGCTGCTGCTTGAAGGCCTGATAAAGTTAAAGGGTTGCATATATTAAGGTCTAAGTTGTGTCTCCTGTGAGAAGCACAGCTGAGCCCAGCTATGTAATATCCACATCCCAGCCACCAGCAGATCGGATCTTCTTAGTCATGCGGTCTCAACAACCTCTGACCCCATTACCCAACATCGTATCCATAGTCTTTCAGGACTTCCGCCTCTCGTCATCGGAGTGATCGCCGTTGTGAGCGAGCTCCGTCATGCTCTCCGTCTCGTAGCTCTTCGAGGGTCTAAGCGGGGATCTGAACGGGAGGCGGTGCGAGGTGCGCTGCTGGCCGTCTTGCGGCCGCATACCCTCTGTCAGTTCCGCCACATCCGGCCGTCTGCCGTTCCGAAGATCATTCATCAGGTTCTTGCAGGCTCCCCAGGAAGTGACGATGTAGATGGCAGTGTTCCAGAAGCCTTGGAGGGGAAGAACGAAGGCGCTCATGTACTCTAGCGGCGCGTAGGTGCTCCCAGAGTGGACGAACGAGTACACTCGGTTGGCGCTGGACGGGAGCCATGTGATGAGAAGCGCAGTGAAGAAGAGGATGGCGCACTTCGTGTATCCCCAGGCCGCATTGTTCACGTCGTAGTTGCGCCGACGAGCAGTGGTAGGGCCCCGTCGAGATGTCGCGTCACTGCCGGGTGCCTGCCGCGTAAGCCGGATGGCGTCGTCTTGTGCCTGGCTATAGGCGTACGAATGTGCCGAGATGATGACAGTATACGCTTCAGTGTCATGTTGACCCTGGGGAGGCGCACCGGAACCTCGGCGGGCCATGGGCTGTAGATGGATGGATCGAGATTCACCCACAACTTCTGTTGTCACGCTCACTTCGGTCGTCTTAAGGCTACCCGTAGCTTCTCCGTTGACAGACAAAGGGTCGGGGTCCGATGTGCTAAAGTCATGAAGCTGTTTGCGCTTCTCGTAGATGGTGCGGCCAGCGCGAATGTAGATGAAGAAGATAATGACCATGATAACCCTGAGATACTACTTTAGTGTGTGCGTCACCATACATCTGGCCACAAAGGTGCTCACCAGATGGGGCCGTAGAAGCCGGCGATACGCCAGACGCTCCATTCAGGGGCAATCCAACACCACAACACGGCATTTCCGTAGGCTCGCTGGCCCGCGTGGTTTTTGACAAAGATGAAGACAAATGCGGGAACGAGAGGGATGCCGTAGCAGCAGCACAAGTACGGAATCTCCATCCCCCGGAGTCGTTTCGCATCAAACTTGAAGTAGAAGGTGAGGTAGACGTTGATAGCCATGGCCAGCGTCCAGAAGGCGTCTGCCGGCATGAACCTGAGTAATGTATTAGGGACAATGCCGACTGTTCGGAGGGGCAGGCAACCTTACGTACATCTGTATTATAAATGCTTGCAATTGGCAGCCAGCCGAGTTGATTGAATTGATGTATGTGCGCGACATCATTGTTCCGACGTTGGTCAACATGTTACCGAAGGAGGCGTAAAAGACCAGTCGGTTGATGGGCTTGTGGAAAGACTTTGATAGACAGAACGTCGAGATGGTGAAGACGGATGCCAGCAGAGAGAGGACAGAACATGTGCGCTCAATGGTGCTGATTGCGTCCAGCTGATTCAAGGAGAGTGATTTCGTCATCTTGTCAGGTCGCCTGAGATACGTGGCACAAGGTCGTCGATGTTGAGAATTGTTATCTGCCAAGAGAGTCCGGCCGCCCAGCCTTCTCGACAGTGCACAGGAGTGCCAAAGCGACCAGAACACTGAAGAGCCGGGCGTATATGGAGACCCCGTGCTCAATGATGCTGTGGTATGTGACGCACTCGCGCGCGGAGGTCAGGTGAGGGCACGGGGAATACGCCGAAAAATATAGACTTTCAGCAACCGCGTGGAGAGTTATTCAAAACAACGACATTGGGATCAGCGCAAGACCACACCCTAAAAGTATAACTAATGGCCTGGCTTATTGAGAGCTAGTAGAACAGCTCGCAGTGGGCAGAGGCCCAAATGGCACTGGGCCACCGCGCGGTGGGCATTCAAGAAAGCAATCAATCAGACGCTACCTAACTGCATGTCACACACGCTGCCTTTGTCACACTAGGTAGGAGGTGATGAGGGAGGAAGCTTCAAACTCTTAGGCAAGAAGTCAAGAGCCTCCTGAACAAGAAGGGGCGCCGCCGGCAAATACCTTATTAGCAAGGAAGACGAGGCAAGCCTGCCTTACCCATATTTTCTGCTCCAGGAGGCTGCGCCACCCCATTGCTTGGCCTTTTGACCACGATGAGAAGAGGAAGGACTTAAGCTTAAAGACGCCTTCACTCGGCCACAGAGCGAGCACAACTGGAGCAGAGGCGTCCTCGCCGCTGGCTCTGACCGGTGAGGGGGGTTGGAGGCCGTCGTCGATCACTCGGGGTGGGAGTCTCCCACATACAATCCCGGAGGGCCCATGTGATGACGTTCGGTGTTGAGTCTCTTTTCGGGCCAGGGACTAACAGATTCGGGTAGTCAACGCCGAAATGCGTACCAGGCACCTGGGGTTGTGCGCATGGGAGAGGCATGGAAGCCATAGCTGATGGTGTGGACGATGCGAGCGTGGTCTGGACTGACACAATGGTGCAATGGTGTCGAAGGGGAGAAAGGTAACTATCTACCACCTCGCCTTTGGTGTTTGGTCGCCAGACATCTGATGCAGGTACCTGATATCACGCTTTTGCCGGCTTCCTTACAGTCGTCGTCGTCGGCGTCGTCGTCGTCCTCTTCCTCGTCCTTACCAGCTACAGATTCAACACCACCACCAAGACGGCGACCAGACAAACCCCACTCAATCACCGTCGCATCAAACACTCATCTCCAAGGCCCCATCCGCACCCTGTACGATGCCAACTCTCTCCGTTGCCGACGGTGAACCAACCCTGGCCGGTGGGGCTGCTGAAAATGAGAAACCTGGGGCACACTGCCACGCTAGACACGGGTGGCCAGGCGCTGGCGGGTTTAGGGGACGCGTTTTAGGCGCGTCGACGCGTTAACTTCGTTTAAATAGCTTAAACTTAAATTGATTAATGGGTTACATAGGCATAACTTGCCATGCCCAAGTTCGTGTACATCTGTAAGGTGTAAAGGGAATTCATAAGATACAAGGGAGCCAGCCAATCAACGAGCCAGAATCCCACTTTGACAAGAAAATTTGATCAGCGTGCGGTATGGGGAAGCGTCTTTCCGGTGAAAGTGAAATGCGGGGCATCACAGGGGTCATGGGCCAATGGCGACGCGTACAAAGAACTTTCAGCGAAAGTGGCGAGACGATAGGGATGTGGCTGTCCTTCCTGGGCCTGACCTGCCCGCCAGCAAGCAGTTCGGCCCAGCCTTTTTATTTGATTGCAGCAGAAGGCGTCAACATCGAACTTGTGGGAATCATCCAACGTCCCTGAGCTCACCAGCATATTCCAGAAAACTTCTCAAAGTAGTACCCTCCATAATAAGCTTATTATCAGACAGCATTGTCAAACACCACAAGGCCCAGCCAGTCACTGTATGCCTGCCTTCGCCCGATGGAGGGCCCTGACTCTCCACGCAACGTTCAGAAACGGAGGGGGGCTGCGGACGAAGGTTCAGCATTGGCAAGGAAGCGGCCACTGCTGGATCGTTCCACGGAGGCTACCATCGATCTCTGCAAGCGTTGCCGTGCCATCCACTGGGCTGACTTCGCTACGCCTCCAGCAGCAAGCAAAAAAGGCTGGCCGGTTACCCTCTATTGACGCTGGCGCTCTTGGCCAGTCATCATGTCCGGCGGGAGAATCAGTGACTGAGGTGCAGACCACAGTTGCTGCATCCGTCGCTGCTACTCCTGCGACGGCGAGTACACGGGGCCACTCTCTTATCGGGGGATTTGGCAGACTAATTGGCGTCTTTCGCGGACAAAAGGAGGGGCCGCGCCCGAAAACTCCACTCCCGCCGTCGGTCGCAAGAGGTCAATCGAGGAAGTTGAAGGAGAAATCTCCATCGAGAGCGACGCGACGACGGTTGAGGCAGAAAAGGAGGAACATGCCAAAGAGCCCGGGGATGATTCCGTCGCCCAGTGGGAGAACCAACTCCAGGATTCTGTGAAAGAAGCCGATGCCCATGACGGGGCGCTTACATGTCTTGCTCCCATCGTGTGTCCTCCCGTGTCGCTAGAGGAACCTGTAGACTTCACAGCAGCAGCTCCTTCCGCGGAAAATGGTAAAGCGACGGCCTCTGCTCCCTCTGCTCCCGAACAAAAGGATGCCGAAGAGGGTGTTACTGCCAAACCGGAACTTCACGCCAACGAAACCATCGAGGCAGACGATTCTGAAATCTTCGAATCGACAAAATCCTAGAACACCGCCAATCCGCCGAGGACCATACTATCCTTGAGCTGCGCATCTCCTGGAAGGCAGAGAACCCCGCCGACGAATTTACCTGGGAACCTGAAGCCAACGTTCAAGAAGACGCCCGCACCATTCTCTTCAAATATTGGCGCACCGTCAAGGGCGAGCGCAAGAGCGCTGTTGTCGACGAAGACCTGTGGCATGTCCTCCACGTCGAGGGCCACCGCCTCGTCCCAAGCAGCGGCGACGTCCTCCTCGATGTCGCCTGGGTCGGCTCCCAGCAGCGGTCGTGGGAGCCCGAGGCCGCCGTTAGTGAGTATGCGCAAGAGCACGTTGATGATTACTGGGAGCGCGTTGGCGGACGCGACGAGGCCGTCGCCGCGGCGGGAGCTGGGCAGACCGCCAAGAGAAAGGCTGGGCCAAAGACCGACACCAAGGGAGCCCGAAGATCCACTTCCACCACCAGTGCAACGAAGTCAAGAAGAGTGGCGACAACGCCCAATGGGAGAGCCACGCGCGCGACGCGAAGTTGAACGACTTTTTTTCTTTCCGCGACTTCTTCGCATCCCTTGTCCGTTCTTTCCACTTTCCGGTATCCCTACAATCGCCCAAAATCGCGCGGGAACGCCAGACCGGATCTTCGCACCTTCATGCCATGCGAACAAGCAGCGGCAAGCAGGACAGGCAGTTGGGGTGGGCTTCCGGGCTGACCACGCGCCGAGGCGAGCTGGTTGCGCTTCCCATGCCCACCAACAGCTGGGCTCCAAAGTAGGGTTCGGAGAGAAGGGTTGGGGATGTGTCGGTGTCCCTAGAGGCGAGCACAACGAACGTTGCTTTGGCGCAGGCTCACTTCGCTTTGGGAGGCGACGAGATGGTGTTTGGGGTTTCGCCTGTGCACCTTGCTGTCCTGGACTTGATCCCCTAATAACGGTCAACTGCAGCCACCGTCAAGACACCGGGAGGTCCGCAGACCTCGACGATTTAGCGCCGCAGGTGTGCGGCCGTTCGGGTCGGCGCGTGCTTGTGTACGATTGCAAGCCAAGGGACAGGAAGACGGCTGACGCTGTTGGCGGGAAGTGTTGGTTGTGAAGCAAATTCTTGGGAAGCGGCCTCAGGCAGCAACGTCCGTGCGGGAATTCGGTGCGGGGAGGCGTAGCAGCTGAAAAAAGGATCGATCCCTGTAGCTCGGAGCAGCTAGTGAGGCCAATAGGATCATCCAGGGACAGCGAAATGCGAGGGTGGTGCGTGGTGGTTGGTGGAGAGCTGTTCGATCTTCAAGAGTACATCGAGGTGGTGACATTTCTTGCATCATCATCCGAAACTGTTGCCGGCAGGAAAAGTTGGAACATGATCCACCGAGCGCTGCCAGGCTATTCTGAGATGATTTTGGGAGCAACCATTGGCGGATGTGAGCAGGTGACTGCCAACCAGTCTCGAGACAATTTCGTTCTTTTTGTCGGCCGCTCTGTTCTGTGACTTGATGTTGTTGATTGCGTCTAGAAATAGGGGTAAGACCCCTGCAATAAGTAAATAAGGGGTGCTGCGGGTCTCACTCGCGGCTCCAAATCCAGTCAATGTGCGGCCCCAAGCGAGACTTGGCTGCTCGCCAATAATTAATTTACTTGGGCTTCCAGTTCGAGATGCAGTAATCTGCACACACAATTTATTTCGCCCGGTGGTTTACAACCAATAGGGCACTAGTTGCTATTATACAAATCCGTTTCTCAAGCTTGCCATGATCTCGCAAATAGAGAAATGCAGTACAGTGGGGTTCGGGTCCAGCGTCTACGCAGCAGATGGAAACCCACGTCAGGGTCCGCGCAAACGTTTGTACTATGTAAGCCTCATTGTTTTGAATGCCCTATCGGTCGGACCCATATGTGACTGTTGGCCCTGTCATATCCAAGCTGGTCGTCGTGGGGCCTGATTATGCGCCTGTGCTGGACCATTTGAGGGTGAATTGCAGATCCTCCGTATTCGTGTCAATACCAACATGTAAAATTACTGCCTGGTCGTGGGGACGGGGCTGAATACCAGGCTGTATTTGCCGACGATCTTCATCATGGACGAGTACCCGTGCAATCTCTTCTCTTCCATTTCAGATCTCAAAAACCATCTTCTCACGGCCGGCAGCATCAAACCACGGCGCTTCGGGAAAGCACCAGCATAAAATCACATGATGGCTGGAGCCTGGGACACGCCAGAAATGAGGAACCCCATCACCAGGATCCATGGGTTCGCCACCGCCTTCGGAGTCATGCGCTGGATGTTCGCCGTCATGATCCTGGGATTTTCCGCCTTCACGGTACAAGGCGCGACCATCCCCAAGATCAAGCCTCCGGCGTCTTTTCTCGTCGCATGCGTAGGTTCCTCTGCCAGATTCATGGCTCTTCCTTATACTCCGACTCTTGTTTGCCTGCTCTGCTGCTACTGGGCTAATCATTTTGGCGCTTTTCGAAGGCGACCCTCCACGCCGTGGTGCTGTGGTACCCAATGACACGACCAGTGTCGCGAACGGACCCGAGTGCGTCCAGACTGTACATGATAGCCATGGCCGTAATGTCCATCGCCTGGGCTGCTGCTGTCGCCGCAGGGTCTGCCATGGTTGTCTTCACCAAGGACCATAGGAATGCACCCACTTGGCCTGGGCACAAGTGCAACCCCGATCAAGTCAAATGCTTCGCCCCGAACGACAATTCAATGTCGTGGCTCTGCATATTGCTTTCGGCCTTGACCTTGTAAGACCTCGGACTAGAATTCTGCACGTTACACGCTTGCAGTGTCGATACTGACTGTCTCGCATAATACTCTCTTTCGTTCAACTATGCCTTGTATGGGGGCTTAGACTCTGTTCGTTCACACCAGAAATTATACAGGAAGCCTTTGAGCTTTCAAGGCCCGAGCATCGATCCGGCTTCGCATTGGCGATTGAAGCCCCTTTCCGTAGGATGTACCGAGCACTCGGGGACGGCGACGAAAGGGCAATGTGATCCTTTGCATCTGATTGTGTCAAAAAAAAAGTAGTGAGTGGCCTCAGCTACGCAGAATGTGGATGGATAGAACAGATGCTTCAATTGACTGGATCGCTTGCCCTCCTCTCTCTTCTTCGAGGGCTACGCGTACTATTTATCCTTACAGGCCGGTTTCGGTCGTACTGTTGATCCGACGGATCCGGAGCCTTGGCTTAATGTCATCTATCCGGTTCCGGCATCCTGAGTAGATCATAGACTCTGTTGGAAATCACAAGTGTGAGGCGACCAAGTCGGTGGCAAGGTGTGGAAGAAGGTGGAATATTCCACAGAGATCGTGCCTGTACATAAATAGGAGTTCTCCTACTGTTCATTTAGCATGAATTAAGCAACTTGAATCTTCTCATTTCAACAATAAGTTATAGCGTGAACTTTCATTCCGCCGCGCTTCAGCCTCCGCTTTCTGCCTCTTCGCACAGGTCAAAGCGGCCCGCAACTAGTTCTCATCTGTACTCTTTTCCCCTTTAAGACAAAGCGTGGACGGCTCTGTGAGGGGGGAACAGGTCGCGTGAACTAGGAGTTTACAGCGTTGGATGTGGTGTCTCATTTCTCAACACTTCAGATTCTCATCCGTCCTACAATCACTCGCCATATCACACGCACAGATCCAGTGCCACTGAGCCGAGATGCCCGTCGCCTTGACCGCCTGCGAGACCAGCCAGAACTCGTCCGCCCTCGTGTCAGTGCGCCACATGTGCTCCGTTGCATGGGGTGAGAAATGCCCATCTTGACAAGAAGCATGATTCACTCGGGGACAGAAACTTACACGCGGGCCTATTTGTGTTGATTTTGGTAAAAATGCAAGGCGGGACAGGTACAGTAGGGCATCGTAGACGCGCGACTTTTCGAGTCTTGCTCTACAGAGTCGACAATCTTTCTGGATGTTACCGTCGGGCGTTGAGTTTACCATCAAAGCCCTAAGCCTTACAGTGGAGCCTTCGGCGGGACCCCCCTGAGCCGTGTTTCCTTATGGCTTGTGTGACGGTCACGTCTATCGTACAGGTATTAGAAGTGTACCTACCCTATAGTCTACAAGACTATACAGATACCACCCGTTGCTTACTGTCACAGCCGTGCTTGGTCATCCCGCTGACGGGTAACAAGCTTGAAACAATGCGCCTTCGTGCCGATGATATGCTGGATAGAGGTCTGTTTGCATTTTACGGAGAATGTTTTGATGGGGAAGCTTCAATTTCGCGTCGCGAATACGTTAGCACAGCCCCCACCTTTGAGCGTTGCGTAGATTTTAGCATTACCCGTTGGCATTGTGGGGCAAGCCGCCTACCAACCTCGACGTAGAGATTCCAGCTCAGCACGTCCTGTGCCCCAACAGGGGACTTTAGGGGCCTCGCGGCCCTCGGACGAAAAATATACATACATACATCCATACCACCCGTTGCTAGGAGAGTGCTGTAGGTATTCCTTGAGGCGGCGGAATCGAGAGAAATTGGTCCTCTTATGACGAGGATTCGCTTCTATTACATAAGGTGACTTGTTCTAGCATCTGATTCTGCTCTCGAACGAGACGTACTCTGTCATCTTAACAAGCTTCGTGTCATGCACGGCCTGGTGCGATCCAGGATGCGCGGCACGTGATGAGGTTACCCCACCTTTTTCAGCCAATGAAGATGGTATCACTCCTTGTATCCATGGCGAATTTAATCGCGGCTCACACCGCCTGTCAGTTTGGTACCCAGTCTTCCCCGTCCAACGCCACCTTTGCACGTAACTGAATTTCTGTTATCGGCTTTCTTAGAGTTGTGCCATCCGCATAAATTTTTTTTTTTTCCCCGAGACTCCAACAAGGGACTCGGCAGATCGCAAGCTGGGCGGCCAAGCTTCCGGCTAGTCCGGATCTGGAAAGGCGCAGCAACAGATGGAGCTATTGGGGGAGCAAGGCCAAGCTGTAAATAGCTTAGCGCCACATGCAGGTGGGGGCGTTGAGAGGCTGGGCCGGTGAAGTTTCGTGGCGCTCCTTCCTCTCTGTCTCTGAGACTTGGGACAAGCCACATCCATGCGAGCTTCTGCTGCTCGATTCAGGGGATTTCCTCCTTTGGGGCTAACCCATCCTTCCGCCCAATGAGAGATATGACATGCCATTATCCCAGAAGAGGTGGTACAAAGTGGCACCCCATTTGCGCCACCACCTTTTGAACGAGCCAAATTTCTTTCAGTTCTAGCCGATCATTGTATCAGGCTCTGCATCACCTTGCCGATCAATGGGTCTAGGCCAATCTATTGGGTTGCTTAATGCAACTCAGAAGGTAGTATGGCCTGATTTTGCGCATCACTGCCTCTTAAGTCGGGGCGAGGTTAGGGAATCTGCTCGATCTATTGAGCGGTTGTCATGCCGAGGGCAGGCGCCAATTACTATGTAGTACATTGGTCCCTCCGATCAGCTCGAATAGGACATACCGGTATCCTCACACAGAAAGAGGGGCAGAAAGCATCAATCAGGTGGTCCATGCACAGGATCGTGACTTTCTCAACATCTGTAGGTACCACAATATCCTTGCTCGGTGGCTGATGATACACCAATGGGATATCCTCTGACAGCCAGGGTTTCCAGCTACCAATTTTAACGCTATTACTTTCAGCTCAGCCCGAGCTGAGTTTGAGGTGTTCAGGGCGTCCTCAAGTGCCCCAGCGACCCCTTTCGACCTCGAGATATCTTCCCCAGATACCATCTCCCTTTCCCCGATGCCAACTGGCTTCGTGCCGCATCCGACCGTTCCTCGGGACCTCCGAGCTACCGAGACCTGGATAAACCGACGCCATTGTCACTTCCTCCAGCATGGTAATCAAGCCCGAGTCTCCTCCCGCACCGGCACGCAACTCTGGTCGCCACAAACCATCGGAAGCCCCGCCCACGCGGGCAATCGAGAAGCGCCACTCCACGCAGTTAAATGCTGCATTTACCGAACTACGGAATAGTATCCCTAGTATGAGAGTTGTAATGGCAAAGGAAGGAGAGGAGAATGCAACGAAGGATCCGCAAGAAGGAACGCCTAAAACAAGGGTGGATAAGGTAAGCTAGCACCCAACTCATGATTCAACGATTCTTACCTAGAATACAGGAGGCCATTATGTGTACGGCGACGGAGTATATTGCGACCCTCGAGGAGAGAAATAGATCTCTTCTAGAAGAGAGCATAGTACTGCAATCAACAATCGCTGCGTTTGAGATGTTATTTCGTCCTTAATTGACCTAGACCTCGCTATCAAAGAGCAACGAGAAGGCGCTTCGGGAGCAAAGGGTAAGACCGGCACGAGAGCGTTTATGGCAATCGGGGCGCTTCTGGGCGAGCAGCATTCCTTCATGCACGATCCCGGGTCATTCTTCTGGGTCCTGTTCTGGATCTGCATTCACTACAATGGGCCAGATCAGGGGAGAGTTGTTCCACGGGTTGAGAACTGGAACTACGTGGATATGGAGGAACTAGCGAAGTTAATACTTAGTAGGGTGTACTACTAGCCTTTGCAACCCATCTGGATCCCTCTCTCTCGCCTTGATAGCTTTCCTTGAAAAGCTTGTCTCGCACCCATAAAAGCCATGTCCCGTCAAGCTGACAAGCCAGGCCAGCTTCCTTCCACAACGCCAAAACACCATCTTCAACACAAACTCCACATTATGTTATTGGACGGCCCTATCCCTTATGCAGGAACAAGATGCTCCTACCGAACGATTCCGTAAAGGCCGCTCATGATTATGTGCGCACCTATTGGGTCCCGGGGTCTCGGAGACCGTAGATGAGCGAAATCCCTCGCCGGTCAAGATGATCAACACACAGTCAATCAATCAGTCATAACGACGTTATCAAGGTTGTAATTATCTTCAATTGAATCAGGCTATTTTTGCCTCATCTAATCGTACATTTCCCTGTGCCAAAAGCCACCAACTCAGACCGTCAGACCCCACTTACGGGATCACGAGATCTGACAGGTCCGCAACATCCAGGGCAGCCTACCCTCCACCTCTCCGATATATATGGGGTCACCCGATCAACGATCAAATCGATCGATTGGGGGTTGGATCGATACGATATCGATCGAGCAGGATGTTGAAGATCAAGAACAAAAGACGGAATGGGTGGCAAATCGGCCCCCGTGTCGCTGCAGGACGTATCTATACGATGGCGGCGTTTTTGGTCTACGAGAAGGCTATCCAGACAGCATATAGCGTCAGAGACAAGAGGGAGCTCTCTTCGATGAGAGTTACTGGCATCAACCTTGGTGCCGGGCTCGTCTCTGCTTTGGCTGCCGCCGTCGTCTCTCAACCAGCCGATACGATCTTGAGTAGAATCAACAAGGAAAAAGCAGGCAGAGGCGAAAGCACAACCCGCCGCTTAGTTCGCATCGCGACCGAGCTTATAATTAGTCATCTGCAATAGCTGGGAGAAATGACGCGCGCTGGTCATCCTTAGAAAAAAGGTGCAGAGAAAGGAGAGGAGTCCAAGACCAGAAAGGCTTAGTAGAAAGATGACCTTTCCGAGCAACAAGATTCCCGCCACTATGACAGCCACGGAAAGCTCCTTTATGGAGTAAGCGATCGGGGAGTATGGTCATTGGGTACTGGATGTCGTCGGTGGCTCTCTCTGTCGTCGCTCCCGAGCTGCAGCATCGTAGGCGAGACGTACCTCTATAGGTTCCTCTTGATTTGCAGCTTCTTCTCGCTCCATGGGGTCGATACTCCTGCAAATATGGGGAGTACACGTGGCCGAAACCTCGAGTTATTGAAGTTTCATACGGCAAACGTCCTGACGAGTCAGATCTAGACGAAGGCTGCTCGGACTCGGAGCTGCAGCACGATTACGACGGTATCGGCTCGCGGGGTCTGGAAGAAGACGAGTCGCGCATGTCCACATCATCATTTACTTCTTATCTCCATCCGCTAGTACCTCAGCGGTCTTTCATCATCGTCGCCCTTCCTTGCCGATCCGTTCTCGTCGAAGCTATCTGCAACACTACATGTGCTTTCCCCATGATTGCTTGTCGCAGCGTCGACGTCGATGCGATTGTCTTCCGTGGTATAAATAGCCTCGCCCAGTTGCAAGCTTGAAGATGAAGATTGGCCAAGAAACCCCGTGTCCCTGTTCGTCTTTGACCGGCCATTGAAGGCAGCTGACCCATCTGGTCCTTCCTGCAACTCGATAGATACTGCATCAACTCCACGAACAGTACGAATTCCCTCCGTGGAGACTCTTGTCCTACTATACGTGGTCGTGAGGCTTTTACTTGGAACGGTTCCCTGTCGCGTTGTCTCAAGGTCGCCAAAAGTACCATTAGAGATGACACCACATTGTCGCTGTCTGGCAATTTTCCCTATCAAGTCTGCCATTGACATCTCGATCTTGAGTTTGACTATGTAGGCGAAGGGATGAAACTGCATGTAACTGAATTCATAGTTAGCAGTGTCTCCCATTATCTATTCCGCTTTTCCTCGTCTTGAAAGTTTGTCGGTTCATGCGATGTAGGGAAATATAATGGAGTTGACTTACACGAACGTGTTATGCAAGCTCATCATAGAGATAATAAGGACATCCATGCTGAGAGAGAATCCGACGATGCACATATTGAACTTGACCAGACCAGGGCTCCTAATAGTGCAGACCATTTAGACTATTAGTGCAGACTGCAGATCAGGGCAGGGAATACGGACGCCCGGTGTGGACGCTAAGTACGCTAGGTTGTTGGCATGGTGTTACAAAACCAGGGTACCCATGATTGTTGCTGTGCCAACCACTTTGTTTTGGATATTTCTGATCAATTCACTGGTGCGATCCGGATCAACAAGGCTCGTTTCAAGGGGCGCATCATCCTAGTCGTCAATCCACGAACGCCCGTCGTGGATTGATTATTGATCTTGGATTGTAGTCTGCACTAATAGTGTAAATGGTCTGCACTATTAGGAGCCCTGGACCAGACTCTTATACTTGGTTAGGCCATTTGCCACTAGGTTCTGTTGAACAACGCGAATGAAATAGAAATTGAGTGCTCCGTCGACAAGAAGATAGATCGCCTTCTCGACACGGTCCCACCACTCGTTGATCCAGATATATCTCTCTGAGATCTGGAGACGGGCGGGGATCCAAATATTATAGACCGAGATATTAACGGCTGTGATTAAGACAGCAACACCGACCTTAAGACGGTACGCCGTTACCGGATCCGTGAGAAGGATAGAGCAACGATTAATAATAATTTGGAGAAGAAATTGAACCTAAAATGGTTAGAGTCATTGATAACTTCAGAAGGGTAAGTGGAGCATACTTACTTGAAGTGCCCATGTAGTAACTACGGAGGTTATTATCTTATTCTTGGCGACTTAGGGTGCTTCTGGACTGCTTACGAATGCAAAAGTAGAACGCGAAACTAGAAGATTCAATCTTAGTACCTCCTTCAAACGTTACATCACCAAGAGATGTCTCCTCGCACTCTCAACTGCCCTTACCAGCACGGTCAGAATTTCCAGCGATACCTTGACTATCCAGATATGTTCGATCCGTTACACCTATAGGAAACGTGGGCTGTGCGAGGAGGAATCATTGAACACATAGGAAACAACGCTTACCTCGGGGGAATTATACCTTTCAAGTGCAACCAACAGATAATGCTGAAGATGAGGCATACGAGAATCTCGAGCCAAATCATCCAAACATAGGCACTGCGGAATACGAGAAGGCCGCGTCTCTCGTAAATACGTTTTGTTTGCTTCATGGCTGTCCAGGTGGTGAGCCATCCAAAGCCAATCGTGAAGCCCCAGGCCAGCGAAGCAAGAGCAAGGTCATCTTCAGTGACCTCTTGGAGGACAAAATGGGGAGAGAGAAGTGTGATCATTGTGAACCAAGTATGGGTTGACATCAACTTGGAATGATCATAACCTTAGCTAGACTCTGGTTCCATTCAGAAGAGGCATCACAAATTTAAATGAAGGACGATAGTGATCAAGATAGATATCCTTGCCCATGTATCATCACCCACCAGTCAATAGCTTAAGCCACAGGAACTAAAGTCCAGCCCTCGTACGGATCTAGTGACAAAGCACTGACTTGGGTACGTCGTGGCGCCCGCAAGCATCCCCGGCCTCTGCACAGATTGGCTGGAATTCAAGCCTCCCTCCCCTTGCCGGAAAATCGCCCACCATTAACAGCACAGGAGGCTTCGGTACCCGAAGGCGACTCCGGTTAGAAAGCTTCTTGAGCTTCAGGCAAGCTTTCAGAGAGCACGGGCTTGCCGAAGACTGGTCTAGACTCGGCATGGACGTTGCTTGTGGAGTGGCGTAGCGTTTGGCGCCACGCTATAGCCAACTTGTATTTCTGGTAAACTCCGGAAAGGGAAGTATGGCGTAACCTGGGCTAAGTGATCAACATAGAATGCTGAACGACTTTCAGGTTGAACATCACTATAGGAGTAGCGCTCTAGGGTTAGAGGCTGGAGTGGTTGAGTGTCGCGAGATTGGATGCGATTCTTAGTAGATCTGACTATACCTTCAAGTTAGCATAACATCTCGTCGGGTCCCTTCTCTGTACAATTCAGCACCTAATGTGCAATCTCCAGCCTGGTAGCCCCCGTCGTAGAGAAGAAAATTAAAAATCAGCAAAACGCCGACCATCGCTATGGAGAGAGCGATGAGCGCTAGGGTTTCGGTGTATTTCCAGATTTCTGCGGCGCGAAAGAATCAAAGTCTTGGGCAGCGTCTATTACGTCAAACACGCGATACTGCTGGCACAATAGGTAGACAGGCGTTGCGAGAGTCATTTGCTAGAATAGCAATTGATACGAATTGCTTCACGCGAGGTGTGAGTCTTTCTTCTGGGTGAAGTGACCCTGTCCACTCCTGGCCTGTCCACTCCTGGCCTGTCCACTCCTGGCCTGTCCACTCCTAGCCTGTGCACCGCGAGGGCAGAAACGGCACCGGTGCGTCGTCACGGCGGAAGCCATGTGAAAGTGGCAGATACCAATCCTAACGCCACGGGCCGCTGATATCCAGCCATGTAAGCGTGACATCTGCTGCTCTTAGCGCTTGACGGACGAAAACCTTGTGGGTGGGTCCATGAGTCACATTCCCGGAGGGCCCGGTGCGGGGCAGCAGGTACTGGGGCTGCTACACTGTGATCGACGCTTTCCTTGCATGATGCACCATTTTGTGGCTTGTGGAAGGCTGGTACATCGCCCCGGCGGAGCTTCCCGTGCAGGGTGAAGTTTGTTGTTTGCGCTAGTGTCCGTTCCACCGCATTCTGCAGTTGGGCCGCTGGGTGCCGGCATGGTTCTGGGTTAGTGCCGAACTGTGGCGTGAAGACAGTGTTTCTAGCACCGACGAGAATCCTCGGGTTTCGTTATATGGGGATCAAGCTGTTGCCGTCGTGCGTCCCCTCCCCCTATTTATCAGCGCGCCGCTCATCCATTCCCACTGGCATCTCGATCGTGTTGAAGAGCTATACCTGTAGATGTCTTACGCCGATCAGAACGACGCTGACGCTGACGCCACAAATCCGGCGGGATGGCAGCGTGAAACGATAAAATTGTTCGTTGCTAAGGACCCAGGCTTGCGGTGCTATGACATCGAGTCCGTGCCAGTACTGGGTCTTCTTAGGTTTCTCCCAACAACGTGCTCAGGGGAGAAGCAGGAATCCACTACCGGGCCCGCCCCGGCCTTAACAAGCGTTTAGGCTAGATGACTCAGACACTTGCGGTAGCACAATGTTTCAAGTTCTTACTGACATATTGCAAAATGTCGCTTCGAGACGGCTGTTATGCAGACAGACAGCCCTCGTCGGCGATTGACTGTGGGTAGGCACTACTCTAGGTCTGCAAATAGAAGTTTTCAGACACTGCGGTTTGATCAACACACTAGCGAAACAGGCACTTCAACACTGCGTGTGTCATGGCTGAACACTCTCGAGGCCTGGCGCAAAGAAGAGGTGGGAATGGACGGTCAACCACCAACTTTTCAACTCCGCGTTCCGTGAGCCGTGCCTGAGGCTTAGAGGAGACGGTGTGATGGAGGCAGCTCTCCGGGGGTTTCCGGGCGAACTGCCCCTGTAAGCCGCGGAAGCACTACTGCATTTGGGGTTGGAAGCTGCCACAAATGGAGACATTAGGGTGAGAGTTTGTGGCGTTGGTTGCGAAACAGGGTCAACAAGCTTAGAATATTACTCCGTTGTTCCACACCATCCATGGAAAGTGAGATCGTCACCGAGGCGTTCCATGTAGCCAGGGCGGCATTGCCGGGGAAGGGTTCCTAGCGCTTTTCCTAGACACAGAAAATCAACTGCCGCGGACACAATCCTATCCGTCATTGCGCTCTGCGGCAGGTTGATGCTATCGAGAGAATGCGGAGCCTCGCGGCCCTAGGGGACACATCTCTGCTCTTCTTGGTACTACCGGTACGTAGGAGCCGGGTCGTCATCGCATAGGTCTAATCTGCTTTAACTCCATCATCGGCATGAAACAAGACCAACTCTTGAACCACTCCTTTCCATCCAAAACGCCACCGTCTAGAGTGGACTGTGACTTTCCGACTTTCCGACTTTCGATTCTGGCAATGGCAGGGTTCCTTGTCCCGGATACCTACGTGGTAGTGACTCCCAGCCTCAATGACCTGTTGATTGCCAGCATCATCTGGGGTTTTACCCTAGCCACGGGAGTCTTTTCAAGCACCAAGGTGTTCAAACAAACGTAGGCATCATGGAGACGGTCGCGCGACGCCTACGCGTATATGATATGGGCCGAATGGATTGTGTCCATGGTCGCACGTCTATGTATCGTGGCGAGCTTGCACCTGGTCACCCAGCCTTCCCAGCCGGGTCCGAGGCCGCATGTATCGAGGCCGATGCACCGCTCTCCAACGTGAAGGACCTCAAGTACTCGCCTGAGGATGATGCGGCCATCGAGAAGTGTGTGCGTCAAGTAGTGTAATTTGCATAGCTGTCGATTTGACTGGCGTCGACGGGAGCTTGCAAAATGAGCTCTTCTCGGGTGATACTCCGTGAAACGTCGAGGTTGCCTGCCCCCTTCACATGTCCGGCCCTCAATGGTCCCATCCAAGGCCCCATTCCCAATACACTGGATCGGCTCTCCCCATGCCTCTCAAGCCATACCCCTACGTGCATGGTATTGGCCCGCCGCCTCTCCATTACGTAGTAAATCAGCCAGCTGGCTTGCATTCATGCACGGCAGCCCGCCAAGGCCGACGAGAGCAGCCCGACTAGCGCTGGACGCCGTCTCTCCCTCCGGCCGCACAACGCATGGGGCCGAGTGCCGCTATGGAGGGCCGGACCGCCAGAGTGAGCCTCTCGACTCAAGTACCTGACTGCTGTGCGACGCGACCAATCCCTCGGGTTCTCTCACTCCCCCACCTTCCCCCCTGTACCGCAGCCTGGGCGCAAGGTGTTAAAATGTGCAGGTAGTATAGATTAAAGAAGAAGAAAACTAGCGCTAACAAGCGTAAGCTATTGACAAGAAGACATCCACATCCCAGCCACCAATAGATCGGAATAGCCATTGATCCGTCAAACAACGGATCTCAACACAAGGCGCTGGGTCCGCGGGGATTGGGGGAGTCTCAGCCCCAGCATCGCCAGGACCGGTGGGGAACCGAGCGTGCACTCGCTTAGCTCCAGGAAAGGCTTCTACCCCAGGTTCCCGATGGTTGTCGATCCCGCCCTTGGCTAACCCAGTCTGTCGGGACAGGCCAGCCGGCGCTCTGTTGCGGGGGAATTGTGGGGAATGCTAGTGAAGTGTATTCTAGCGCCACGGTGGCACTTGGGCGCATAAGGAAAGATAACCGTGCAGCGTCAACTAAGCCAAGATAAAGCGGTTCAGAAGCATGACAGTCTAGTCAAATCACTCAGGGTGCCCAAGCTTCTTCCTTCGTAGGACTTGGAGAACGCTATTCACAACTAGTGGGAAGACCGTCTTGGAAATCGAATCTTCACCAACTAGGGACTGATATCAGGGCCCACGAGCCCAAAATCCAGGAAGATGTTTGTCAGTCATCTATTCGGGGCCATGCGAGTGGAAATGCACAACCTGGTCGGAAGGATTATTGACTGGATAGCCCCATCGACTATACTCCGTGCACAACTCTACCCTCGATTCGAGAGTTTGCACGAACCTCGTTACAGGGTGGTTACGTCGAGCCAATGCTGCCGGGAGAGTCCTAGTTCCACAGGAAAAGTAAGATGGAACAACTTCCCCGACCCTAGCTGCATTGCGGGACTCTGGGCAGGACGCTAGAAACTTCCGGCCTCATTTGCATTTGCCGACTTTCCATGTGCACATATACAGTAGCGATCACCGCGCCTCTAGCAATAATGCCGAAAACATGAGTCGGTTCCTGACTCAGGGTAGGATATTAACTTACAGGTCCCAAAAAAGGGGGATTGTTCTCCACCATATCCGTCAACCCGTGCTAATGGACTTTAATTCTCGTTTGTCCCCAGAATCCGACTCATCAAACACGATTCAGATTCTCTCGACTGGGACTGTTTCGTCACTAGCGTGGTTCACCGAGGTCCTACCAAAAGCACCACTTTCTTCGCTTTTTTGCAATGGCTGGATTCCTTATCCCCCCATGGTATCAGGAGGTCGTTCCAACTCTGGATGATCTCTTGGTCGCAAGCATTATCTGGGGGTTCACGCTGGCCTCTGGGCTGTTCGCTGCTGCCAGGGCGGTCCAACAAACCAGGGCAACATGGAAACGGTCTCGTCGAATTCATGCCTATGCCACCATGGTATGGGCGGAATGGACTGTCTCCACGGTTATTGGAGTCTTGTCATGGCTCTTCATCCGTGGGATCATCCGAGCAAGGTACGCAAGACGAGCTGGTTTGGTCAGACTGGTATTATTGTTGACTGTGGTTGCGGCACAGCTTCTGGATCTATTTCGCGTTACGTGAGGATATCTCGTCGTTCTAGGCATCGAGGCCCTGTTAACCGTGGATTCTAGTGTGCCTCTGGGTAGTTCAGATCCAGTGTATATGTGGAATCATCATCAACCGAATCGCGCTCTTGATGATCGACCCTCGACAGGCTGCCAAACTTAGATGGACCGTGGCTATTATTCTGGGCTTCGTCAATATTAGCGTGTTCTGCATCTGGATTCCGGCTCGCCTGCAGATATCCGACACTTATATCCACGTCAACGAGATCTGGGACCGGATTGAGAAAGTCATTTTCCTCCTCGTCGACGCGGCCCTTAACTTTTATTTCATCTACTTAGTTCGAACCAGGTTAATCGCCAACGGTCTGACCAAGTATATGCCACTATTCAAGTTCAACATATTCATGGTCGGAGTGTCCATGAGCTTGGACGTGAGTGCAACTTGGCTGTAGCAAATCGCGGTACTAACGACCATGGCTAATGCTGATGCATGCAGATTCTTCTCATCGGTAGCATGTCGATTCCAAACGGTATTGTGTACGTCCTGCAAGAAGATATCGGCCCGGTTAATGTATGTACTGATTCCCATCTAGCTACGTCCAATTCCACCCACTGGTCTACATCCTCAAGCTTCACATCGAGATGAACATCGCCGACCTCATCATCAAGGTCGTCCGGGCGACGAACGACAACAATGCTTACGCGAGTGGTACAGAATTGCACTCGAAGCAAAATAGGGGAGTCTTCCACGAGGGATACTCAGGAGACCGAGCGGGAGCTAACGGGCAACCAATCGACCCTTTCACTGTCAACAAAGCCCATATCGAGACATCGTCAGATGGATACCAGAAGCGAGTTTCGGGGGGAGGGATCACAAAGATTGTCCAGACTAGGGTGACGTCGAGGCGACGCGACGATGACACTGATGAAGACGGGAGTTCGCAGTCTTCAACCCGCCACTTGAAGAACGATGATCATCCATAGCGTTTTTGAGCATGTTGGGGAGATTGTTGCATGGACGGTCCCAGTCGACTAGCCTCAGCTGCAAAAAGATACAACCTTATGACACCAGTTGCGTACGTTGCCGCCGTTGTTTTCCATCCCTGCAAGAAGTGGAGGCTTGTTGAACAAATGTGGAATGGGTTTCCAACTCGGCGATCAGTGGAATGGACGGAAGATTATCAAAGTCGGATCAGGGCTCTTTGGGCGGCAAAATATAAGGACAAACCTACCCGATAGTGCTCAGTTTGAGACTGATCCGAATTCTTGGTGGAAACTCAATGAGTCGAGGTTTCCTGCTCTCTCTGTAATAGCTGTGGATTTCCTCTCGATCCTCTCGTCCTCGAGTGAATCAGAAAGGACCTTCAGTAGCGCAGGCATACAATCATCATATGTACGAAGTCTCCTGAATAGGTCTACTATCAGCCAGCAGACTTCTCAACAAGCAGTCAGTTATCAAGCAGTACTGATTACTGACTGATACTGATATGATATCAGTATCAGTAAGCTTCTTATCAATCAATCAGTAATCAGTAACCCACGTGACCGGGTTATATCTGGCTCCGAACTTCTGTGGCACGGCTGCCTGCTGCAGAGCATCAATTCAACTACTGAAGGTCAGAATATCGGTATAGGCAGAGGTCACACGCCTAACCTACTATCTTCTTTATAACTTTTGAAATATCGGTAGCCGCTTGGCGGAGATTCAGGTCGTTGGCAGATGTCTAGTGCAGCGAACCCCGCTTCAGACGTCATCATTGTCATGGAACACGAACCGGACGTTCCGGGAGGGGAACATCATCATCCCCAGCGCAAAAGAGCCAGAACGATGAGGGCAAGGGAATCGGAGCAACAGGAACGCGATATGCAATGGGAGGAGGAAGAGAGCAGTGAGGGGGTGCCGAGGAACAATCGAATCAAGAAAAGGACTACACTTAAGGCTGCCGACAGCATGGCCGAGGCGATTCAGAGCCTGAAGCAACTCCTGGAACAAGACTTTAATAAGAGAATTGAAATCATGAAGGCAGAGTTCCAGCTGGAGTTCACCAAGCTTAGCGACCGAATGGCTGAAGAATTCGCTAGGACCACGGCGCGGATGACACAGGAACTATCGCAGGTGCGAGAGCAGCTTACCCAGGTTTGCAGCGAGCTGGAGCGCACTCGGCTACAGTTGGATACCGTGACCGAGGCTCATGCAGCACGATCGCCTAGTCAGACATATGCGGATGCTGCCAGAATGACGCCTGTTAGTATTACCACTCAAACTCCATCCACGGTTCGATCGACAACCCCGGAACCGGTGTTCTGCACAGTAGACACATCCAGGGTGCCCGAGGATCATATCGGAGATACTACACCAGCAGTGCTTCGCAGGGCCATTGAACAGGAAATGCGAACGTCTAGCGACCAACCTAGTTGGCGATGTGTTGCCGTGACTAGAGATGGACGAAATACCAACCGCCTGAGGGTCATCGGTAGGAACGAGGAAGAACTGAAGAAAATCAAGACCATTATTGAGGTCAAGAAGGCTCCAGGTGCGAGAGTCCTTCGCGACCAACTGTACCCAGTCAAAGTTGACAATATAAACCGTACCGCCGTTCTCGACCAGGAAGGCAACGTCCTTCCTGGAGTAATGGAAGCCTTGGGCCAAGAGAATGAAGTCCAGATTGCCAAGGTGGCCTGGTTGAGTCGAAAGGACAACGCAAAGGCATATGGATCCATGGTGGTATACCTCACTAAAAACAGTGATGCCAGGAGACTCCTACGGGAACGCTACTTCCTTGCAGCTGGTGAATCGGCATATACCAGCGCGTTTGAGCGGAGAACAGGACCGATACAATGCTATAACTGCCAGGAGCTCGGCCATAAGGCATTCTCGTGCAGCAAGAATCGGGTACGTGCAAGGTGCGCCGCCGAAGGCCATTATTATAGCGAGTGCCAGGCGCAGGTACCTAAGTGTGTACCCTGTGGCGGACCGCACGAGTCGTTCAGCAGAAGCTGCCCGAAACTCTATCCTTCTCGGCATGAGTAGGATGTTTCAGGTAATCCAACTGAATGTGAGAAAACAGGATACGGTACACGAAAGCCTAATGAATGACAAGCGACTCCAAGATTTTGCAGTTGTGGCGATTTAAGAATCACAGGTATGGAAAAGCGACGGTAAACTATTAACAGTCCCTATGGGGCACCCCCGATGGATCAAAATGGTCCCCAGGATTTGGAGGGACGGCAGATGGCCAATCCGGAGCATGCTGTGCGTGAATAGGGACTTAGTGGCCGAGCAAGTACCAATACAGTCCCCGGACTTGACAGCAGCAACCATACGACTCCCGGACCGAATAATGTTGGTTGTGTCAGTGTATGTGCCGGGACACAAGCCCCAGGCTCTTCGAAATATATGCCATACCCTGCACCAGGTGATCCTCGACCTTAGGGGTAGGACAGGGATGGTGGTGGACGTCATACTTGCTGGAGATTTTAATCAACACGACCGGCTATGGGGAGGAGACGACGTGCCATTGGCAAGGCAAGGCGAGGCCGATCCGATCATCGACCTCATGAACGAACATGGTCTTTGCAGCCTCCTCCCGAGAGGCATGAAGACATGGCAAGGCCCCGACAAGGAAAGCACAATCGACCTGGTGCTGGCGACGGCGGAGGTGGCAAACGAAATGGTGGAGTGCTCCATACACCCGACAGAACACGGATCGGACCACCGGGCGATCCAAACGACGTTCGATGTCGCGATGCCCGAACGGATTGTCACGGAAAGACTGTTATTCAAGAACGCACCATGGACAGCAATCCAGGGTGGAGGACAATCTCCGAGAGCTTCCCTGGACCGTCGGCGTGCAGGAGCAGACAGACCAGTTAATGAGAGTCGTCCTCGAGGCGATCCACGAGCTGACGCCCCGAGCACAACCAGTATTGTACGCGAAGAGCTGGTGGACGAAGGATTTGACAAGACTTCGGCGGGTGTACACGTTCTGGCGAAATCAGGCCAGGGCGCAGCGGCGAGCAGGTCAGGGGAGGCTCGACCTGGAAAGACGGGCCAAGGAAGCATCCAAGGAGTACCATGGTGCCATCCGGAAACAGAAGAAACTGCACTGGGACGAGTTCCTAGCAGAAGACGTCAATATATGGAAGGCAGCCAAGTATTTGAAACCTGGAAAGGACATCATGGACGATAGCGTGCCCCCTTTGAAGAGACAAGACGGCTCCACCACGGAAGATAGGGTGGAGCAGGCAGAGGAGCTGCTCAGCTCGTTCTTCCCGGCGTTGCCGGCCAGGATTGAAGATGAAGGTGACCGACCGCAACGGAGGGAAGCCCACATGCCAGACCTCACCATGGAAGAAGTTGAGGAAAAATTGCCAGCAGCGAAACCTTGGAAAGCGCCTGGAGACGATGGTCTGCCAGCAATGGTGTGGAAACAGCTTTGGCCAGTGGTTAGACACCGTGTCTTACACCTCTTCGACACATCCCTCAGGGATGGTGCGGTACCCCACCAATGGAGGAGCGCGAAGATCATCTCGCTGAAGAAGCCAGACAAAGGAGACTACACAGTGGCTAAGGCCTGGAGACCGATATCGCTGCTATCAACACTGGGCAAGATACTCGAGACAGTCATTGCAGAGCGGATATCCTATGTAGTGGAGAGCTATGGACTGCTACCCGCAAACCACTTTGGGGCAAGGAAGCGAAGATCAGCCGAACAAGCACTGATACTGCTCCAGGAGCAGTTCTATAAGGCATGGAGGGCCGGCAGGGTGCTCAGTCTGATCAGTTTCGACGTCAAAGGTGCTTACAACGGAGTGTTCAAAGAGCGACTACTAGAGAGGCTGAAGGCGAGAGGCATACCTGGTGGACTGGTGAGATGATTGACGCCTTCTGCTCTGGGCGAACGGCCGCTGTGATGGTAAATGGGCACACGTCACAACTACGGGAGTTGCCACAGGCAGGTCTCCCGCAAGGGTCACCGCTGTCGCCGGTGTTGTTCCTGTTCTTTAATGCAGATTTGGTGCAGAGAAGAATCAACGCAAGAGGTGGTTCGATGGCATTCGTGGACGACTACTCAGCCTGGGTGGTGGGACCAACAGCGGAGGAGAATCGAGCCGGCATCCAATCAATTATAGACGAAGCACTGGGCTGGGAAAGACGGAGCGGTGCGACGTTCAACGGAGACAAAACGGCCATCGTGCATTTCACGCGAAACGCCGCGCGTACCAGCGACAAACCGTTCATGATCAAAGGAAAAGTAGTCAAACCCAAAGCGAGCGCCAAGATCCTGGGAGTGGTCATGGACGCGAAACTACGATACAAAGAACACATAGCTAGAGCTGCCGCAAAGGGGCTCTCGGCCGCCATGTGTCTGAGAAGACTGAAGATGCTGTCACCGCGGACGGCGAGACAACTGTTCGTAGCAACAGTAGCTCCCACCATGGACTATGCGTCTAGCGTTGGGGCGCACCCATGCGGTGTCAGAGAAGCAGCTTGGCTAAACAAGGCACAGATGGTCGGAGCACAAGCGATCACGGGAGCTTTCCAGACCGTGGCAACAGCGGTGGCAGAGGCCGAAGCTAGTATCCAACCGGTACAGGAACGACATGCGCAAGCAGCAACAAGGTTTTGGATCAACCTCCGGACCCTTCCCAGGACACACCCGTTGGCTACACTGAAAGTGAAAGCGTGTCGCCGATTCGTGTCGCCGATGCAGAGGATTGCTCAGGCACAAGGCGAGACAACCACTAAAGGAATGGAGATCATTCAGGAGTACGCGCAACCGCCATGGAGAGGCCGTACACTAATGTCGTGCAACCCTAACCGGGAGAAAGCGGTGGAAGCAGCAAAGGGGGTAGATGGCATAGTCATTGCCACCTGCTCCTCGCAGAGAGGGGGCATGGTAGGCATGGGAGGTGTCGTACAAGATACGGCGATCAACAATGCTGGCGAGGTAGTGGCCAGCTACTCCATCACTCTCGGGTCGAGGGAGGAGCTGAACCTATACATCGCCGAGCTAGGCGCTATAGAGATGGTATTGAGATGTATGCCGTCTGGACTCTGCCGGCGGGATATGACCGTCATGACGAGCAGCCGCTCCGCACTAGAAGCCATACGGCGGCCACGACAACAAGAGGATTTCGCGCTGGGACCAAAAGCCAAAGCAGCGGCCCGGAAGGCCACAGAAGGAAAGTGTAGACCAGATGTGCCACCGCATCTAGCAAGATCCACAAGGATAAGACTAGCGATAACCAAGCAGCGGCAAACAAGAACACTACCAGAAAGAGTCGGGAAATACTCGAAGCAGATAGACACGGCACTTCCAGGCAAGCATACCCGTACTCTATATGACCCGCTGAAGAGGAAGGAAGCAGACGTACTGTCGCAGCTCCGCACCGGAATGGCGAGACTTAACGGCTTTCTGTGCAAGGTAGGGGCGATGGAATCAGACACTTGTGAATGCGGGCAAGCATCAGAGACAGTGGAACACTTCCTATTCCGCTGCACAAAATGGACCGCGCAACGGGAAAGCATGCTTCGATGCTCACAGACAAAGATGGGAAACCTTTCATACTTCCTGGGAGGAAAGGCGGCTTCTGACGGTGACAAATGGGCGCCAGACATGCAGGCAGTACGGGCGACGATCAAATTTGCCATTGCAACGGGGAGGCTTGACATGGACCAGAAGCCTCAGGCGTACTAACTATTCAGATCGAATCCTACTAATATCATACAGTCTCATTTTGACAGACCGTGCTTCAGCTGCTGAGGATAGGATGCTGAACACTTGGAGAAATTGGCCTTCAAGTAGGCCTGTCACGGTATATACATCAGATTGGACCAGTTATTAAAGTGAAATTGTGGGGCTTCGGGTGATTATGGAAGTACTGCACGAAACGAAAACAGCTTAGCGCAAAGGCCCTCTGGGGTGTGTCCCCCCGGGCGAAATAAAATACAAATACAAATACAAAGCGGGGCGCTCGGTCGACCGAATCGATCGATTTTCCATCGAACCCAGCGCGCCGTTCGATTCGATGCGAATCGAATGAGCTGGAAGTGGATCCGATGCGAATCGAACGCCAAGAAATTCGATTGATGCGAATCGAACGGGGTGGTGCCAGCTGATGGTAGATTCGATGCGAATCGAATGGGCTTGCAGTAGATTCGACATCGAATCGAACGCCAAGAAATTCGATTCGATATTCGTAAGACTTGGCATCGAATGAATCTATCGATTCGATTCCCATTTGTAAGATGTCCATCCCTGTATGTGGTTACGCCAAGAATACGAAAAAGGGTCCTACGAGGTAACCTATCTTCCAACAGGACAAATGCCTGCGGATGGGCTCACTAAAGCCTTATCACGACAGCGCTTTGAGCAGTTCAGAGCACTGCTCAACATGGTTGAGATTCACGAGTTGGAGCAGTCAAAAAGCGAAAGCAAAACGTTGTCTTTTGAGGCCACCGAGACCGAGGGGGCAATACCCAGCTCTATTCTCACTCATACCACCAAACCACTGCTCTCCTAAACAATAAGAACGTTCACCACCTGGGAGAGCAATTCGCGGGCTTGCTCACGGCGCGAAGCCAAATCCCCACCAGAAACCGCATTGTTGTCCTCAGCGCCGGCAGCGCCCTGCGTAACAGGCTCGGTAGCGCCGTGCTCAAAGAGCTCGGGCTCGTCGGTCAATAGCTCCATCTGGAGCTTCAGGGCCGCTTTGATTCGCGTGGCCATCTGCGCACATAGTTAGGACAGCGCAGTCAACGAGAGGGTTGTAAGCTTACGTTCTTCTGAGACTCGCCCTTAGCGAGCGCGGTCACCAGACGACGAGCAAACGGGACAAGGACTCGACGGCTAGAGCACAGGGTTAGCCAGAGGATAGCGCCTAGCCAAAGCAACAGAGCATACCAAGGGGTACAGGCATGATTGCCGGACTTGCACGCAGCGCAGCGACGGGAGCGGCCAGACGACGAGACACATGCGTCGAGGCGCCCCTTTCCTGAGATCGCAGAGGGCAGGCAGTTTTCGCAAGGTGGATCGAATGCGACAGGGACGTGGTCGGGCGCAGCACTGCCAGGGACTCTATAAACTGTTGATGTTATCCACCTTAACTGCAGGATGGATTTGGTCGGACTCCACTTTGGTGGGCCAAGCGCTGTAGCAATCCGCGAGTATCTGAGCTGCTCCTTCTTCATATGGAGAGGCAAGGCATCCAACTGAACGATGTTGAGGATCTAATATCAAGCAGCCTGATACCGTTCGGCCAGCACTTACGTTGGTGTGGTGCGTGTCTGTTGAGTATACCCACTGACTCGCCTCACTTCCACTGTGAAATTTGTAATGGCGACGGGTTTGGCATTTGCCAAGCCTGCTATGACATTGGCGTCAGGTGTCGGGATGATTCTCATCCTTTGATACGACATAAAGTTACTCCCGCTTTAGAGTAGGTGAAAAGACACGTTTAATTGCACAACATTCGCGTGGCCGTTTCTCGCTGCAGCAAATAAAGCGGTTGAGCCATGCCAATCAGTAGTGTTTACTGTAAACTGATCACTAGCGAGTAGTGCTTGAACAACTTGAACGTGTCCCTTCCTACATGCAAGAAGTAATGGTGTCCACATGGCGTCAGGTCCAAAGGTGGTAGCATTAGGCTGATGATCAAGGAGTAGTCAAGTCTGCCCCTTTCTCCATTAACAGTTTGACCACCTCCAAGTGGCCACTGTCTGAAGCCGAGTTGAGTGGGGTCCATCCAAAGTTGTTTGTGACTGTCCAATCTGCCCCTTCCTCCAGAAGGAACTTGACAATCTCCGTACGCCCTTTCGTGGAAGCAACATAGAGTGGAGTTCTCCTCTCATTGCTTGGTATGTTCGGACTAGCTCCATTTTGAATTAGATATATAACCCCAGAATTCCACCCTGTTGACGAAGCTGCCAAGAGGGTGGTTCGATTCGAGGAATCAACATGGTCCATGAATAGACCGGCTTCGTCGATGAGATAAATCATTGTTTCCATAAACCCAAGTAAGGCTGCGTAGAATAACCTGCCTCCAACTTGAATTTCGCCTTGGTATCGCAACATATCATCCTGAAAAAAGGTCTCGGCCTGTTTTCTCCAGCATTCCCAATTTTTATTCTTTGTGTGGAAGAAAGCATTCACGTAGTCTATAGCTTCCCTTGCATTGTCTACGTCTCGTTTGACATGTTGGTACCATGACGCGATCGCGTATTTTCGAAACGCTCGGATCATAGTGGTCTTCCCTTCTGCCAGTGTTTCCTGCCATACTTGGTCAAAGCTCAAGTAGCGAAGGCATGCAATAGCAAGAAAATTGTTTTCCCTTGCCTCTTGCCTAGATCTCAATTGCTCATTTGAGATCAACTGCCCTGCCGGAACGAGTTCATGACAGAGAATGTATTGCTTTACCGAAAAATGTGTCAGGTGGACAGTCAGGAACGCTGGCTCGGAGGCTGGGCCTCGAGTTTCGACCAGTAGTCCGCAGAGCTCGAGAATCTCCGACCGGATATAATCTTCGTCAATCGCATCTGGTAGTTCATCTTCTGATAATGTCTCGCATCCTTCGTCGGCGAGAAACAGCGCTTCTGTGATCTCGAGAATGGTCATTGGACGCGAAGCGAAGGTAGCCCACCGCAAAATCGCCAGCGCTCGGCTTCTGTCAGGTTCTGGAAGATCGGTGATCCTTTTCCAGTTCCGATCGTAAAGATTAGTCAGTCTAGTAGGTGCTTGGTCAATTGTTCGGTGAAGAGAGCCCAGGCTTTTCCCACTGCGCAGCTGTCCTTCGAGGATTTGGATACCGAGGAACATACACTCGAACCGGTCGACTACGCGGGACGATAATTCATTCCGCTGCAGCTCACTTTTGTTCTGTAACTTCCGGTTTACAATATTCCGTGCAAACCGCATGGCGTCAGTCTTGACATCCTTAGGTCCTATGGGGCAGTCGAACAGGGCCCAACGCGTTCCGACTTCGCGCAAGTGAAGGCCTTCTCGTATTTCCGGCTCATCGCGACTTACAACGATAAGCCGGGACGGTTTGGAGATGGACTGTTTCAGAAATGTGAAGAATTCTTTGAGCGACTGTCGATAACTGGCCTTGCAATCGTATCCTATTCCCGCGCACTCGTCAAGGCCATCAACAATGAAGACGCAAGCTGGTACGCTCTGCATGACAGCTTCGAAGAGCTCCTTCATGTCTTTTGGAGTGGCAGGGCGTCTGTCACTGGCCTGCCATCGTACTGACGCAAGCTCAAATGCCTGTTCATTCCCGGAGATCATCTGGTAAGTCCAGGCTCGTATGATGGCAAATGGGTCTGCACGGCTTTCCGAATCTGACGAAAAAAAGTGGTACGCGACGAGAGAGTTGGTGAATCTAAGGTGTTCGATGACCTTGGCGCAGAGAATTGTCTTGCCGTACCCAGCAGGACCATGAATCCATAGGGCTTTGGTATGAGCCAATTCTGGTTTCTCCCATTCTTGGAACTCGCGCCTTTGGAGAATCCACTCGCAGATGCCCTCCAATCGTCTCTGAACGAAATTGTCGTACATCGCCGTGGGCGATGTGATTCCTAGCCACCGGGGAAACTCTCTCTTGAACTCGTCTTGGTTTGTCAGAATCGTCTCCCTTAGAGAAGGAAAAGACATACTGTTTCTATGCTCCTTGTCTAACGCAAGAGCCCTTTCTACTGCCATAGACAATTGTTGTATTAGATCAGGTAAGGTTCCGAGTTCCCACGTTTCTATCATTGGTTAGAGTCGCTGGGGTAGACATAACAGTTTCCATCATCGGCGGGTCGACTGTACCTGAGCCAGCTTGTACGTAGTTTGCGCCGTGGGTTTCAGGTGGCAGCACCAAATCGTGGAGACGTTGCAGCAGTGCCGCGACGTTCTGGGTCTGTTCGGAAGTCTTGTTCTTGTCCTGAAGAGCCCAAGCCAACCTCGCTTTCCGGGACATGGACCCGTGATATTTCTCCAACCACACCGACCCTTTTGCATGACCACGACGACCCTGCTGTCGAGACGCTGATTCTGCAGACGAAGAAGGCCCGTCTAGCGGTGCGCACTCTGCACTGGAATCAACGTTGCGGATGCACTGGACGATCTTGTCGACTGTTTCGCGCACTTTTGTGTCATCAAGGCCGAGTGGTGTCCATCCTTCAACTGCTTGTCGCCATAGCCCACACTCTCGCTCCACTGTTGTAGCATGATCCGATCCGCGTCACGTTGGGCGAGTAGAGGACGTGACTCGAATTCGGCATTCTTGTATGAGTCAAATCTCTCTTTGGCGTCCCGGACAGAAGTCACTAGGCCTGCTAGTCCGGCGACTCCAATACCAAGCCCGGCAGCTTCGGCCATCGTAGTTTCTTTCCAGATAGGCAATCCTGGTGCGAATAACACGGGATAGGCATACGAGATGTCTACGGATATATCGGAACAAATAGTGGAACATGTACCGATGGGGTCTTGATATAGTCGGCGCGTACGGAGAGGAGAGAGAAAAGTAAGTTTCAATAAGCAGGTCGTTGGGCACTGCCTCGTTAGGCAGAGCCCTCCACAGCCGATAGATGTGGCTTAGCGCAGGCATATTCAGCATGACATAGTGGGGCACTGCCTCCTGCTCTGGCCGCATCGTAGCCAATGAGTTGAAGACACGATACCGTTTGTTGCCTCTGGAAAGGAGGAGGCAGCCCCGGGCCGAGAGTTGGAAAGCAAGGCGTATTGGTATTGCGGCTTTTGTTCAACCTTGCACGTATTCTAAGACATCCACACCAAAGCATTTAATGACTAACGGTGAGTTTGGGATTGTTAGCCAGGTGGGGATGCAATCAGGCCGTGCGCGATAGGACTGATAATGCCTTGCCGGTTTCCAGGGTTTAGCCCAAGTACAAGCCGAGGCGTTGTCGTGTCTTTGTCGCATCGCATTAAGCCATCGAGTAAGGTCGTGCTGAGCTACTGACAGCAATATGGATGGCCCAGCTTATCTTCGCTTGCTCTGCTCCCATTTCGTCCGTGGTCGCCTCTACCCGTTCTTCCCATGGTGCCAGTGTAAACGGCTAAGTGGCTGTCGCACTCTTATATTTCCTCTTCCTTCTCTTTCCAATCTAATACAGAAGATGCTTGGCTGGCGATAGTATTCATATCAGACGAGTAATTCTGAACATATAGTCTTGAAAGACATTATGATCGATATCATAACTAGAGGAGGGCTGGGATTGTCTTAACCTTCGGGGCTATCAGATGGTGATAAAGTGAAGTTGTCTGGTGATGACGCAAGTTTAAGGATCGGAATCACAGAAAAGCTGAGTTTCTAACTACAGGAATAAAGTGCTCTCGGTGGGATGTTTCATCCTGTTCTTCCAACCCCTTCATAGATAGATGGCTGAGGGGGAGACAGGAGCAAAAATAAGAACGAAAAAGCAAAGTTTCGTTGTTATTGTTATATAAGCCGCAACAGTCTTCAGTTAAGGGGCAAGTCATACTGCTATCTCGCGTCGCCGTCCGGGGACAAGCTGAAGCATTGCAGTACAAATCTTGTGGAAGACAATGTCTCAGCCAGCGCCGAAACGTCGAGGCCTTCCCGCCAGAAAGGCGCCACAAACCGAAGAGCAACAACTTGCGTCCCAACGCGCACGATCGCAGCGATACTACCAACGACAACACGAGCAAGCCGTGAGTTCCCATCGCGCACCGGCCGAGTCGCAACGAGTGGAATTTATACATCATTATTATTACTATTACTCACCCCATCCGGCCGCTATACCGTCGACTACGGATCCGGTTATTGGCCTCCACCTAGAGCCTCATCTCCAGATCCCCACGCCGTTCGAGGATCCACCAGCGGCCGAGCCTACCTATAACCGCAACTACGACGACGACGAACCGAACGAGGCTGAAGCGGGTCCGGCCGGAGCACCGTGCAGCCCACCACCTGTGAGGGATAATGAGCTACATGATACACCGTCCCAATATTGCCCGGCTGAAGAAGAACGGAGTCAGTGTGGCCAGGAGATACAGGACCTCCTGCAATTAGTTGAGAAAAGCCTTCATATCTCAGTATCATCAGTCCAAGGTATCTATCCCGACTCCCTCGAAGCGGTATCCCGAATCGCAGTTCTAGCCTGCTTAGCTAATTCCAAACTACAGCGGATGGTTGCGACGACGACGACGACGACGACAACGACGACAACAACGATGGTAATGGATGCAACGATAATCGCAGATTCATCAACCACCCTTATCAAAATCCCCCCGTTCCTGAAAAATCGATCTCTACACTCGAAAAGTATCTTACCCAAGAATGGACAACACATTGTCGCATGTATCAGGATGTCGGGATATCGGATTTCTGCGGTTGTGACGGAAGTGAAGCTTTCCTTCTGTCATCATAGGCGTCCATCGCCACTTGCCTCGTCACCGGCCTCATCATCAGATAAGCCCGAGGCCTAGCTTTTCCTTGATTTCATCTATAGCTAGTTGAAGCCAAAGACTCCGAAGGATCCGAAGCCTCTCGGCTGTCCGAGGTCATCCGAGGTCATCATCAGTCTCTTCATCTATAAGACTGACCCAAAGACCCTCTTTTAGATAGGAAGAATATCAAGAGCTTCTCGCACACATGATCATTTCCATCTGCTAGATGCAACACACATCCAAGCTGCTCAAGCGAAGAATATGAAGCAGATCATGATAGCTTGGTCAACACCGGCCATCACCACTTCTGCAATTCTCTGGAAGATATTATCGTTCGGCTGGATAGACTGATTAATAACGACCACGATCATTATCCGCTCCTATATGTTACCGATCCTTCTTCTGATCTTCTCAGTCATGCCTCTCAACTCGAGAATCTCCACGGTAGCGACCCTCCTTACGATGCGCAACAGCCCATGCACTCGCACTACCGTGATTTCCGAGCAGCTTGTCAAGTCGCTCTTGAAGGATCTTCAAGCGATGGCACGCCACCGAGTCTCTGCCTCCCAACCAGACACCGCCTTGCACAGCCCTTTACAGATGACTTCATTCAAAAGGGTTAGGGTTATAAATACCAATAGTAACTTATAGTATTTTCTTTAAGCTATATATCCCCTAAGATTATAGATAGATGTAGGATTGTGACCCTGTACCACGAAACCTCTAATAGATTGATATCCTGACCTTAGTCAGAGGGGGTGTCAGATGACATAAAACCCCTCTTGAGAAAAGAGGGGGTCGGAGGCATCCTAGATCAATACAATAAACAGATTCAGGATCCACACCCTATTGAGCATTAATCCCTGGATCGAATGTGCCCTACGCTATCCAACAATAGATTAAGAGTTAAAGAGAGGGAAAAAGAGGAAAATTTAAGTCCCCTATAATATAGCAGGGTTATAGGGGCTTTAGTGAGTAAATACAGTATACCTCCACTTTTTATAGTGCTTATTCATACTATACGCTTTAATCTTTATCTTCAGAATTTTATATCTATCTTTCTATTAGATATAATTAGCTAAGACTTAGTATATAAAGTCACTTTATAGATCTTTACTATATATAATTCTCTAGACTAGTACTATAGTATAAATCTACTGAGATATTATAGGTTGAAAGTTGGGATATAAGGTGTGCACTGTGTAACTTTTCCAGACTTTTGGCGCGCGATTTTAGATCTAGGAAAGCTAGCCGTAATTAGATCTCCTTGACGAACCCGATCTCAATCAAGTTATCCACATCAATATCCAGGTCCGCCAATTTCGTCCGCGAGTTCTCGCGAATCCACAAGAACGCCTCCAGCGCTAGTCTGCGAATCACCGACTTGACGATGCTGCCATGCCCCCTGCGGATCTTCATGACTTGTTTGCCCATCATGTACACCGCCTGCGCGTCCTGCGCGCGGCACATCGCCTCCACCTCCCCGCGGACGGCCGGCAGAAGTTCGATGCGTCGATCGCCGTCGCTACGCGTGATGAACTTCATCAGATTGCGCACCATGATCATCTCCAGATCAGGCGTCAGCACATTGTCCATGTACCCATGGCGGAGTGTGAGACGATAGTATAACGAGATTGCCGGAGTCGCCCACGTGATAACGAAGCGCTCCGCTACGGTCGCACATTACCACATGGGTGACAAAACCATGTGCGAAAATGACTGGAGCTATTTCGCACATAGGCTTTCGGCGTTTTTATATGGGGCTACAGTATTGATGTAATAGCGCACTGTTTTCAATGTAGCACAGTTGATGCCATACTAAGTGGTGCTGATGCCATTCCATCGGCGCCGAAGCTCCGATAATGTCGGTTCAGAGGGGGCGGGATATTGCAGCTGGAAGCCTTGGAAGGAGGTATGAACTCCGACCTCTACCACGATCTCGAACCCCTGGTCTGCGTCTCGCACAATGCCGAGGCCCCGTAAGGACTTGGAGCGCGTCAAGGACTGGATCCTCGAGCAGCGGCGAGAAGGACTATCCATTGACACTATATGTGCCCATCTCCGCGACGATGGGCACGTACTCGACGTCAGAACCCTAAAAAGGAGGATAGCGGAATGGGGTGCCCAGGAGTACTCCCCCCTTCACTCAAAGATTGATACCAACACCTTCGTCGAGCTGATCAAAGGCTACTTCTACCGATACGGATATAGCGACACTTCCATCGTCCGTGATCTCAAGCGACGCGGCATCGAGATCTCCGAGCGGACTGTACAGGAGTATCGTCTGAAGCATGGCATGAAGCGGCGCTTCCGAGATCTGGCTGAACGACAGGAGGCTATTCAAAAAGCAAGAGAGTTCCTCTTCCAAGACGACCGTCAGTCTTCAAGCATCAGAGGATTTGGCAGGGGGTATCTATACCATTACGTCCGCATCCGTGCCGGCGTCCTTGTCGGCCAGAATACCTTATATCGCGAGTACCAAACGAACCCAGAGTGGAAGAAGCGGGCCGAACAAAGACGCCTTGCTGATTGGAAGCACCGGAAGAACTTCCAGGTTCCTGGGCCTAACTTCATGTGGTCTCTCGATGGGTACGAGAAGCTCAAGAACTTCGGCTTCTCTATCTACGCCTGTATCGACACGTACTCGAGAGCCATCATCTGGATATATGTCGGCAGGGGGAACATGACTGCGCTGAGTTCACTCAAACAGTTTCTACGAACTGTGTCGTACTCAGGGGTCCGCCCCCTTTTCACCCGCTCGGATCATGGTATCGAGACTCCTCTTTGGGCCGGAGCCCAGGCGATTCTCGCAGACCTTGATCAGACAGAGTTTCGGTATACCACCGAGGATAACGACCAACGAGTCCACAGGCAGGGAGCGAGACTGAGCTCCTGTCATATCTGGGGCCCAAGCACATCGAACCAACGGATCGAGTCTTGGTGGGAAAAGCTACTTAAAGGTGTCAGTCAGCGCTGGATCGCGTTCTCACACGAACTAATTGACAGCGGCCTCTTCCAACCAAACCGTCTTGCTCACCAGATCGCGGTGTATGCTCTCTATGGACCCATGATCCGTCAAGAGGTTGCGGACTTCACGGAGATGTGGAACGGCCATCGCATCCGACCACAGAAGAATAGGGAGCATCTCGTCGCCGGGATCCCGATGGATTTGTATAATACAAGCGAAGTGGAGAACTGGGCAGTCCATCTAGGGCCTGCGGCTCGAGATGGGCTTGCCCAGATGATGGCCGCTGTCGATTCTATCGATATAGACGATCTTCTTGACCCAATAACAACGGACTGGTGTGATCAACAGCTCCGGGATTTTCAGTTCGGTGGTCAGCTAGATGGGGAGCTTGATCATAAGCGACCACACCTCGCGATCTACTTACGACTTAGAGACAAGATTCAGGTTCATCTCGACTGCGGGGCAAGTCCGGTGCTGAGCATCCCAGAGAGTCCAGTTGGAGGGCAAGAGAGATTCGTACGTAAAAAAGTACTCCATCGCACTCAAAAGCTAGCTGACAATGCTTTAGCTTCGGCTCCTCGAGCAGAACTACCTTAAGCCTATTAACAATAGCCTCTCCGGAACTGAGCTACCTGGCGATATTATCAATAGTGTGGACGAGCTGATGGGGGACCTGGGTCACCTTGAGCTAGAGTAACTACTATTTCCTCGTCTGTTTACGAGGATGCCGACTACTTGGCCTCCTCGTATCAACTCCTCGGGTTCCAGCAGCGGGACCATGGGCAGTGAAGGCAGGGCCAGCCGAGAGCTCCTTATCCTCTGCCTCTACTGAGAGTGCTGAGCTTATAGAGTCTCGAGCTCGTTTCTGACCCGCGCGGGTCTCGTCCACGTCGCTAGTAATAACCTCGATCTGGTCTTGTGCGCTAGCTCTCGAAGGAGGTAGAACTGGGCTCAGAGAGGGGCTCAAGGAGGGCGAGTTGAACTCGCTCCCGATTAACAAGGCTGGCTGTACCTTCGCCTCGGTCTTGACTAACTCTTTCTTGATTCCCTTCTCCTTTTTGAACGGCTTTACGGCTGACCTCGGCGTCTTGATATGACGAGGGGCCGGGACTTGTGGTCGAGGAGGCAATGGCTCATAGAAAACAAGGAAAAGGAGATATCTGCCCTCTGTTTTACTGAAACGAAAAGGGCAGTCCTCGCCGAAAAGCTCTGCGACTGTCTGTCTCTCCCAGTCGAGGTCGCTCAGCTCCGTGATACCCTCTTTAATATGGGCGTTCTGAACGAGTCTCTTGTCGAACTGAAGAACAGAAGAGAGGGCAGGCTTGTCCTTGAACTGAGGGAAGAAGATGCTGTCGAACCAGAAGTGGACAGGTAAAGATGGTTCCTCGTCGACGAAGGGGCGCAAAGCGACCTTCAGCAGCTCTCTAGCCAAAGACCACTGGGGCTCCTCATCTTCGTCTAGTATTTCCCATGGGTCAGGCCTCGCGAGGAAGACAGTGAGACGCATCGAGATCTTCCGTCTGCTCTTGTTTTGGCTCTGTTTAGCCACAGCCTCACTGAGTTGCGACGAGCTCGCCCTCATGCCCCTCGCGATCCGACTCTGGGTAAGTTTGGCATCTCGATACATGGCGGAGGGCCGCGATGCTGCGAGGATACGGCCAGGGCCGTCTCCAGAGCCGGTGAAGATCGTCTGTGAGGGCGTGGAACGATCAGAGGCTGTTAGGTCGATAGACTGTATAGTGGAGGAGGTGGAAGCTGTCTCAACGTCTCGAAACGGGACTGGCGAGCTGTCGAGGATGGAGATACTCGTGGGCCAACGTCTCCCGCAATATGGACACAGATTCGACCCTGGGTGGCTATCGCGGATGAAATCGTGGCTCCTTTGGTACGATTTAGGGGCCACGGTCTTCGGAACATCGGGACATGTCTGCGATAGGACGTGATCGGGCATATCTACGTACAAGACAAGGTCAGTCGCACAATCTCAAGATGGATAGACCCGAGGTTACTTAGGGAATGGATGGGGATAGCCTATAATAGCTATGGGGGGCGATGGGCTGGGTATTGATGCTGGTGTGGATGTGTGAGTGGAAGAATTGTGACGCGTCGCCAGGAATTATCACGACATATTCCCTGGTGGAGATGCCATCTAAATGAAGAGATACCTTCCGGATAGTGTGCGGTACTGTAGTCTTGCAAGGGGCCACAAAATTACTAAGTATTTCCACATGGTTGAGGCTTCCCAAAAGGGTTATGTCACCCATGTGGTAATGTGCGACCGTACTCCGCAGGCGGGACGGTAGGGATGGAAAGCGTGCAGATGTGGAAGAACACAATGACTTCGGGCCGAGCCTTGAACTTGCGGACGAAACGCGCGAATACCTTCGGCACCGTGTTATCGCTTCCCCCGACCTTATCAAAGAAGATGCCCAGACCCGATATAGTCGACATGTTCCCGGGGCCATTTGATGGCGAGAGAGTCACCACCTGGCTCTCCTGCTTACCCCGAGGAACCTTCGAGGCGTCGTGTGGGAGCTGTAAGAGTTGAGATAGCGAGATGCGGTCCTCGGCTTCAGCAGCCCATTGCTGCTCCTTGCCGAAGCGCCACAGGATGAAGACGATGGAGAGGATGACGGCGAGGACGATCGTGAACCAGGCACCTTCGGGGACTTTCCGGAGGGCGGGGACATGAAGGCGCCGTTAAGGGCGGCGAAGATGAGGAAGAAGAAGAGGACCACCATCGCCGGGATGCGCCAGACGATGATGGCGACAAGCGAGATCACACAGGTTGTGATGAAGGTCACGATGACGACGCAAACGCCGTAGGCGTTGCCGAGACTGGTGGTCTACGAAGTTCTGCGTCAGGCGTCATGGCCAATGACAGCTCAATAGGTAATAGCAGTAACTCACATTGTTGTAAACAGTCGTAACGATGACCGTCCCAATCATCAACAGCCAATTCACCAGCGGCATATATACCTGCCCGTGGAACTTGCGACTTGTATGCACTGTCTTGATATGCGGGAAGTAACTCAGCCGCATGACCTGAGACGTCAGCTGGAATGAGCTGGTAATCATTGCTTGGCTCGCGACAATCGCTGCGAGCACTGCGATGACAATACTGAAGTTGAAGCTCCCCGGCGGCACCGTATTGAAGGACGGATTCGCAAACGCCTTCTGGCTCTTGTCTGTTGAGATATAAGCCGCCTGCCCCACGTATGTGAAAACCAGACAAGGGTACGCAAGGCACAGCCACGAGAGCTGGATTGCCCGCTTCCCGAACGCGCCCAGGCCTGCCAGGTAAGCCACAGGAGGAGGAATCCGCGGTGGTCCTAAGTAAAGGCCGGATTAGTCAATCAAAAACAAAATTGGTTTTGGGTTGGAGAGGATAGTCACGGTAGGGATTCAAAGCTCTTCCACGACTTACCTGCTTGTTCTTGCGGTTCAGGTCCTCGTCGGAAATCCGACGTGCCTTCTCCTCCGAATCCATATCCTAGATCTGATCTTTGGCGGCCGCAGAGGACGATTCGCCCACGACAGCAGCGTCTTCGTGGACGGCGTCGAATGGGGTCTTGCCGGGGGTCGTATTACCTTCCCCTTCCGGCTTTGTCATATTGGGCGGCAATTGGAGGTTGCAGAGGAGAGCAGGACAACCTGAAGAGGAAAATGGCCAAATTTCGAGAAACGTGAAATGGGAGATTGAAGAGATCAAACAAACGCAGATGCAAGGACGCCTCTACCGGCAAAGAGGAGAGAAAGGTGTTTCAGAAAGGACTTTGGGCAAGGCGATGTATGAACGAGGTCTTCTTTCATGGGATCCCATCCTTGAGGGGAAAGTCACATGGGAGTGGGCCTGAAACAAGAAAAAGTTCGCTTGGTTTCTGCAAAGTGCTTGCAGCCCGGATGGCTCTCGTCCATGATTCAAGACACGCATGATGAAAGGTTTTCAGCCATGCACGAAACCTTCAGCCAAACCAATCTGAGTTGAGTGCGGACCCGCAGCCGCACGAGGAGAAATGCGGCCCCGCACTCTAGCATTGAGACAATATTGCGGCACAGGCATCGAGCGTTACCATCGTTACCCTCGGAGGATGAACTGGCCTGAAATATCTGCAGTCTTTCATAGAATAGCTAAGATCACTGACTGTCAAAGGGGCTGCAAATTTCGTTCAAGGCCGAGTGAAGTGGTATGGTAGGATGGTGCCTTTGATCGCGACGTGCTGATCCAAAGAGAGGTCAGGCTTTGGGAGAATAGATTCTATGAACAGGATCACCCTCATTTGCTGCAGTGTCGAATCTAGGAACATATGGTCTTTGCAACAGATTCTAAGAGGGCAAACAAGGAATTGACTAAGTCGTATTCAGAATGCATAGGCGAGTATCGTACAAGCTCCACGGTTGCCACTCATCTTCTCAACCTGTCTGATGCTACCGACAAAACTTCTGCAATTTTCCTTGCCATATCCGACTTCTTTCCCAAAAGCCATAATCCCTTGATGCATTCTTCCGCCCTCTCCAGGCTATCTTTAAAGTCCTCACTATTATGGCCAAGCGTGCCCCTGCCGTACCGCAAAGATTCATCTGCCTCTCCTAAAAGTATGACAGACGCCTTGCTAAAGGCCCTAATCAGAATCATTGTCCAAGGTTCAGTCAAAATGGTTCCTTCGTTGACTGCGTGATGGAAATCTTGGAGTTGGGGCATGGCTGAACTTGCTTCTTCGGCAGGTGGTGTTGCAACGCTTGCGAGATCAGAAAGTTCTCTCACGCTTGTTTCCCGTATCCTGCAGGCCATTTTGCTGTTGGCACGACAGCGCGCCTCAATGTTGACACCCAGACCGTTCTTATCAACAAATTCAACTATATCGGCCAACATGAGGGCCGCGAGGTGCCAATGTGCAGAGATACACACAAACCAGCTCTGAATTCGCGGCGGCACCGAATCAAAGTGCTGCACCAGTTCTCGAAAGAAGGATCCGTAAGTCATGATCCAATACATATAGACAGACGTGGTGCTCCTGATGATTTCCTCGACTTTCTGACCACGGCCACCTTTTCGAAGAATATTTTGCAAGTAGGAGACGTGTCTGAACAACAAGACTTTGATCGGTGCTGATTTGGTGACAGCTTCAGCGGCCACTTCATAAGAACAAGGCCAATGGAGAAAGTCGCCCGGTTCATCAAGGCCGTCTTGGATGAATACATCTATTTTCCACCGTCCGGTCGAGGTTTCTTCTGGTTCGGCGGTGTAAATTTCCTCTTGAACAGAGGAATGCTGACAGTCCTCATCGGCGACGACAACTGGTCGCTCGTTCATTGAAGATGAAACCGTATCAAACATGACGGCAAGCCAATAGAGAAGCCCAATAGTGCCTCGATCCTCACCGCTCATGGATGGGATGCTGTCAGCCATTTTCCCGGCTTGCCCGTTGGTGTTGGCACCTAGACCTCGTCTAGTAGAGTCATATCGATACTTGAGCGCATGCATCTTCCGGGCTGCCCTCTCCATATAGGTCGGTGGCCCCTCTTTGGAGATGATGCGGTTGATCTGAGCTAGGGCGGACGTCTTTACGTCTCTCCCTCCACGACTACTTGCAAACATCGCTGGGTCAATGACTCCCGGGTGATCGTCGTTTGCCCACGGCTTCTGCGTTAATCCAAAGATTAATTCCGCGCACACCACTCTGTAGGACTCCAGATCGGAGACATCTTGCAAAGCTCGCTGGGCTTGTTCCCAGAAGTGACGTTGAAGATTCCGGTCAAACTCTTCCGTCATTTCGTCGGCAAGTTCTTCTGCCAGGTTATCATCAGCACCGTCTCTGGCTGCCGAGTATCTCTGTCTTTGGCGACGGCTTCCTTGGGCCCACTGCGTGGCAAATGCCATGATGGCAAGGTGGAGTGCTCTTAACGCTGCCTGGTCTTCCGACCGAACCAGCTGTATCATCTTGGTCGATTGTGCCACTCGATCGAGTTTGACGGTTCGGCGGTATATCCTGTTGGACCAGAATGGTCCCCATTCCTTTTTGAGATTTGCAGTGTTGACCACATCTGGACTCCATCGTTGTGTCTTATATGGACAGGTGACTTCCGTCAACCAGCACGAGAGGTTGTGCTCAAAAACGTCGTGGTAAATCTGGAGTAGGTTTGTGGAGATGAGCTGATTGTTTGACCGGGCCATCATGGTTTGATCGATGGAGAACGGAGAGAGTGAGCTTTGGTAGTCGCGCCAGCCACTCGATCTTCGGCGTCTTTTCGGGGCTGGCCACGCCCTGCCACTGCCAGAAGGCCACGAGTGAGATGACGACATGGATTGGCTGGTTGAACAGGTCTGAGGGGGTTGCGAGCCCGAAGGGTACATCTCAAAGTCCAGCTCACCTTGAGGCGCTGAGCTGTCTGAAGAAGTCGAGGCGTTGCGGGAGACCGTCTCCGTGAGACATGTGGAAGGTGCGGCCAATCCATCAAGTGAAGGCCCTAGTATCTCAGCCTGCGATGCTTCTTCGAGTATACTATCAAACTCGAGGACATCCAGCGAACCGACTGGAAGTGTAGATGATAGGTCTATATCAAGGAGTGACAGATGCGGGAAAACGAGATCCGGGATTTGAGCCGGGTCCTGCAAGAGAGCTGACGCAGATCTAGGATCAATCTCGTCATCCACATCTTTGGTAGCCCATGATGCGCCGTTTCCAGTGTCTGTCGTCTGACGCTTCGATGGGATAGGGTTCCTTGACCGGTGACTGGCACTCGAAGTGGTGGATAGAGAGGCTCCAGAATGAATCTGCGACTGAGCCCATTCCATTGTGCATGTTTTCTTGGTCCTCAAACAGTATGAGCATGGCCTTATTCTTGACGCAGAGACTTGATATCATCAGCATTATTCACAGTGAGATTCTTGATGAACTCACCAGGTCGCTCATCCGATCCAATCGAGGCCGCGCTCACAGAATGGCGTCGCGTCGAACCTAAAGGCGGGGCATCGCATGCTCTCTTGGACTTTCGGCATTGATCGCAGGAGTGGTGCTGGCGTCTCATACTTGGAATCTCACCAACAGATGAAGGGCTTTTCGGGAGCAAGGCGAGCAAGATCACGTCACAGATTACAGCTTTGTCCTGATCTGATCTGGAGTCGGAGAGAACTGGAAAAGCTGGGGATACGTCGACTGCTGGGGCCTCAGTTGTATTTTGGATCTGGTATCCACTGCTTTCCCCGCTTCCCCGCATATGGCAGCCTATCCCTTTGACTGTCGTAAGCCTACACTTGGGTTGCGAGCAGGGATTCGGTCCAACCAGAGAGCAGCAAATGAAAGGTACATTCAACCCCACCTAATTTATACGGTGATAGCAATGGTGATCAGGCCGATGGAAAGGAGGATGAATTGTTCTTCGATGCCCATGTCGACATGCTATGCAGGAGAAGATGGATGACCCGAGGACTTGGAACGATTGTGAAGGGAAGAAAGCTGAGAGAATGCAAAAGAGGGGAACTATTCCAAGAAAAGAATCAGCCGCAGGGTGTGTGGTCTATTTCCACTTAGACTCTTTCCGGTCTTATGCTATGAAACCCGGAGTTTGGCTTGGTTCCGAGTTATGGACTCGTTGGGTGTGAAACTTTCCAGGATTTACGGAGGGCCTTTTCAAAAGTCTTGACCAAGCGCTAGTAACGCCACATCCCGTTACCCTGTCGGTTACCTGAGATACATAGAAATCGTGGCAGGGTCATCAAGCCATCCACTACACCTTCTGTAACTTCAGGCGCATTAGGGGCTGCTGGCCAGGACCTAGCGGTTGCTGGTGTGCTGTAATCTGCTACCTTTCAGGGCTTACGGGAAGTAGGAAGTACTTAGTGTACTTATCCTAGTGATGATTGGTTAGCTTAATATCGTTGCTTTTTCTTGGGACAAGACTTTTGAAAGGCCCTCCGTAAACTCCTGACCGTTCATGTTCTATTTCGTCGATCGCGTTTGCGGCTCGACATTTAATCCAACGTTCGCCTCTGCAGATCATGGCGAGTAGGAGCATGAACTGCAGTCGACCCCTTGTATTTTGCTCGGCTCAGTCTAACCGAAAGCCGAGCTTATCACTGGTTGACTGGTTCTTTTGTGGCTTTCGGTGGCTTTTTAGCTGCTCATGCTCTGCCATTGGATCGTCGGGTGGAGCAAAAGCGACTTAAACAGCTGCTCATGAGTGGCTCAACCCCAGTCTTTAACAGGTTAAGTCACGAGCTAACAGAAAAACAAGGGCTATACTGTATGCAACGTAGCATGGTAAGACGGGCTAATGGAGGGGGTCGTCGTTTCATGAATTCGGCTGTGGGTCGAAATTATGGGACGTATAGCGGCATCGGAAGGTTGGTCGACTGGAGTCCCCACATTTGGACAATGCCGGTGGGGTAGTGGCCCTTTCTAGGGCGGTTAAGCCCGATAACTGCCGAGTTGATGGGGCTCTGGAATGCGGCGTCGTCAGGACGTGTTGGGTTGCGAGTCAAGATGCTCAGGGTTGCAATCCACTCAACATCAGGCCTCAGTTGAGTGGATTCAGGGGTGACACGTGGCGCAAAGGGGTTCGTGCACTCGTGCACGGATCACCTAGTGATCCTAAACCCACGGGAAGAGCTCGTGGAATGGAGTGGATTGCAACCCTGAAGATGCTGCCCTCTTATCCTTGTCTGGGAGCTAACCCAAGACAAAAGGGGGAACCAACATCAGCTCGTAGTGGAGACGAACAATGAACCTTGCACGAGCCTCTCGGAAAGCCTGCCGCTGTTGCATTGTTCCACGTGCGGGGGCATCCGCTACATTGTCCGTTGAAGATCTCCGCCGCCGTTGACGCACTAGAGGTGTTATCATGCCAAGGATACAGTACTATAATATGTGTAGGTGACATCCGTAAGTTCCATTGCATCACAAACGGAGGACAAACTCCTACTGACTCGCACTCTTCTTATTGATCTCCCTCTCGCCCAGGGTTGAAAGCCACTCCACTCAATCCACTCGCGGATTCCACTGTCCACTCCACTGGCGAAATGCTAGTGGATTGGCTAATCCACCGAATCCACTGGACCATGTCGTGGAGTTGGTTTGGTGGATTTGGTGGATTAGAAGTGGGGCAGTTAGTGGCACCTATATATTTTGGCAGAGTGACCCTAACAGTACCTGATGCCCCCCACCGTTTCAGCGATCCTGCCACCCTATATCAAAAACACCCTGAAGCTTCTGGAGAGTGTAATCTTGTAATGCATACAATAAAGGCAGCACCATTCAAGTGTTCTGGACGTTCTCCTTCGAATGATATAAGTCTCGATATGTATGCTTAAAATTTGATCAAGGAATGCTATATCGTCATGAAAGCAGGCAATAGTTCGTCCATTGTCAATTATACAACTACATTTCAAGTACAGGTTAAGCTCAACCATCCATATTTTGGTATCAGAATACTTTGGATTCATAATACGACACTTATATCATTAAATAGCCTCCGGCAAGCCGATTCGAAAAACGCGTTCAGATTCTTCAATATCTCAATACTGCGCGAGTAATTGCAAGTGACACTTCGCGTCAGTTCGCGATTTGGAAGGTGTTAGGGACTTATCTAATACTCAAGCCCAATTGACCCTCGCTACTTGCTTATCCATACAAATTAGCCTGAAAGGAAGTTAAGGGCATAATGTGACAACTGGCCGCGTTGGACGCGTTATTCGCGCTCATTTGTCCACCTGTTGGTGATCTTTTACTGCCGCCATGTTTTGCGGGTTCGACATGATAAAGAGATTCTTGCTACCATGACCTCGCCTGGTTCCTGCCTCGATATTTCCGACAGTGGCGTCGGGTCGGCCCCCGAATCAACGCCCTGCCCGACGCCTTGTTCTACTCATGCGACCTCGACTCCTTCCGCAAGCGATGAACACTACGAACGTACACTCTGGAGGCATTTCCCTGGCTGGGCGTTCTCTGAGCGAGCCAGAGAAACGCGTTGTTGGGCCTGGCAATTTGGATATGATATCCAAAAGGAAGTCGACCTCAGATGGATTTGCCAAGCGTGCATTCGCAAGAATATCCTACATCCACGTCATTTCGAAGCCGATGGCATTCACAACGCGTACAATCATGTGTTCAACGACCACGCGATTCGCGCTCCGCCTGGCAGGACCAAAGGAACTGCTGAAAAGAAGGCGAATTCCAAGGGCAGGAAGCCTACGGGGCAGCAGACTCTCGCGGAATCCAAGAAGCTTGATCTACACAACCCCCGAGAGCAAGCAATTGCAAATAGCCTTATCAAGCGCTTCGACGAAGAACACTTCCGGAGGCTTCTGATAGACTGGATCGTGGCCAAGAATCACTCGTTTTCTATTGCTGAAGAGGCAGAACTCCAAGCTATTTTCGATTACTTGAACCCATCAGTTTCGGCCCGTAAAGCCAATATTACCCACGCAGCAGTTCGAGAAAAGATCGTCGCCGCGTTCGAACAAACAAGCAGAAGGTGATAGAGGTCTTGTGCAAGGCGCCTGGCCTTGTCCACATCTCCTTCGACGGCTGGCGGTCTGGAAACCGGCACGCCTTGGGACGAAAACAACAAGCCTTGCAAGATTACGATTGGGCTCCCTGAAGTCGGCGCCAGGCACACAGGGCCTAATATCGCCGCCGAAATCCTCGACGTAATCGAATCGTATCAGATCCAAGACAAAATTGGCTATTTCACGCTTAACAACGCGAAAAACAACGATACCACCATGGAGATTATTGGTGGAGAGCTCGGCTTCGTAGGGGCTCGCACACGAGGGCGCTGCTTTGGGCATACCTTTAATCTCTCCGCCAAAGCCATCCTATTTGGCCACGACGCTGATGCTTTCGAGCGGCGGTTATCGGGGGTAGAGCCTCTCACGGAAGCAGAACACTTGATTTGGCGCAAAAAGGGACCAGCGGGCAAATTGCACAATCTTGTGGTAGCTATCCACAGATCGGACTTGTTGACAACATGCTTCGCAGCATTCAACAAGAAGCCTTCGTCAAGTCGTCTGACCCCAAACCCAACAGCAGAAAGCCGTTGGATGTTATTTTGGACAACGATACCAGATGGCTGTCACAGTTATATATGATACGAAAGGCTCTACTCAAGGGTCGGAACCACTACATCCACTCCACTTTGGACCAAGTAGAGTGGATGTACGATTTTTTAGGCAATTACATAACGTTAGCGGATGTAACACATATTCGACCGGAGTGGAATGGATGTACACACGTGGATTTATAAGTGGATTTTTGAGGCTATTCACAACCTCGTCGGTGCCTCTTCAGCGTCACTTTCAGAGGTTGACACTAACTCTTCAGTCTCTTGCTGCTGTGATGAATCGTCAACCTCGCTGGCGCTGTCCTCGCCCTCCAATAGCCATTTTGACTCAGCAAGCGCCAGCTTGTCGTCGCTTAGAGTCCCACAACCGGCATCCAGCTTACTTTCAAGGTGTGACTTAAGCAATGGGTCCAGGTCTTTGATAAGGCCAGCACGGTACCAAGAGCGTAAAACCTGACAAATGGCGATAATCTCAGCATCTAGGTTCGTACGCAACCCCGAGACCATCTTGCCAGCAGCTGAAAATAACCTCTCACACTCGGCTGACATCGGCTGGATCGTCAGGAAGTCCAAGGCCATCCTGGATAACCGAGGATATCTGCTTTGCTTAGTAACCCAGTAACCAATTGGATCACGAACGTTGCCTTCGCTGGCGTCACGATCCGTCTGCCACGCTTGGTACTCGTCACCAACAATAGCTGCTGCGTAGACTGGTATTGAGTTCGGCAGACGACTGTTTTTCTCGAAGGGGTTGAAAAACCGAGGTCTTTTTGCCGGTGGCTCGTCGTCGCCTCTGCTGCTGCTGGTTCTAACCTCGAGATGAGTGTAATCGGACAGCCAGACGTCGGCAACTATCTCTTTTGCCTTTTTAACCCGACTAGGCTTATGAGCCCACGTTTTATCAAACCAGTCCCAACGATAAGCTGGATGGAGTGCCATAGCTGTATAGTAGATGGGCGTCTCGGCCAGCCGCTAATAATATTCATCCAGCTTATGCCAAGCAAGGTTGATTCCGATACGGAAGTGCTCTGAATTAGGAAAGTCAGCAGCAAGCTGCTTATTCTTCCAGTGTGTTAAGCAGCAACTCATAGCCAAGCACCACGTCTCAGATCTTGCCATAGGAGCCAGTCCAGCCTTGCTTACGCCGGCGGGTGTATCCATCACCCTCAAGCATCTTTACCACAGTCTCAAAAACAGTCAGAATAGCCTCCAAATAGTAAAGAACCTCCCAGTCTTTGTCCATTAGCTAATTCTCGTCTTGAAGGATGCATGGTTTTTTCGCCAACTTGACTTATATTACTTGGCCAGTCTTTTTAGACCGATTTTCATCCTCCCATTGCGCCTTATACTTGATCAGTAGGAGTTCAATAGAGGTTTTCAACTGTAGAGGCCTGTGGATTGTGAAGGGCTGGCCCTGGGTTTGTTCAACGAAAGGGTGCGGTAGATTGGTCTATCTAAGACTAAGGAGTAGGAAAGGAGAAAAAGCTAAGCCAAGGGTATGTTACAGCTATAGAGCAGAGCTCTCGCTTGCAGGGCGGTAGTAGCTAGCAGAAAGGAAGGTCAGTCTCACCTAGCTAGTTTGGGACCGGCACGGCATAGCCCGTGCCCCTTTGCCGGGCCCCAGCCCATGATATTGATTAGGATTATTGGCTGCAGAAGGCACTTCTAGGACTACCGGAATGTCGTAATAACCACTCTGGAGAGCGGCAAGCTGATCTCATTATGAGTATTCTCGAGACCTTCGGAATTATGTTAAAACTCGGCTATTACACCGGGGATAACCCTACGTTAAACAATATATATCTGGAGTCTATAACGTATATGATAAGCGAGTGAGCCAGACAAGCGAGTGAGCCACCTCTAAATCCCATACAAAATGCCGTTTTCAACCCCCTTGTAAAAACCATAAGTTTCTGATAAGAATTAATGACATATTGCTTGTATATTTTACTTTAATGTAATAACAGCTTAATATTTTTCTAAGACTTTATATAATTTTATTTACGGAGATATTTTAAGTTTCTGTTTATAAGAATACCTTATACTGAAGTTTTAGAATAACTCCTCAAGGATAATTTTGTAAAATCTCAGAAAAATGATACTCTATCGCTGTACCACAGCAAACATACAAGTAACTTTTAGTCAAGTTTGATCAAATCCTGATGGTTTTTGCAAGGGGGTCGAAATCCGCATTTTGTATAGGATTTGGAGGTGGCTCACTCGCTTATCATATACGTTAGTACGTCGATTGAAATAGAATCTTAATGTTAGTTGGCAGCCGTTTTTAATGGACTAATCTAATAATGAGAGGTAGATCGACTATAACCCCAAAACACGCTGCATCCGCTGCATCGGCCACATTATCAATCTCTCCCTTCAAGCCTTCCTTCTCGGGTCATCGAATGAAGCCCTCACATCCGCACTTAAAGCCGCATCTGAAGCCACTAGTGAAGAACTGTTAATCCGCTTCTCTTAGGCCCTCACCACCAGAAGACATAGAGAACGTAGACATCTCTCGAGATCGGACGTTGATAAGGACTACCTAGGCATTGAGGGCATACCTGCACTACGTAAACTGCACGGTCTGGCTGTCTGGGCACGCTGCTTATCGCTTAATAGCCAGCTGTGGGACGATGAAGTCGGTTTGCGACTAGGGATCGATAATGAGATGCGGTGGTCTTTATGGTACTATGTCTTCAATAAGCTTTTCAAAAAGAAGGCGCAGATCGTTCAATTCCTGCATGAACAGGAGCAGATCCTCGGAGACAATCGATTGACGGCAGCTGATTGGGATTTGCTTCAGAAAGCGTATGTATTTCTCTAACCCTTTAATGGGCTATATTGTGCGCTGAGAGTAATAAAGCATCTCTTTTACAGTTATTATTTCTAATAGACTTCCTTCTTTCTCATTATAAAAACAAGAAGGTGAGTTATTTCATTGTGAGGTAGCGAGGATATCTTAGCGTTAATCCCACAGCTAAGATCTCTCTCGCATGCATAGTGCGGCCGGGACGCGTGCGGACATCTCATCGCTGGCCTCAACAGCTAAGATAGATACTAATACGATTATAGCGGCATTACAGCGTACCTGAGACACGCAATAAAGGCATGCTATATGCTATTAATATGAGCTGGTTTATTATAAATAAATACTATACTATAACTGTGGACCTTCCCGTTTATTCTACTGCTCTCCTTCTCGACCCTTCAAAACGAGATACCTACATTAAGCAGAACTGGCTGGATAAGTGGTACAACAATACAATTAGCGGAGCACAAGCGATTCGGGAGGAAGAATACAATATTGATCTCCCTATGTCACACTGAATGGATAGGATCACAATGACGATGATGAAAGCTCTTGATTTCTAGCTAAGGGACGGGCCTAGAGCCCGTCTTTTATACATGATGAAGACGGCTGCTGCCGGAGGCGGCAGTCCGTCGCCGCCGCACAGGGGCCGGGGCCCTGTGGGTCCCGGGGACCGGGATCGTGGTCATAGGGCCGGCGATGTGGTCTGAGATAAGAGGAGAAAGAAAGGAAAGTCACGTTGTCTAGGATATGATCCCGAAATGTGACACCTTATTGGCTTACCATCGTGTTCCTTATCCTGTTATCCTGCTATCTTATCCTGTTATCCTGTAATCTGCATTTTTCTTATCTTGCTCTGTTTAACATGTTAAGGGATTTCTGAGTATGTTATACAGGTTGCCCATGTCGAATCGACACTTAGCAAACGGCGCAGAGCCAGGAAATCACGTCTCCGACATGGAGGGAGCACGACTCTAGCTGAGGGACAAGAGCTACAAGACCAGAGAGACATTGAACAGCAAATAAGGCAGGAAACGCAGAAAAGTGGTGGTCGAAAGAAGCCCACTAAGACGAGGCAACGGCGATGTGGAACATGCGGCAAGACTGGACATAATGCACGCACATGCAAGAAGGTTGTACAGATGTCTAATAGAGAGGATAGCGATTGAATTTAATAGATTTAAGGTGTTGTGGTTGTTTTTATAGTATAAATATATGTGTGGGTGCTGGGAGGTGTTCCACTCGTTATACTGCTCCACTCGTTATGCATGTACGTTAATGGAATGGTTGAATCGACATATACACAAAGCAACTGTATACACACGGTCAAGGGACTAGGTGGATCAATTGGCAGAGATATTAACATGTGATTGATAATCATAGTTTAGCGGTGGAAAAGGTCAATAACCAACACCCAAATCATCTGCCGTTCCTTAAGGAGGTGCACAGAAAAGCGTCGCACAGGCGTCTTGCTTGGTCGGCCCGAAGCCGCACCAGACTACACGTATGTGGTCGGATTGATCTGTGGCTTATGTCTCCTAGAAGGAAAACATCTAATTAGATGCTGTATCGGGTCGGTCGTAGAAAAGAATGGTGGCAAGGCATCGATGAGGCCCGCGGCAGCCCAGCAATTGGCGTGGTGGAAGACTGAGGTTGGACAAGGATCTTGACAGCAGTCAAAAATATCTCATAAAAATCTCTTAAAATTCAAAGGCAAAGATCTTCCTTCTCAGAGACAATAAGCTTGTCAGGCTTGCTGTCTCTCTGACTCAAGGAAAGATTCTATGTAAAGAAGGTGATGATCCCGTCCTCTGTGAGCAGCTTCCTCCCCTACTTATCCCCCATTACATCCCTGCTAGCGACCAGCTAGCCCCAAAGTCCTAGATCGCCCGCCACAATAGCAAGGTCGAATCGACAAATGATGGTAAAGCAAGGTGGTTGAAGATGTGGATAAATGAGGGGATATTGGTGGTACCGAAGCCAGCACCAACAACCAGGGCATCAACTTCGAGGTTGTCAGCATAGGGGCCAGTCTTTTCGGCGTGAGAGATGGAGTAATCCGTAAACTCAGTGTTGAAACTTTTGGCTCGTGTAGGGATTGGTTCGCCCATTTTGTCGTAGATGATCAGAGTGGTCAATATTTTTCGAGTTTGTGATGGTTGAGATTCTGAGTTGATGACAGAGTACTCGAGAAGAAATTAATCTTGTGTTGGATTGTGACTCTGTATTACGAAACCTCTGATAGATTGATATCCGGACCTTATGTTAGATTGTGGCTGTGTATTGCATCAAGGAGGTTATTCAAGTATCAGAATACTGGGATATCTGCATCTATGACTGAAGATGACGATAAAACCCCACTCTGGAGGAACATGGAGACGGGAGTCAAAGAGAACAAGAACAACCAAACATATCATCAAGAATTGATCTACATTTATCTGGCTATCCCGAATCTTCACTAAAGACACACCGCGTATCCAACACCTTAGTCAGAAGGGGGGGTATGATAACCCCTCTTCCGACCGATCCGGATGACGAGGACAAGCAATCATCAACATCATCATCACTGTATTGATCCCTATCCATTTGATCGAATTGACCGTAACGGATCCATCAGATAGCTAAAATGCTATCGCCCGTGAATACCACTGTAAGCACCCTTATCTGATAAGGGCATCTAATCTTATCTACTTTTGTTAGATCTAACTTATGCATCTGCAAAAGGCAAGATCTGAGTGCACACGATCCCTGCAACTCCATTCTCACGATCACACCACCACCAAAGATTTGGCAACCCTACCCAGTGCCCACTCCCTGCTGATCGGCCTGTTGCTCCACCATTGCTCAACATAAAGGTGAGGCCCCAGTCCTGTGCCGGGTTTCCAGGAACTGGATACAGCTCGGGGATAGGGTTGGTCAAGTCTGCCTTGACCGCTGGAATAAACTGACGACCAAAGTCTGGGAAGCGAGTTACTTGGATGCGGAACATTTCCTCAACCGTTTCCTTGCGGAGAAGCTGAACTCCAGTATGAGGACAAGCTCCGTCGTTGAGAAGCACCGCTAGAACCTCTGCGCGGAGTCAACACTGATGAGTCGCATTGCACTCTGAATTCACTTACTGCAATATTCTTGTGGTTTGGCAAACACTCCTGCACCGCCACTGTTGAAGGCTCTCGACGTCTCCGACGCGTCATCCGGGTTGACGACTAGAGGTTGCCGGAGCAAATGGTCTCTTGGCCTCAATGTCCCATCTGGGTCTCTGCTGTGCATGTACGCAAGCCTCGCTCGCATGTCTTTGCTTGGAATCATCGACATGTCCTTGATACCTAGTGGCTTGAAAACATGCTTTTTCAAGTACCTGTCGAGTGTGAGCCCGATTGCTCGTTCCAGTGCTATTCCTGCCCAGTCAATGCCGACCTAAGATGATTAGCAGTCATGTATCAAACATGGTGAACGAATTCATGGCTGGACTGCACGTACTCCATATTCCCAGCCCTCACCCGGTTGAAAATGCAGCGGCAGTTTTACGTCGTCAAGTTGGCCAGAACACTCATCGCCACCCACTGGAAGAGCCCAATCCCTAAGCCTTTTATTTAAGAACGTGTAACCAAACCCGGCAGTGTGACTCAACAACATCCGGAGCGTAATGGTATTCTTCTTCTCCTCCAATTTTCCATCGGCTTGCAGCACTTTCAAATCTCTCAGTTCAGGACAGAGATTCTCAAGGTGGTCTTCATCATCCAGTTTCAGGATGCTTTGTTCTACAAGTTGCATACAAGCAAGGCTCGTAAGCATCTTGGTAAAAGAAGCAATCCAATAAATGTTGTCAAGAGTCATCGGCTCAGAAGTGACTACTCGCCGCTTGCCGGCAGAGTATGCAAAAAGCTCATTGCCATCCTTGCCGATGACGACAACAGTAGCTCCCGGAATACCCATTTTCTGGTCGGAGTATGCCGCATTCACAGCCTCATGCAGCTGAGAGAGAACCTGGGTATTGAATGGCATGATGATTGCAAGAAGGTAAAGATTTAACTTCGAAAACTCAGCCTGGTTACAAATGGGTATTCTGTAGCCCAAGCCCTGACCCACAGAGGTACATGCAGCTATTTAATACTCGCCCAAGAAGAAACTTTGATGATTTCGTCATGGTTGCAGCACCCTTTCGGTGAGGTTTTCGCCATAATGCGGGGAAGCCATGTAACCTTCAATTGGCAGATGTCTGGGGTGCGGTACGGAAGGCCACAAGGGGCAGAGTTCCAAAATTCAACTTTTCATTTTTTTCTTACTAGGGCAACCCCAATGTGCCATTATCCTTCTGTTTAATCACATATAGGGGACGCATATCACTGTAAAGATAAAATATCCCTCAACAGGGAGAGCCCATTGCGTGACCCTAATTTAGTTAGGGTTGCTTGAGGCAAATATTACGTTCGGCCACAAACGCGGCCATTTGGGAACGAAGTTCATTCATCATCCTTCTCTTACACAATGGATACACCTTCATCCACTTCGACAGAGTATTGTCCCAAAGACCGCAGCCGTCATGTGGATATACGTACGAAGTTCCCTGGGGCCCTTTATTGCCCGCATTGCGCTCAACGGCTCCCTACGGCTTCATCATCATTTGGCCCTATTACCCCTATTTCTATCGACCTCACAGTCGATTCACCTACTTCCCAATCAACAGTCCAACGAGGCAATGCGATGACGATTCCTTCCCAACGATCCCGACCGAGACCTGATACCTATCAGAACGCTACGAACCTAGCTATTGAAAGCCGGTCAAGGAGCATCGCAGCTACAAGCCATACGGCTAAGATTGTCATCGAATTGCACGCTTCGTTTTGGTCGTGCGATGGGTATTATGACAATGTCCTTGACGGTGTTGAAACCCCAGTATACGACAAGACGGCAAACCTCGTTGGAAAGCGTACAGGAAATGTTGAGATCGTTCTCGGGGCAAAGTTCCCTTCTCATGCCGCAATGATAGAGTTCATTGTCAAGCAGTGTGACAAGAGGCTTGCAGTTAAGGAATAGAAGGTCGTTCATTCCGTAGTGACTCAAACTGCTACCTTTGGACCCGTTGAGTTCTCTGATGCCGCGTACGAAACGACCTCGTTTGCGGACCTCTTTCGTGTGGGCAATATCTCGCTTGCCCCAAAGCGCGATACGGTCCATTTGACCTTTTGGTACTTCAATATAAAGCCTCGGCCTGATATTGAGTCACCAATGCCGTCAAGAGCCGTACGTGGTCACAAGCGAGCGATTGATCGCATACCCTCTGATCTAGAGTCAGAAGCCTCGGCGAGGAGCTCTAGCAAACGCAAAGCCTCACGTACGGTAAAGTCAGAGCGCGTATCCCCAATTAAGAAGGAATCAAAGCCACGAAAGCTATCTCGTATACCGGTAAAAGAGGAAGCTGAGACCCCCTTGGAGTTGGAGGGCAAGGATGATATTCAGGCTGAAATTCAGGTTGAGCTTTCGGGTGAAGATGACGCGGATTCGGCTACTTTTGAGGCCGTCCTTGACGATCCATTCGCGAGTGATATCGATGAACACTCGGAGGCCCAGGCTCTCTCACCTCAGAAGAGGCTTCCTGTCCGGATTGGTAGGGGAAAGAATAAGAATAGGGATTAGTTTCAGTTCAATTGCTACTATTGGTTATGCATCTAGTCGTATAGTTGGTCTCCCTCACCCCAGTCAATCTCTTCCTCCTCAATGCGTTCCAAAAGCGAAGCAGTATCGATATCGTGAGTGGCCAAATGATCACGTACGCGGTCTAGGCCACCCGTAGGCGTCTCCAATAATGCCAGCTCTGGCTGCTGCTTACTCCTAATGTACTGCCGTAAACGATCTCGTAGGAATAGATACGCTGAAAGCTTAGGTTGCTGTGGCGGATCTCTTGGCAGATCTTCCTGGCCTCTAAGAATGCGATCACAGATAGCTATTGTATCTTCTGGCAAGTAGGCATCAAGATCAATACGGTCCCCGTCGAAGATATCTTGGAGCGTTTGTAATCGATCTTGAGGGATAACCTCTGCAAAGCTCTCAACCTGCCGTGCGGTAGGCTGAAAGTAGAGGGTCCATGGCTGCCCAGGAACCACATGCGGCCTATTGCGTTGTTTGCGAATGTAGTGCGAATTCCACGTAAGTACGAAGTCGGCAAACTCAGCCCGCAGGATCGGCATGAAGAGATAGAGCATTGCAATACGGTCGGGTAGGGAGTCGTTCGAGAAATGGCCAAGTGCGGTAATTTCACCAAAATACTCCTAGATTCAGGTTAGCATAGGGTCGAACGGAGTGATAATACTACATACCCGCCAGAATTTAGCCCTACCCCTACTCAATCGAAGCCACCAGCTCTCAATCTTTTCGTTATGCGTGCTTTTGCCATAGATCCAGCAGTCTCGAAAGCGCACATCTTGTGGGATACCTTCCCGTGCGCGTACGCGGGTCTTCGAAAGGTAATAATGTGCTCCAGCCATAAGGATTGTCTCTTGGCCGCGGTCGGAACGGATGATATTTGGCATGGTTTTCCGCTGCGAGAGAACATCGAGATACTGTGCAACAACGCTTCGTGACGTACTAGAGGATATGCCCACGTAGAACCACGTAATAAACCGTGAGTAAGCGTCAATGGAGGCATAGATCTCAAAGCCCCAGGCCTTCAATTTATCGTACGCATCAAGGGACCAAATAAAGTCGGGGCCTGGAGAAGTCCATCCAGTTCGGCGATATCGCATCGTATTCCACCGTTCGGTAACACAAGTAGGGGAAAAGTCGCGAAAGCATGAGTACAGGGCTCGGCGGCTCAAGATATGATGATTTCGACGGACATATACGTAGAGTAGTGTGCGCCCGTAGGTCTCAAGCTTAGTGTGTAATTCGGACTCGTCTTCAAAGAAACGGCGCAATTCGTGAAGTCTCTCGCTAGTCATCTCAGGGGTTTGACGCCGCCAAAGGCCTAGGTCTCGCCGTATCCGTGAGAGGCCAGTCTTTGAGATCAGAAAGCCCTCAGAGTGAAGCTGCAGAAGCATAAAGTGATCGTTCAAGACCTTATCAAAGAATAGGTCTTTAATACGCTCACGTAGTTGTTCAGAGTCTTCGGTATACTGCCTCATGGAAGCATTCCAGATCTTCAGGTTGCGATATACAGTCGTACGTTGAACTTCGATGTGGAATTCGTTATTAAGGCGCTGTACGATTTGTTTGAGCGTGAGACCGTCGTCGTTTTTCCATTGTTGAATCTGAAGGCGAAATGGGGATATATCAATTGAAGGGCGACCCCTAGGCATCTTGAACCGTATGTTGCCGTACGTAGTCAAGTGTAGGCGTAGGGAAAGAGAGGAAGTCTGAGTTGAGATTGCGCGATTTAATTTTGAAAAAGGGGGTTTGTTACGTTTGTGATCGTATGGCGCCAAATTGCCTCATGCATAATATATTTAGCCTCACTTGGTCAGACCCATAAGATTTTGAACAAAATGTCATAAGTGAAACACAAAGCATGATCAAAGAAAACTTGATTTCAGACTCTAGCTAAGAAAAGGGTATCATAGTTCACCGTACGTCCTCGTGCGCTAATATACGCGAATGTATTCTGCGTTTCCTCGTAAATCAAAAAAAAAAAAATTCAACTCAGAGCGAAGTGACTAGGCGGACTACGGGTAAAAAAAAAAAAAAAGAGTAGAGGCTCGTACATTTACGTATTGGGTCAAATACCTTAAGCCGACTTCGAAGAGGTGCCTTTCTTGTGCTTCTTGCGGTTGGTAGCTGCCTTGAAGATCTGCACAAGCTTCTGGCAGGTCTTGAGGTCAAGGTCTTCGAACGGGTCCGTATCATCACTGTCGGAATCGTCGTCGTCGTCGTCGTCGCTAACCTTGCGCTTGGTACCACGCTCTTGTGGCCAATCAGTATAGAAAATGAGAACGTATTGCAGCGTACTTACTCGTGAAGGAGCAGGCGGCGCCAGATCGGTTCCAGTCGCAATTAGCGCAGGCCGGGGTCCCCTCAGTGACAATGCATCCCTTGAGGGCCCCGTTGTTCTTCGTACACTTGTAGCAACGGTCCGTACCCTCCCGTTCGTCGCCATACAGATGACGCAGCATAGCGTCGCAATTCTGGCCGCTGCTGAAGTTCATCACGTACGGGGTCTCCTAGAGCTTCTTCTTGTCCTTCTTGCTGCGGATCTCCAGCAGGCGTGGGGTCTAATACGGGTTAGTACGTGATCAACCAGGCTAGTACAGGCCTAAGATAAAGGACATACCTTGGTAGAGTCAACAGCTTCCTGGCCCTTGGTAGTGCTGCCCTTCAAAGCGTTCATCAGAGCCCAGATGGTGACCTCCGGATTTATATCGGGCTTATCGGTCTTGTACGCGAAAGTATAGGTCTCAACGTCAAGGACCTTCTTGGGCAGCAGGTTGAATGCGCGCTCGCCCATATCCTCGCGTAGGGCGTCGATCGCAGCCGTATCAGCAGCAGCAGGGGTCTCCTTGGTCTTGGGGCGGTTGCGGTTGCCTCGGGGCGCCATGATGATGTGTACCAAGCCGTATTGCGTGAGAAAGTGTGCGTACGGAATCGAATTGGGCCAGCGAGGGGAGGAAGGATCGTCAACTGGTGCTGCGTGGTTAGGTAGAAGAGATTTACGCCACGCGAACAGTGATTTAGATGAATGACTAAGCACATGCAAGGTAAAATAATCCTACAAACGGGGCCGTACGGGGGTCCGCCCGGGGGAAAGGGGGGGGGTGACCCAATTCAAAAATCTTCAAAATTGAATTTTGGAACTCTGCCCCTTGTGGCCTTCCGTAATTCCGGCCAGCCTCGCTAATCACGGCCACGCTCCCCCATCCGGCAGCTGCCCTCCGGCTTCACCTCCGGCCTCAAACTGTAGAGCCGCAGCATGCTTGACGTGAGACAGATGATATCCACGTTATCTTGGCTCATTTGAGCGATGTCCTTGTGATGCTCACGAATAGCCATGTTCAGGTATGTCCGACAGTTTTGCACAGCTTCCTGATCACTGGAGTTGCTGCGTTTTTCCGTGTGCAGGGCTGAAATCATGAAGATGTTGTAAAGTAGAGCATCGAACTGGAATCCTTTCTTGCAGAGAATTGTTATCCAGTACTTCTGGGAAAGCTCGTCCACTGCAAGAGACGGGCCTGTTTCGGTCATGTGTTGGTAAAGAAGCCGCAGTTCGAGTCTTCTTCGTGCCTCTGACTCGGGAGGATCTACAATATCTGGGGAGACCCGGTGCTCACACGGTGCGGGTTGGCTGCTAGGGGACGTTGCGCGGTCATAGGCGCATGCCAATTCCAGCCGTGAGCAGTGTGAGCAGACTGGCTTGGCTTCGTCGCACTTGGAAATTGTAAGTCAAGAGCGCCTGAAACGCCACGCACGTATTGACGATGCATTACTACTTGCCTTGACGCGACGGGTTCTGCATGTCTGACAACCCGTTCGAGACTTTTTGTGGAACAGCTTTGCAGGGCGCCTGCGCGCTGGTTTCGGACCACCCATGGTGAGCTACTATGATTCAGTGGCTGTGAATGAGCTCGGCTGGGAACGACGGCCTTTAATAAACGAGAACGATCGTTCAGAGTGATCTGCAAGGATAATAATGACCCACTCAATATGAAACGGGACGCTGAACGAGAACGAGGGCGAATAAAAATCGTCTGAGCAACCACCCACTTGTCAGATTCGTCATCTTGTGCCGAATACCGAGTTAATTTAGTGCTGACATCGCTCCATTATTCGCTGTTGCTAACAGTGAGTCTCGGGTCGCGGCACCTGTTAGCGCCTCGAGTCGTTCTCGTTCATGCAAGAAATGCATAGCGGGCTACCTCGAATATCTTTTGCTAGTTATCCTCAAGTTGTCGCATTGCCTGTAGCTTGTCAAGTATATAGGCTGTCTAGACACCCATTTGGAAATAATGTCAACCTCAATCCAGATATTTGTCCTTAGAACACCTGCAGGCTTCCCATCTTGTCATTTCTCTTCAACTTGCTCGGGTCATTCGTCATTGGCCTCAAACACCATGTCCGGAGAAGGCCTTGACCCCCTCAAGCGAATGCTTGTCAAAGGTCTAGCTAGCGGCATTGGATTGGCCTCTGAGAGCATAACGTCTTACAAAGAACGACGCAGAGCCGAGTCACCGACATCCAACACGGAAATCTGTGATGTTCGGAACAAAGGGACCCTCCGAGATAGACACCGGCACAGAAGCCCTGGCTCAAGAGGTTCAGGTCCAGGCGCCAGAAGACGCGCAATGGGAACTCGACGAGGCACAAGACGAGCTCTGCAATGTGGACAATTCACCAAGCCATCACCAAGAGATAGGGGATGCTACCAACCTGGGCCAGGGTCTCATCGACCGGCACCCTCCACCGCTGTATCCGGGAACCGGAGCAAGGCTGCCCAAACCCGTCATCTTGCCTCAGCGAAGACCCAAGACACGGAAACGAGGATTCATCAGAGCGTATGCCCCAGCCTTGAATGACGTTGGCATAGACCAGGAAATGTTTCTGGACTTCCTTGAGACGTTTCACAGCTCCACGCAAGCCTCGCCATGGCTTGACGCTATCAACCTTGCCAGTATGGGCCTCTCTCTCATCCCACACTTCCCCATGGCCGTGGGCATAGCCATCCAGGTCTCGATCATGGCAGCGAAATCTGTTCAAAACAGAACACGAACAAATGCCTATTTCAACAAGGCAAACGACGAATTCTTTCGGCCGCGGGGCTTGTACTGTCTGATTATGACTTACAGCCCCGACACGGATGAGTCTCGTGAGAAGACGGACGTTTCTTCCACCATTGCAAAATCCCTGAACCCATCCACCAGCCAAAAGCTATACGGCAAGTTCCGGGAGTCCAGCGGAAAGACATTCGGAGAAGTCGAGCTGCCAGAAGCTGCACCCCTTATCTTCCCAGTCCTCGACCAGACAGCCACAGAGAGCGACCAGTCGAAGTCGAAAAAGGCTAAAGTAGAGGGAGCTCAGGACTATGTGAGGGACTACTTTGACAAAAGGGCTCAAGCAAAGTTCGTCTTCAAGAATGCCGGTAGCGCTCTCATTCAAGGTCCAGCGCCCAAATTCACCTCTCGGTATGCCGATCCAAACCATCCTGCTAGTAGCGGATCGTTTCGATCGCTTGTGACAGGAGGTTATATCAATCCCCCTTCAATGAGTCGCCAACAACATCTCGCTGGTGCTGTGAGTAGTTGGTGTGCGGATTGGGATGGACGACAGCCAACAGGCCACTACACGCTCAAAGACCATGTATTTCAGACGGGAGGGATGCGCTCAGCCGGCCCATCGAGGGCTGAACATGTTCCATATGGCACGCAGAAACCTGATTCGTGCACTCGGGATGCCGGCCTAGGTGGTTTGTCAAGGCGAGGCGCAGACCGCGACAACATCCAAATAGGGCCTCTGTCAGTTCCCACGGCGGGAACAGTCGCGAAGAAGGCTCTTAAAAAGGTTAGTTCAGCTGCTGATTCCTAATATCACCCACTAACGCATGGTGTACAGAACATACTGTACCTCATGATCGTCAACATGCCATCGGACGAAGAGCTGGTGCAGGCGGCTGAGGAAATTGAGCGCCGAAGAAGCGAAGGCACCAAGATGCCTAGCATCTTGAAGAGGTTTCAATATTAATGGGCTATTAGGAGTTATTATTCGTTAAAGAGTAGCTAAATGTTGAAAAGTGTTATAACGACACTGCCCTTGAAAAGTTTTACTCATTTAATTAAGTCACCTCCGGTTACCCTCTAGCTTGCTGCTAATACCTACTATCTTGCAAGTTTGCCTTCAACACGGAGGTTAAGACAACAGTCAGGCTAACTGAACGGCTTGCAAAGCCAAAGAGCGTATGTTCAAAACTGTTTCTCCTGCCGTTATACGGGCGCTGAAGTATACCTTGAGGCCTGCACCAGGTGGTCGGGAGTGCCCAAGACTTGCCTATTACTGCTCCCATATGTTCTGTAGGCCACCTTGCGGCCGCAATTGCCGCAGTAGTAGCGGAACACGTAGGGAGCAATAACGCCGCATAGTGTTCCGAAGAAGAGTATTGCCGCAATCACGCTAATCAACTGTTAGTCAGGGTGGCGTTGATCAAGGACGCCCGGTTCATACTGTGTCATAACTGATGGATGCTTCTTGACCTTGGTTTGTGATGCCTGCCGGCAAAAGGGACAATCAACCACCTCAGGCTGTTCCCCGAGCAGATACAAGGGAGTTACTGTCTGGAATCCCATCGCAGGGATCCTCATCGGGTATTGCGCGTTATTATAGCCGCCTTGATTGTAAGAGGTCCCAGGTAGATACTCGCCAGTATAGCTATGTAAAAGCACCGGCGCATTCTGAACGAGATGCGTGCTTTCTGGGAAATCATTCGGAACAACCTCTGGTAGGGAGTTGTAATCGACCGCGCGCACATTGTTGGTACTACGCAAGGTCAGGCTTTGGTTCCCTTAGTTGAGAGTGTCTGAAAGGCTTAGTCAACGAACCTGGGCGTTTGTTGCTGCTGAGCCATCGGATGTGTTGATACCGCCGCCGGCTCAATACCGAGCGGGGCTCAGGCGACGGCAAAGACATTGCTTTCTCGAGTGGTCTTTTGACGTGTAATGCGAGCTGTGTCGATGCGCGTTGAAACCGGTCAATGGTTTCGCGTTAATCGTCGCCGTCGTTGAGGTCGCAGTCGTGTCGTCAATGGAGGCAAAGGATCGTGTTTGTGCTTGTAAGAAAGCAAAACCCTGAAGGGGGCCCTCTTCATTAAACGATGATCCTTGTGGATGCGATGTGTCGCATCATTGATCAATCCCTACCAAGTATTACTTTCAGGGTTACGGAGGACCATTTCAGAAGTCGTGTCCCACGCTAACGACGCCACACCCTCGTACCCCTGCTGGCTACCTAAGGATACATAGCCTTTAGGGCGCTTGCTCTATGCTTCCCCTGTAGCTCCCTGTATCTTCAGAGGTCTCCAGGGGCTAAGGACACCTGCTGCTATCTGCTAGCGGTGTGGGATGCGCTATAGATCTCGAGCTTGTAAGGGAGGCAAATGACGTGAAGTACCTCACGTACCTCGCTCACTCTGATTGGCTGTCTTAAAAAGTGTGGCTTAAAATCAGGACATGACTTTTGAAATGGTCCTCCGTAGACTTTTCCGGATTAATATTTATTGCGGTATACGGATTATCACTTATCTTATCACTTATCTTAGCGTTCCATTTAAAACCGATGCGTACTAGTTCCTGGAACCGACAAGGGTTCCGTTCGTCCAAGACGCGATCTTATTGGCTGAACAAGCGAAATCTGACACCCTAAACTCGCAGGCCGCTTGCCCTCAATAGTCAAGTTCCCGCCCTTGCCGTCTCCGCAAGCGTGTTCATGGCTTGCTGAAGTTCTCCCCCCCACCCGGGTCCGTCTCCCAGAAAGAGAGCCCGCTTCCTTCTTCAAAAGAAGCCCAACATCCCCGTTGGTCGTCTCGCTTGATTCCCCTCTTCACCGCTTAGCAGTAACCCATCAATCCTCTTCCTCGCTATTTCATCCGCCGCAATGACCGGCTCTAGCCCTACCAACCCGCCGCAGTCACCGGGAAACAATGTAGCAGAAGTCACCGCCGATACCGCGCCTGTCGAAGTGGACGCACCTCCTGTTTGGTCCCTCTTCGCGACTGTCCCAACCCAGCTAACATCTCCAAGGCCGACGATGGCGACTCGACTTTCGGTAGTGAATTGTAAGTCGCCATTCCTTTGGCCGAGCTTAATACTTATCCAGGCAGGTCAACGTATACGGCGTCTTTGACCTCTAGCGTCATCAACTACCCCACCGAGTTTGGTCGACGATATCACGCGTACAACGCCGGATGTAAGATTTTTGCCATGATTAGATGCAACTCTGACACGTCACAGCCTACAACTTTCCCAACGACGAGGCTGAAAGCGAACGACTTGACCTTATGCATCTACTCATGACCAAGGGCATCGGCAACAGATTGTTCCTAGCCCCAGTGGATCTTGACAAATCAGCTAGGGTTTTGGATATTGGCACAGGAACAGGCATATGTGTGTGTTTTGGCGGCTGATTCCGGCCTATGCTTACGGACGCAGGGGCAATTTGCGTCGGCGAGGAGTACCCCAATGCCGAGGTATGCCAGCCCTTCCCCCGGTACATAGTCAATGGCCACTGTTGACAGATTAGGTTATCGGAAACGATTTGAGCGCCATCCAATCAACTTGGTATGTTAAGCCCGAGCCTGGATATCGTAATGCTAATAGAAGAAGGGTTCCTCCAAACGTCAAGTTCGAGATCGACGACGTCGAGCAGCCATGGGTTAACGGTAACTTTGACTACATCTTTTCCCGCTACATGTCGACTTCAATCTTGGACTGGCCGAATCTAGTTGGAAATGTCTATGAGTAAGTGAGTTCACACATACACAACACTTACTAATCATCAGTAGCCACTTGAATCCAGGTGGCTGGGCCGAATTCCAGGACCTTGATCTTCTCTATTACTCAGAAGACGGCTCCATCACCGACGAGCACTACCTCATGAAGTGGATAAAGCTGTTCATCGATACAGCAAGGACGAAGCTGAACCGCGAGCCCTGCCCAGGGCCGAAACTCGAAGGTTGGGTCAAAGATGCTGGCTTCACGAACATTGTCCATCGAAAATTCCGACTGCCGCTAGGATCATGGCCCAAAGATCCACACATGAAGGACATCGGATTGTGTAATATTGCTCAGCTCATGGATGGCCTGGAGGCATTCTCTCTGAAGATATTTTGTGGAGTTCTGGGCATGTCGACAGACGAGGTTCTCGTGATGCTGGCCAAGGTCCGTCAGGAACTGCGTGCTCGTGCATTCCATGCTCAATTTAATTTATAAGTCTATACCTCAAATCCATCCTGGATCTGACCTAACGCATACAGCCACGTTGTATATGGTCAAAAGCCGTGATTTATTAGTGTTCAAATCATACTGAACTCGAAGCGATCGTACGGCGACGTGTTCTTGGCGGTCTGCTCCAATCCAAGCAGCTTCCACCATGTCAAGATAACACATTTCTGTACCCAATTTAAGCATTTTCGAAAACCCAATGCTACCGCAATAACCAAAATATCAAGCTTTTCTAGCTTTTCTAGGCTGGAAAACTTAGATCTAGACTGCTATTTAAATGGCTGCTCCAAGCAGCCGGTCCCTGACTCCTTTCCTTCCTCATACTCGCCAACAGCTCGACACTCACAAAGATGCCTTCCTCTACCATCCAAATAACTATCGTCGGGCCCCAAGGCTCGCAATGGCGTAGAACTGGGAAAGGGGCCACCCTCCATAGGTCCATAGCCTACGTCCAACTTCTCTAACTATATTCTATTTCTCTACTTTGCTGTCTGTTTATCCTAACTATTACTATACTTACTCTCTTAAAATGTTACTTTAGTTACCCCACCCTAACTATTATTATAACTACCCAATCCACCTATTGCTTGAATCCCTCGGGTAATGATGTAAATCTTGGCTTAAAAAGGAAATCTAATATATATTCTGAGATTTCTTTGAATAGCCAAGGTCTAGCACTATTTCCTGAGTGTCGATGTAAGCATCCAAGACCATTACTCGCAACTAGATCATTATAAACCCAAGGCACTTGGGCTTGGTAACGATGGAGCAGCGCTTTCTATAGCCTCCCAACGTGATGGACCCTGCCTCGCCTCATCAATAGGGGCCTCTCCAAAATTCGTCACGATTTGCCCATTCTCGTCCAAAGTCGCGCCGATATCTGATGTGGGTGTGTATGCTTTCGTCTGCGCGACCTCTTGTTGGCTAATGCCGGCCTCGTCTTTCGGAACCCATAATGTTGGTTTTGGAAGCCACAGTTCTGGCGGTAGATAAGTCCTCCTCGACCCTTCGGTCCGATACTCATGAGGGTGGGGGCCCTCCGATGCGACTTCGCCCAGGGGCAGAATATCCATGTTGAAATCTGGAAACAAGCATTGCATTGCGAAATATGAAAGGACTCCACGACGCTGTGCCCAATTCCAGGAGCCAAATCTTCTCACACAATACGGCAGGCCCGATCCCTTTGCCTCGTTCTGATCTGCCAACGTGCTGCTGATTCTGAACTTTGACAAGAAGAACGGCATGGTAGACCCCGTGCCTTTGTTGTTTGCGTGACCAACCTCGACGAAATCCTCTGTTTCACCCTGTTCCCCCTCCTCTTCCTCTATTACTGCGTCATTGAACATTCTCGCCGCCCGGGTTTGGTTTTCACATGTGTCTTCCCCTTGTCCATCTACTTGATCTTTTTTCTCACTCCACAAGTTTTGAGGGAGATCATGTAATAGCGGACTGATGGCCTGATTCAATGCCAAGTGCGCGGAACCCAGGACGACGACGAACGAGACCATGATGAAGGCTGGAATAAAGGCAGAGTTTAGAATGAATATCCCAGCTAGACATGCCCCAGCCAAGTAAAGCCCAGTCGCAATATGCAACAATGCCCACGGATAAAATAACCCTGTACTGTTCAAGTCGCAATCAACCACGTAGATCAGGTTGTACCAATACACCATTTGCAGGAAACACATTCCGCATACTGCAAAGATGAGAATTAGAGGGGCAATCCCAGCGTAACAAATCGCTGCAGGCTTGTGTTAGCTAGCCTTCCTTAGGTTGGCCATGATAATAGGCGTACCGATGACTCCCATGTTGGTGATTCTAGGGAAAGCAGTGCCCCAGTTCACTCGTCTCATTGTCTTCCATGTGCGATATCGCATCCTTGGTGTGCGATTTATCTTACATAAAAGATAGCGTCCGCCTAACTCAAGGATCGGGAAGACGTTGGAGGCGCCGTCAGCGAGGCATTGGATTAAATAAAAGAAAAAAAGAAGTTTGAGGCCCTTGGAAGGCTCGATGCGAGAAGATTTGGGGTCCTGAATGGGTTTTGAAGTATACTGGGCAAAATCGAGGACACAACCGATGTAAAAGATGTGACCAGGAACACCTGTATAACTAGAAAGGCGAAATAGGACTTTTGAGTGAACAACTCCACTGTGGTCAAAGACAAAACACCAGCTTGAACATCGCAAACTTGACGAGAGGTCAGTATGACAAGAGGAGGAAAAAGCAGGATGCCGAAAGTGACCTTACATCGCAGTAGCGCTGGAACAATACCTATCCACAGCATCAGGGCCAGAGCAGGTACGAACCCTTGAAGAAGCTTGAGCAGGTCCTTTGGAAGGTAATTTATCCATCGCAGAAATCGCATTTCTTTGCTCAAGAGCTCCACATTCGATGCTGCGCTGATGGTTGCGGTTGGAAGAGACCAGAAGATTATAGCAGCTACAATGAAGCCATATACGAATGATCTTCTGAACAAACGCTCTCGCCAACCCATTCTCAGAGACTGCCACAATATTTCGTTCGACCGTATCCCGAGGTGGCGGCCCATTTGCATTGGCCGATGGTGACGAGGCGTTGATGCACAGCGTGAGCATTCTCTTGCGTATCAAACTCGATAAAGGCGGCAGGCAGGATAGATTTTGGTGCCTGTACAAGTTGAGAACGTGATTTGAGTATTTGGGTGTTGACATGTTTTAGCCGAGAGCGGGCCCAAGTAATTGTGTCGACTGAGTGCCCGAATTGACCCCAGAGGCGGTGATGCGGTCGAGCTTCCACAGATATCCATTGCGCTGCAGGTAACCCTTCAATACCTGGTATTAATGTGACTGGTCTCTCCGGGCGGTTTCCTCCCGTGTTATTGTTTCTCGAGGTTGCAGCCAGCATGATTGGCGGTGAGATTGCCGAAGACGCTTGAGGCACTCTCTGCGTGCCTTGTTGGACTTGACAATCAACTCGATCTCGGCCTTCTCCAACTTTGCAGCAACCTTTTCTCTCTCCTAAACAAGGGCGACTAAATCCTTTGTGGTCCTCAAAACCCAGATATGCTTGACCGAGTTGCCATACAGCCGTCAAAGGCGAGATTTAGTCAGGTACTGTTCAGGAACATCTGTCAGAAGGATAGTCCGAAACGACAGATGTTGGGCATGATGCGGTGGTGAGGCGTGTTCTATACGTAGATCGACGTAGTAAATACATTCTCGTATAATGATGAGGAGAATAAAGCCTACGACCGTCAGCGTTTCCTGTCTTGTTTTCCAAAACACTGCCACATAGTGCCTCACTGAACCACAAAATAGCCACGACCATATGTGCGTATAACCTGCGAGTGTCCTTTATGTTTCCAATAGTTAAGAGGTCTATCCCGGTCAGACCTCTTCCTCCAGTAATGTGCAGAGGGAACAAGACTGGCCAGGCAATGCAACAGTCGACGACAAATACGAAGCGCAGAACCTTGAGGTACCGCGAAAAGAGGAACGCGTCCATTGAACAATGATTGATGATGAAAGCGTCCGGAATTTTGGAGAACGGTTTGATCCAATTCAAGATGCCATTGGGCAATGGCGGACTTGGCACTCTATCGATAGTGAGCTGGAGCGTTCCCGCATACAAAGCTTTAATATGCCGGTATATGGGAGTTGACTAACCGTGATGACCCTAAACCAGGCAGTGTCCGTGGCGCGTACACACGTGGACACCGGGGCCGCATGATCAAGAAGAGCACAATACTACTACTACATCCCTATGGGCTCTCACTTTTTCATTGAAAGGGCAATTCCATGTCCTCTCATTGGTCCATACCCCTGTAAATCCCCTTTCAGTTGAAAGGGCATTCGCACACGACGCCCCCGACCCATCTTTTATTTCAAAGTGGACGATCTGCTTTCTGATTGGATGCTGCAATCCTGCCCCTGTTATAATCGTTGCTGTGTTTTCTTTTTCTTCTCCCCAATCTTTGACATCTTTGGCCGTGCTAAACTATTTTCTACTGCTGTTGATGATTGAGTAGAAAGTAATTTCAACAATCGCGTCGCGTGCACGCGTTCCTACGTGTTCGAAAGAACAGTTGTAGTTTTACGCACGCAAGCAGATGGCTTTGTAGCTCACTTTCATCATCATCATCATCATCATCAATTGAATAACCTACCAGCATTATCTTCCCTTACGTTTGTGACTAAAAATGCAGTTTCAAGAAACCGAGCCTGATCAAGTCCTGGACATTGAGCAGAGCGAAACCACTAAATGGCTGCAACATACGGGCTGGCCACAGTTGTTCCGCAATCGACCACTTGATATTATTGCTGCATCATCACTACAGCCTGGACCAGCATGGAATGAAGATTATCTCCTAGGTTCATGGCAGGGTACCCAGATTTGGAGCTCCGTGGCGGTTGAAGCTCAGCTGCGAATTATACTACGTGGTGTCGACTTGATGTTCGATCGGGCCAAATTCACGTTAGCTAGGACGTCATACAGATCCCGCTGCTGGCTTAATACCTACTGGAAAGATGTATTCTGGCCACATGAGTTCCGAATTATATCCAGCCAGAAGAGATACATTTCCACATGGAAGAGGTTTATCTGTTTCATATTTAGGACCTTGCAATCCAGTCCACAATTGCGCCGAGAAATTTATAACTTGAGACTCAGACCTGATGAGGTCAAGATGATGCGGCATATACTGGACTTGGCATCCACTTTGCAGCAGCAAGGGAAAGAAGAATGGGATGATGATTCAGAATACGCAAGTCAAGACGAGGGGGAAGAGTCCAGTGATGGGGAGGACAACGAATCCCTCGAAGACTACGATGGAGAAAGTGTCGAAACTGATGAAGACGAAGATGTCGAATACGATAGCGGGGACAGAGATGAATTGATGGCCTTCACTCTCCCTCCTGGCTTCTGGCTACATCTATCTGAGGCCATCTTTCAACTCTCGATGATGTTCTGGACACACCGAGACCCCGCCGGAGACATGTCTTCCTCGGTGCTCATTCACTACACAGCAGTCATGGGGATCCAAAGAGACTCCCTTGTCTACAATTCGGCGTACAACTCGACGCCGAAACTGGCTGCTCTGATGTGGATTGGCCGTCTTTTGTTCCTCGAATACGCCTTGCCCGTTTACACCTACGACACCCTCGCCTTCCCTTGGCCATGTCGGACGAGCTACCCGTCCCAGCCCGATCGCCTGGACTCAATCCGCAGGAAGTATCTTCTCCGGGGGTGCTATACCCCCTTTGGAGAGATGATCGAACTGAAAGCATTTACGAAATCTATTATGAAACGAGAGGGCATCCCAGGAAATCTTTCCTGGGCTCCAGACGGCCGCTCGTTCACAATCGGTGACGACAAGAAAGTTCAGCTATCCGAATTCTGTGAGACATACCATAAGGTCATGGCGCAGGTTCACGAGCAGGTCAACGAGATGATGCTGGGCTGGGACCCTAGTATTGACCTGTCTACTATTCGGGACGACTTGACCTGCCGAACAGCTGGCTGGTCCTTCCTTCGCAAAGCTGAGAACAACCTGGGTAGCATTTGGAAGACGCTGCTACAAAGGCTTGAATCTTCTTCATTCCGTGGCCGACCGTTTATCAAGTCCGGGTCTTAGCAACCGGAAACTTGTATAGCATATCTCAACGCCGGCCTCCAGTTGAACAAGACTGCCTTTGCCGCGTCCCATGTGACAGCTAGTTTACCTGGCCGAGGCTCTGAAATAACCAGCATTCGATACATCAATACAAAACTGGCTATACGGAATGTCTTCTTTCATGGAGGCCAAATGATCATCATTATCAGCTACAACAAGGCCAGGGCGTCCAATAATTATGCCTTCTACATTGTTCGTTACCTTCCGCCGAGTCTTAGCCTGAGCTTCTTGAAATATCTCGCGATTATTCGACCAGTCTGGGAGTTTCTAGCCAAGCAGCTACATATGCCTCGCCACAGCAGCGGGGAATTTTTCTTTCTAGATCCCGGTGGCAAGAAAAAGCACTTATCCCCGACGCAAGCCACAAGCATCTTAAAGGACCTGACTCGAGATCTTGCTACGCCGTGGAGTCTATCGCTATACAGGCAAGCAGCTCTAGCTATTGCGAAACGGTATCTGAGGAAGCTTGTCGAGAAGACCAACTTTTACTACCCTTCCGATGCGACTGATCCCATACGCATGTTCGCAGCCGGAGCTGGCCACCATCCTCGCATGCTGCTGACCACATATGCCATCGACCGAGCTCTACCAGAAAGACTTCAGCCAGAGCTCCTGGACATGTACCAACGACTATCGGCCATCTGGCAGGAGTGGAATCAGCAGTATTACAACGAATATTGTTTGAATTCGAAGCTAGAGTCGCACAAGTCTCAAAGGCCGATAGCCCATGAGGACAGTGGATGTAAGAGGTTGGCAGATCATGATGATTCGGGTAGAGCCACAAAGAGGATGATGACTACTGAGAACGGCTCTGGCTATTGTGGGTATCCACGGCGCCGCTGAGCCGTCGCTGATCCCCACAGCGGCGCCGCGGCGAGGCGTGGCGCCCACCGGCTGATCCAGGCCCCCCGCGCGCCTGCGCCCGGCCAATGGTATCCCGGTATATCCACATCGGGCCCCCGCGCTGGCCACCCGGATGACCGTGGATATTCGCGAATATCCATGCTCCCTCGCTGATCGGCCCCTATAACTTCAGGGAGCTCCAGGGGGCCTCCAGCGCCCTCCAGAGCCTCCGGGGCACCTGGGGTGCCCCGGTCCTGCTGATCTGGCGCTGGAAGGCGCTGGAAGGCCGGCCCGGCCTGAAGATGATTTATATCTCTCTGCAGACCCCAGGCCCGTCTAGGCTGGCCTATTCTCTCTGAAGACCTCGTATGCGACGGATTGCATCAGCTGCCGCCTCTTTAATTGATATCCGACTATGACGACGAGAAAACGGGCTGGGAGGAAGAAGGCAGCGGCTGTAGCTGACTCGATAACCGTCAGGACCAGCACTGCAATGACTACTGCGACCGGGGCTGCCGCCGGAGCCGCTGCAGCCGGCACCAGGCACCACGGTCGCGTCGGGCTTAACGCGCGCAATAACGCTGAGCTACGTGCTAACGCACAGCATATCCTCTCGATGATCCAGGACGCGAGGCCGAGAAATACGCTGGCTGCGTATGAGCCGAAGCAGAAGGAGTTCAGGGACTTCTGCGAGCGCAAGCAGTATCAGGATGCAGATACCGTCACAGAAGACAAGCTCCTCCTCTTTCTTGTTGAGGAGGTTGCGGACCGGCCGCTCAGGGCCAAGAGCTACAAGGCGGCTGAGGATACTCTACAGGAGGCTACACGGCTTGCCTGGCGATCAGTCCGCAGCTATACGACTGCTATCACCGACTTGTATCGTGCGCAGAAAGCGCTCGGGATGAATACCCACCCTTCGCCCCGGGAGGATAACGTTCGGGAGTACCTCAAGTCCCTCCAGCGCCGGGATGCACAGCAGGATAAGGCCAGCTACGCCGATAAAGGCCGTGATACCCTCCTCGATGGGTATACGGAGCAGGAATTCGAACGTGTCTGCTACGAGCTCTGGGCGCATAGCAGCACTGCTGCTGAGTGCCACCTGCGGACTCTCGTGGATCTGCTGCTCGGGCACTACATGCTGACCCGGGGCGGCGACCGCCGCGCAGTTGAGATCTCGGACCTCTTTACCTTCGAGTTCGAGGGGGAGGGCCCGACCCGCTGCATGCCCCTAATCTTTACAACAAGGGCGGGAAAGCAGAACCAGCATGGCCGTCTTGAGACAGCCGGAGCCCTCCGGAATAAGAATCCGATTATCTGCATGCTGAGCGGCCTTGCCTTCTACCTCCTCTATCGGTGGGATATAGCTGCCGACGAGCCGTTTCCAGACCTTAGCCGGAGGTCTGCATGGTATGATACGCGGCTGATTAGAGGGAGCGGGAGCGGGTATGACCATACAGCAGCCCTCTCATATAACTCGCAGCGAGACTGGGTCGTTAAGGCATTTACATATGCCGGCATCGCCTCGAGGAAGAAGACGCACGTTGGCCGGAGCTCGGGGGCCAAGACGGCCGAGCTGAAGGGGATCAGCGAGGACCAGATCCGCCGGGCAGGCCGCTGGAACCAGGAGCAGATGATCGGCTGCTACCTGAACTCCCTGCCTCGCAAGTTCATGCGTACGATGGCCGGGCATCTGCCACAGAAGGGGTGCTTCGAGATACGCCGTGCTGCCATTATGCCGCCGGAGACCCTCCTCTCTCTGATCTGGCCAGACCTCGACCGTTGGAAGGGCCGGTTCGGCCCTGCCCCCGATCAGATTAACGACCTTGCAGCCATGGGGCTTACGAGCCTACTCTCATACCTCCGTGAGGTCATCCTGCAAGACTCGGTCTTCCTGATCAAGCAGTTCCCAGATAGCCCGGTTTGGAACCACCCGGTCTTTCAGCACGAGGCCTACTCGCAGTTCGCACAAGAGGTATCAGCCCTCGTGCAAGAAGAGGGCGAGAGGCCGAGCCAGCTAGCCCTGCTAGCCCAGGCCGTCCCAGCTCTTGCAGACTACCTCCAGTCCGTCGATACCCGCAACGACACGAGGATCACCAGCCTACGGGCCGACCTTAGGGCGGATCTGAGAGCCGACCTACGAGCCGAGCTTCAGGGCGTCAGGGAGCAGGCCTCGCAGCTCCAGTCGCTCTTCTCAACTGGCCTCACCTTCCAGCTCAAGACAGCCGCCACCCCTGGTCTCCTGCAGCTACAACCAGCACCAGTACTGCCGCCAGCACCAGCACTTACCGCCGCCGCCGCCGCCGCTGCTGCTAAAGAGGCCCAGAGCCAGTATACAACAGATTACTCAAGCAATAGCAGCAACAGCCGCTCAGTGACCCCAGGGCTAGAAAGACCGCCACAGCATCGTATGTGCCGGGAGGTTAAGACAGTCAGGGACTTATGGAGAGAGTGGACGGTCGGGCTACGAGGCCAGCAAGCTATTGCTACTCTCGATAGCCGCTGGGGAAGCCGGTGGCGGGCTGGCCGGCAGAGCGAGGTGCAGTGGTACTCCCTACGGCTCGAGGTCATCAAGGAGATTCGCCGTATGGCGCAGGCTCAGCGTATAAGCGAGGAGGCTGCGATGTATGCTATAAGCCTGCAGCAGCAGCAGATGGGCTACTCAATTGACCAGCTCTGCAAGTTCCTCCGAGCTAATAGAAAGACCCGGCTAACTATGCAGAAGAAAAAGAAGTAAAAAAAAGAGGTCGGCAGTATCTATAGGGTTTATAAGTAATTCATAATCTACAATCTCTATCTTCCTCTCGTGGGCTGTGAATAGGCCGCCTCGGGCTAGGCAAGCAGTTCGCGGCCCTCCGGGCTGCCTGACGGATCCGGGATCGGGGGGCCCTGCTCGATAGCTCCAAGCAGGTTCCCGATCATTGCGCAAAGATAGAGACCCTCGATTACGTAGGAATTGCGTTACGCCGGTCAGGCCGGGCGACCGTGGAGAGGGGGTAATATTCGAAGTCGCTGAGGGCACGGACGTGATTTGGCGGCGTTGTGGCGCTAAGCCGCTGAATCAGCCACCAAAAGGCCGCCGTGGATATCCTATTGATATTGGACACGACCATCCGGACGGATTTCTTTACAATGCCCAGTACCAGGTCTTGATATGCGTCACATGCGGTTCAATCATTCAGCCCGGCCCAAAGTCATCTTACTCTCATCTAAACGGCATTCATCGTATCACTGGGGTAGCCTGCAAAGCCTTAATAGACCGCTTCAGTTCATACAACCTTCGCCCGTTCGATCAACTTGAGGTTCCACGCGAGAAAGTGCCTCGGATTTCTGGCCTACCCACCCACAGTGGTTTCCGATGTAACGTCTGTCCTGAGAGTTCTGGATCCTCATACTTTACAGTATCATCGAAAAAGATCAGAGAGCACATGCCTATCCATAACATGGGTATCACACCAATGAGGGCGTTGCAATTGGAAAAATTTCAGGCGTGTTATATCCAGACGTTCTCATCTGCTAAGGGTAGGATTCAGTACTTTGAAGTCGAGCCTGTAAAGTATTAAGGCGTATTTACTGGGTGAGTTGGATTTTCTGTAATAGTCCGGCCCTTGATTGAGTGGCGAGGCGAGATAAAATTAGACCACGTATTCATTTCAGGGAGAGTCTCGGCATCACTAAGCTTAATTGGTCCATCGATTCAGTGATACCCATCAGACTGTGACGATCCTGTATCTGCCACATGTGCGTCTTTCTCTATGACCCTGACCATCGGGTTATCGTCTGCCAGCCGTGCGGGACATGTCTGGTCCCCAAGGCGGCAAGTTGGAGGAGCCACCTGCGGGCCGAGCCGCACCGAATGAGGGGCGACGAGCTAAGGACGACCATTGAGCTCTTGTTGAGTTACGACCTGCGCCCAGTAGACGAGCTCCGGCAGTGGAGGCCAGATAGGACGAGACCCTGCCGGCCGATCGAGGGTCTCGCCGTCTTTACCGGCTACTGCTGCACGCGCGATGGCTGCAACTACTGCACACGGAGGCTCGCCAAGATGCACCAGCACATGCCAGCACATGGTATGAAGGCCTCGCAGCACAGGGAGGCCGTCCCCCTCTGGCGAGGCTGCAGGCTCCAGACGTATTTCACGGCAAAAGGGCGCATCGATTACTTCATCGTCGAGGATCCGTCGTCATCGTCAGCGTCGAGAGGGGAGGCGGCAGTGCTTGGATTACTCACGCCGCTGTTGTCACAGGAGGAGGGGAATCTGTTTAATAGGTTAAAGGCAGATATTGACCAGGCATCACGCGACCTGGATGAGAAGGCCGGGGTCGTGCAGGACGCCGAGGAGTCACGAGCAGACCGAGTCCCGTGGCTCGTCCATACCGGGTTCCCTACCCACATGCGGGAGCTCCGGGATGCCGAGATCCAGTCGTCGTACTCGCTGCCTCCGAAGAAGCTCCTGGACGGGGACGGTGGCGGTGAAGGGGAGGACGACTCGGACCTCATTCGCATCCTTATCGCGGCTGAGGCCACCTTCAGGGACGCGTATAGACTCTGCAGCAACAAGTCACTCGATAGGAAGATGACACAGCAGCGGGCCAAGAGGTTGAACGAGTTTCGTGATGCCGGCGGCTCGAGCAACGGCAAGCCCGGCGGGTTCCGCAGTTTTAAGAACGAATCCTCGCTGACCTCGTACTTCCGGAGGATGAAGCAACTTCTCGTTTACTATTACCGGGTCGTGTTCTACGAGGACGGCCACTTCACGAGGGAGAATGAGGACCAAGTGTTGCCGCGGGACGTCATCGAACCAACACCTCAGCAGGAGCGGGCTATGCAAGGCATCATCGACGCCCTGCGAGAGCAAGACGAGAGGGCGAAGGAAAAGCCAGCCAACAGAGAGGAAGGGGAAGACGACGACGAGCGCGACGCTGAGCTGAAGCATGCCGTTCGCAACTTCTACGTAGCCCTGATCTGCCAGACGGTCGGGAGCAGGCCGTTCCGGTCCACCGTACTAAGCTTCTGCGCCATGCTCAGCCGGAAGAAGGTCTTGAAACGGCAGGAGGCGAAGGATGGTGAACGGCTCAAGCAGGGCGTCTGGCACGAGCCAGGGAACTTCAATAGCAACTTATCCGCACTCACCTGGACTGCTCAGCTCATCCTGTTCGACTTCGTGTGCTTCCACAAGCAGGACGACGAGGACGGGATACCAGAACTGCTGGAGAAGATGTGCAAAAGGTACTTCCAGCAGATGGCAGAGACGCCATTCGGTCATATCCTGCAGTGGCGGCTCTACCTTTTCGCTGCCTCTAGAACCGCTTTCACTAAGAATCAGGCTCGCTGGTCTCTCGACGGCCAGACGATCGACTACAAGGGAACCAAGCTGCACATGGAACAGGTGTCACAGCTGGTCGTGTCGGAGTTTCGCCAGGCGCATTCGCTTCTGTATGGTGAGCTGTTATTCGGTGCGAATGATATTACACCAATCGAAGCGTGGAGACTACATGATGACCTCGACCTCGACGACTACGGCGGCTCGTGGCTGACGGACGAAAGGAACGCCGAGATCCTGAGTGGTACGCAGCATGCTCTACTCCGCCACATCGAGGAGAGGGCTGAGCTGCGAGGGGTCTACGTGCGGACCGATCAAGGTGGCAGGCTGCGCCTATGTCCGAAAGCAATAGCCTGCTACGAGGCGCACGTGCAAGAGTTCTTGAAGCGGATGGTGACGCTCATCCATGTTCCACCGGCTCCTCCATTGCGGGCGCCGGAGCTGCTTTCCGTCACCTACACCAACACAGGTCGTCGTCGATGCATATTGATATGGGAGAAGATGGTCATGGTGTACGTGCGGTATCACAAGAGCCAGGAACAGGTTGGTGCCGAGACGGAGAACATCCGCTTCTTGCCCCGCGCCATCGGAGATCTGCTCTTGACATATGTGGCTCTGGTGCAGCCGCTGCGCCAGGTCTTCCTTCGCCAGAGCAAGCCCGGCGCCCTGCTGTCGCCGTACCTGTGGTCGAGCCTGGACGGCGAGGTCTGGAGGGACACGACGGTCTCATCCTGCCTTCGCAAGGCCTGCGCACGCGCCGAGGTGCCGCAGTTCCAGGTGGCGTGGTGGCGCCAGGCTGCTGCTTCCATCACTAAGGAGAAGTTCAGCGCCAAGGAGCGGGCCAACTTCGACCTGGAGGAGATTGCGGCCGCTGAGGAAGTTGAGGATGAGGCGGCCCTCGCGGACCTGGCCGGAATGAGCAACCACAGCTACCGCACGTTCAACCATGCCTATGCTGGCAGCACGACGCTGACAATAAGCACGCTGCTCCATCGTGCCTACCGGGCATCGCAGAGCTGGCGCACCCTGTTCCGGGTCGATCAACTTCTCCAGGGGAAGCGGCCACAGACGGTATCAGAGACGCAGGCGCAGGGGTTGCTCAATGCTTGCAAGAAGGCGCGGTTTCGCACAAGGCCTACGGCGAGGGAGGACGGCCTCGTCGCGGTGGCTCGCGGGCTGTATAACGACCCAGATCTGCAGCTACGTCGACCTGGTCAGCGTGATGGCATGCTGGCGACGTTGGGCCCACGGCCGGCCGAGCAGGTCATCGTCGTCCTTGCGACCGGGTCCGGTAAGACACTAATAGTGATGGTTGGTGCTGCGCTCGAGGGTGCTGCGACGACCATATTGATATTACCTACAGTGGCCCTTCGCGGTAATATGCTCGTTCGCCTCGGCAAGGTTGAGCTGAAATACTACGTGTGGTCGCCAGGCTCGTTCAAGTCGGCGCCGCTGGTCATCATGTCGGCCGAGGCCGCCTGCACGGAAAGTTTCCTGGAGTATGCCAACAGACTTGCGGACCGACAGCGGTTGGACCGGATCGTGATTGACGAGTGCCACCTGACTATCACGGCGAACGACTATCGGTGGTGCATGTCGCAGCTGGGCGGGTTCGTACGAAGGGTTCAGACGCAGACGGTCTGGCTGACGGCGACGCTCCCGCCAGACTACCAAGAGCTCTTTATCGAGCATAACAAGCTTGTTCGGCCGCGTATAGTCAGGGAGTCAACGAATCGTCCGAACATCCGGTACATCGTACGGCGTGAGCGAGGCTTGGGCACCTTATGTCAGAGGGCGGCTCGTCTTGTCCAAACTTGCTGGACCCGGAAGGACCTCTTCGAGAGCGAAAGGGATAAGATCATCTTGTACTGTCAGACGAAAGAGCTCGTGGCGGAGCTTGCCGACCTGCTGGGGTGCCCGTCGTACACGGCTGACTCTGGTACGGAGGAGGAGAAGGGGGCGGTCATCGAGCAGTGGCTCAGTGCTACGGACCCGCCTGCTGTTGTAGCCACATCTGCGCTGGGCCCCGGCTTCGACCATCCGCACGTACGGTGGGTCATCCATGTTGGCGCCCCGAGCCTGATGACGGATTTCTCACAGGAATCAGGCAGGGCCGGTCGGGATGGCAAAGTAGCAGAATCTATCGTCTTACTTAGTGCGACCTGGAGACCGCAGCTGGACCGGCAGCTGGGCGCAGACCAGGAGGCCATGCAGCTATACCTCACGCAGCAGCAGTGTTCGCGCGGCATTATGAGTCAATTCCTCGATGTGCGGTCGGACTGGAGGTGGTGCATGGAGGGCGATGAGCTTTGCGGCGTCTGTCCTAACCATCATACCGAACGGCGGCCATCCCATCTTGAGTTCCATATACCGCAGCCCCAGGCGGGAGAGGCAAGCGAGAGCGAAGTTGAGCAGAGCTCCATGGCCGGTGAGATGGTTTTCACCGGGCCCAGTGAGGTTCTTCGTCAGGCCCGAGTTTCCAATGAGGTACTGAGCCGATACGAGAGGGATCTTGAGACAATGATGGGCTGTTGTCTTTATTGTCGGGTGGAGCGGAGATCGTTTGAGCATGCAGCCACAGCGTGCGCGCGGCGCCATGATTGGATTCGGGCGAAGCAAAAGGCGCTTCGAGACTGCCAAAGTCAGGACAAGGAGTGGATGGACCGATATGCTGTCTGCTGGATGTGCTATCAGCCACAGGAGATTTGCCGGGCGGCGGACCCGGAATATGACGGAGATAGCACATGTCGGTTCCCGGATATGGTCATGCCGCTCTGTTTTGGGGCTTTCAGTCGTCCCGGCCGGACTAAGTGGTTTTCGAAGCACTTTAACCGAACATTCAAGACTTGTCAGGAGTATATGCTGTGGCTGGGGAAGACTACATCGCTAGGAGGGAGCAGGTGTGCACAGGCAAACTGTGTAGCAGCGCTTTTATTAGCCGAGCTTGGGTGAAATATGCCGTCAAAAATAGACAGTTGCTTCATTTGGGTTATTAAAAGCAGCCGTATAAAGCCATATATATACCGGCAACCGGTATAAACTCTTAGATTGGAGAGATAGAAAAGCTAGAGCGATTTTAATACAACTTGATTAAATAGCAGAAATCAGCTCAGAAAATGAGGGGTGGGTTGTCGTCGTGTCGCGTGTGACAGTGAAATTTCAAGCGTGGTTCCAAATGGACATTTCAGCGCACCAACGGTCAACCACAACAATAATAGTAGCAAAAATAGTATTGCGCAATAGATAAAACTGTACTTAATCCAACTCACCAATTCATTTTTGTTTGCAAATATTGGTGCGCACTTTATGCTCAATTAAAGTCGCAAATCGGCGTCAAAAGTGAGAATGGAGACCGTGCACCGCGATGATGTTTATGTAATCTCCTCGGCGCCCCTGTTGAATGCGAACCGACCCTTGGTCGAAATAGCCAATGCCATCCAGGCTTTAAGGCGACAGTATCCCGGTCAGAACTCATGAACCAATACGGTATGACAGGAGAGGCAAGCCGGTCGCGGCTTGCGCAAAGAGCCTTGAGGAACGAGGTTGGCTATGGCAGTTTCAAAGTCAGCTGAGATGTGTTGGATGGAGACGTAAACGTCAAGTGCAAGTATTGGCTTTGGATTGGGTGATGTTGGTCACATGTATCTCCGGGAGATGGGGTCCTTTCAAGGGTATGCTGGTGTAGGAAGAGAGGGGTCATGAAACACAATGCAAGATTGAAAATGTCGTGCAACGGAGACGCAACCTTGCGTCTGCAGAATCATGTATCCATCATGACCAAATGACCAGCTCACCTCTGTAAGGTAGGTGTGGGAAAGGACAGAACGCACCGAGTTGCGGGCGATTCCGGGGCGGGGGCTATTTTGGGAGGGAGTATCAAAGGGCAAAGTGGAAGATTCACAAGAAGATCTGCATGTCCAAGGATGGGCTATGTGAGCGAGGAGCATTTACGTACTTTAGGGGATATTGATGGTGGGCACTGGTAGATAGACAACAGATATCTCAGTCAATTTGTTGCTGTACGAAGTGACTATTTGTGACTACAATGGGGGGACTCTTTGAATGGATTCCTATTCAAATTCCTGATATTTCTTTGGGGGATGACGGTTGCGATGCGGCCGGGGCGAGTCTGACGAGAACGCTGTGATTGAATCGGATGCGGGTGGATCTGGACGATAGGTAGTGGCAACATCCGCCTCCGATACATCAAGTTCATCTTGTGAGGAAGCCGAAACCGCGAGGGATCTGATAGGCTCGTTGCTTTGAGAAGAGGGGATGGTGCTAGAAGAGGCCGGGGATAGGCGTCGTTTCTTCGTAGGGGTCTGGTTGCAGTCAGAGTTTGGTCGCTTGGCCGGTGGTGTACTCGGTTCGAGGAAAGCAGACGCGGGAGGAGTGGACGGGATAGGAGGAGATTGGTGAACTGTTGGTTTTGGTGGCGAGGAAAACATAGCTTTCGCATCCCCAAAGGCCATAGGGCCGGAGGACGGTTGTTTCGGTGGGGTAGAGAGAGATAGGGCTGCGGAGGCCGATTTGGACGTGGCCCTGTCGTATCTGGTACGACGATGAAAACGTAGTCTCGGTCAAAGCCGGGCGGGTGCGCCATGATGTTGTGGTCGAGCAGGCCGACAACTTTGCCCGTGCAAGTGAAAAGCGCGTTAGCCTGGAACTGGGTGCCCTGTCTCTCGACCATTTTCTTGCACAGGGTTACCCAAGGATTGGCATGGATGGGGAAGATGACAAAGACCTGGAATGGATGGAAGCCTTTGAAGGGAGTCTTGTCAGGGTTTCCAGGGGCAATGAACGTAGAAAGTTGAACGAAGCCACAGCACTTCAACTGGACGCTGTCGAGTCCTGGAATAGACTCCTTTCGTAGCAGTGTGCGGCCGGAACTGACAACAGGGCCGGTGAACGAGACAACGGGAGGGACAGCGGGGAAGTGGTCTACGGAGGCAAAGTTTCGGGGGACAATGCTTTGACTCGATCAGGGGGGAATGACAAGGTCAGTTGTATGCAGCATGCTTACGGCTGGTAGCCCTGATCACGGATGATGAGAGCCGGAATGGTGTATTGTGTGATGGCGCCAGTATCCGACTCTAGGCCATCTCGCTGTTCAACCTCCCAGGTCAAGGCGTATGGGTGAACACGACCGTTCATGAAGAACCATTGCTCGGTCCATTCTGATGCAACGACTGGTTGATTGTAGATGGAAAGGTTGAGGCTGAAGAAGATGCAGCTGGAGGGGTTGTCGGGGTCTGACCGAAGTTGCGCATACTCGGGAGTCAAAATCCAGGACGGGGCAGGTAGGAAGACCCTCGCCAATGCCTCTGCGTTGAGTCCCTTGATGCGATGCTGGTCCTGATAGGCAAACCTGGACGGGCAGTCTGGCTGGATGAAAACCATCATGGACATATCACTGCCCGCGTTTGTCTGGCTCTCAAGAGGTTTGTGAGGGTTCGAGGGGCCAGTGGGGAAGGGAGCGGGAGGAGACATGATACACTGGAGCAGTGGCTGCCAAAAACGAGCCAGGGATACCCGAGACGAACGCTGGAGGCAATAGGATGGTGTAGATGCTGCGGTAGGGAAGAGCAGAATAGGAAGTGAGCGAGGTGATGATGGCTTGGTCTCTATATGGATATGGATGCAGGGGTAGTTCTCGGGAGCTGTAGCGTCTGGGGTGCGGGGTTTGGTAGATCAGAGCCCAGACGACGGTCCGGGGAAGCTTCACGTTTCAAGTAGATGAAGAATGCGGGGTTTGGATGATGAGCAAGGCCGATCTGGCGCCAGAGACGTCATCGAAAGTGATGTATGTCCAATGTCAGAAGTGAGATGTGAGTGTAGCGAATGAAGTAGTGTCTTTTTCTGTGAAGCAGGTGAATGAAGGCGAAGTGCCGACATGGAATCAGCTGATATCGGGGTAGCAACGGTTTCAGCTTGAGTGTGTCACCGACTTGCAGGATGGGAGTTGCGGCGCGCGGCAAAGGGCAACATCGGCAGTTGAGCAAGAGTCTGGGTTGTAGGCATACAGGAAGGGTTGTAGGTGATTAAGGGGACTATTAGCGGACCGCTCGGATACTGCAGGAACCAATGCCGTATTAAGGAGCATAATCATCATCATCCAGAAGCGAAATCGTGCAACTAAAGAGAGTCCGACGTGGAAGCCTTGTGACCTACCGTCAGCCTGGGGTCATCGATGTCGAGAAGGCAGCAGTAAGATGAATAGTCCTGTGGCCAAGCCAAATGAAATAGTTGCTCGCGCGGGAGCCTGTTTACGGTCAGCAGGGAATGGAGTCGATGGGAATGATGCAAGTGTGTCGGAGAGAGGACAGGGAGATGACACGGTAGGGAGCGGCGTAGATGTGGTAGCGGCTGCGGAAGCGGAGCACACCGCACGACACGGGAGATTCGGACGTTTGTCAACATACGAGTCACCGGCAAGCGCAGCATCAAAGTTCCGGCCGATTCTATCCAAACAACCCGTGGTTGAAGAGACCGTATGGAGACAGCATGCGGAAGCAATTGCAAGGTCGTTACCCAAGAGACCTCTGCGAGGCGGTTTGCGGTCAAGCGGAGCACGGAAGTCTCATCATACGGTCAAAAGTGGAGGTTCCGCGCAACATCAGCCACCGAGTCAGCTTCAAAGGCCCTTTTTGCCCAGAGAACGGGGCGGACCGGAGGCCGCGGATTCTGATCCTCTCCTCTTTCATCGACACTTTTTGCCCATGGAGAGGCGGGATGGAGATGATGAGCGGCGTGGTATGGCGTCGGTTGGCGATCCCGCGCTTTTTCGTCGGAATGAGGCACCCACGGTCCGGCTTATCCAGCCCAAGCAACCAGTATCTGAAGACATTAGACGAAGCGAGCTAGCATCAGCAATTGCACGGGGTTTGCCCAAGAGACGTCGGCGAGGGGGTCGGCGGCCGCTGAAAGCAAGACCAGACACTAGCGGTGCCTCTAACACAGGAGGTTCGGCGCAAGATGGGGGTGTAGGGGTGGATGTGGACGCTGCCACGCCGGAGTCGGCGGATGTTGTGCTGGGAGGACAGGATCTGCTGCCAAGCCGAGATGAGCCTCCGAGGAAACAAATTCGAGCTGGAATCCGAAGGCAAAGGAGACGGGAATTGCAGGCCGAAGACTTGATGAGCGTGTTGCGCTTCTTGGAGGAGGACTTTGCCATGAAGGAGAGCTTGTCCAACGAGCAGACGTGGTGTACGCCAGTACCGTACGATAGAACGGTGTCGACCGTGCGAGATTTTTACCAGGCGTTCCACGATGTGAGCACCTTGCCGATACGGACCTGCATGCTGTGCTACCGTAAGCGCACGAAAAAAGAGTTGAGAGAGGTGACGTGGGACCGATGGATGTCGAGCCGCGTCGAAAAGGGGGACGGCTCGCCATTTCAATGTCGAAGTTGCTTTCCTGTGGGAGAACCTATCTTAGGCTGTGCGGAGTGTATGCGTTGCCTGAGGCGGGGTGGCCTGTCGCCAGCGGCCCAACTTCACGGCCGGCTTGGCTGTGAGCACATGTTTCCCGACGAGCTCAAGGGCCTCACACTGGTCGAGGAGAAGCTCATCGCGCTGAATTCGTGTTATGGATTGTCACGAGGTACAGCATTCCGGGTGGCCGGGGGCAGAGTCTGAGGTACCCGAGGCATGTCAAAGGCCATATCACGGTGTTCCCAAACAACGTGCAGGAGCTGGCCACGAAAGTGCTCCCCAATCCACTTTTGCAAGTCATGGACGAGATCCACGTCTCGTGGCAGGGCGCGGAGAAGCCGGGACCGAGCGATCTTTCAAGCCTCCTATCGGTGAGGCGGCGAGTCGTGGAGAGGGCCCTTGTCTGGCTGAAGAAGAACAATCCACGCTATGCCGAGATCGAGATTGACGCGGCAGAGATGGAGAGTTGGGGAGCCCCGCCGCATGGGGTGCCGGCGTGTGTGTACGATCGCATGGAGCGGAACGAGCCGTCGGCGTGGGAAAAGACACGAACGGCGCAAGTCGTGCCGCCCACGGAGCGCGCCATGGACGACGAGGGTTCGGTGGATATCGAGGAAATCCTCACCGCGCTCAATCAAGGAGAAAACTCGCCTAGATGCGAGACTGGAACAGCAGGGGAAAACAAGGCATACGAGTCTCCGGCTGAAAGGGACGCTGAGCCTGACCAGACGGTAAAACCGATCAACGAGGTCACCTCGTCTGGAATGTTCGCACTGGACGGACCGCCAGATGTAGCGGACGCCGAGAAATTGCGGTTCGCCTGCGACGCTGTCGGTGAAAATGATGACGACGGCCGTATGGGCCCGAGAACGTGGGTTAGATCGTCGGGAGACAGCCGGCGAGGGTATGCCGATGGCTCTGAGCCGTACATCCATGTTCGTCGCGGGGATGAATTTGCCGACTCGTTTGAAGCCCCGTTCTTCGTGAAGACGTTCCCCACGCTACTACCTTTCGGCTTTGGGGGCCCACGGCTGGCCGGAGAAGCCACCTTGGAGCCGGGAAGAGGTCCCGCCGATATCCCTGGAGCAGAGGCAGCGGCGCGAGACCTCGTATCGTCTCGAAACATGAGCCTTCGGACGTGGGCTGACATTGTGCTGCGACGTCATGGCGGCCGATTCGCGACGCACCACATTTTCGCATTTCTGGTGTTCAACATCGGCGTGCGGTCGAGGAATCGTCGTGTCAGCATGCTGAGCGTGACGAGGAAGAACTTCCGCAAGGTGGAGCGCATCGTACGGTCGCTGACTGCAGACAGATTAGCGGCAGCTAGGGCGGAGCTGGAGAGCTCGGGTAGGACCACCGATGAGGGTGTGAAAGAGCTTCTCAGGAGCCTTTCGCTGTATGGTTACCGCCAGCCTATGTCCAGGGAGCTCCGTCTCAGTATGCGGCATAAGATCCAGGCGCTCATCGTTCGCTATGGCGTGCCTGCCATATGGTTCACGATCAGCCCAAACGACATTACGAACCCAGTGAAGCTCCGACTGGCAGCGTACCGCACTCGCGATCCTGGGGCAGCCGAGGAGTTCTTGCGAAGCCTTGACATGTCATTCAAGCGTATGCGGCTGTCCATCTCGGACCCTATGAGCTCGGCCCTATTTTTCCACAGGGAGATGACGTTGTTCTTCGAGCATTACGTGAAAGTGGGAGAAGAGTCAGTTTTCGGGCGTATCATCCAGTACTATGGCGCTGTGGAAACCAACGAACGAGGGGCGCTTCACGTCCACGGGCTGCTCTGGTTGCATGGAAACGCGCACTTGAGTTCTATGCTTGCCGACATCCACGAGGAGGATCAGGCGGCGTATCGTGAGCGCATCGTCCAATACGTCGATAGTGTTTTCTGCGAGGTAATGTTCAATGCGTGCTGTTGGCCATCCAGAACTTCTGGTGGGCAAACGGGACTAGGCTGACATGCTAGCTAGGATCTTGACCAGGAAGGGTTCTGCGTCGTGCAAGCGGAGCGGTCGGTGACGTCCGATATTTCCTCCCTGCTGGACAACACCGAGCAGTTCTCGGCAGCGTTTGACGAGGAAGCCAACTTCTGCGCCGGCGCAACGCAGATTCATACCCACAGTCCGACCTGCGTCAAGTATTCCCTGGGCAAGAAGAGACGGAAGGGCGATCTCTGTCGGTTCAAGGCGCCATGGAGATTGGTCGACAAAACTGCATTCACGCCAGACGGCGTCCTGCAGATTCGCAGGACGCACCCCATGGTTAATCGGTGGAACAAGGCCATCGCCGTGGGGCTTCGCCACAACCACGACATCTCCTTCATAGCGACGCAGCGGAAAACCATGGCCCTCGTCTATTACGTCACGAACTACGCAACCAAAGTAGAGGACCCGACGTGGAAGCGCGTCGCCGCGGCCGCAGAACTGTTGCCTGTTGTCTCAGCAGGTGGCCAGCCGGCCGCTGGGGAGGATGCTGGAGGCGGCGCCGTCGGCGACGAAGACGGTACAAAAAACAAGACGCGACAGTTTCTGATGAGAGTGGCGAACCGTATATTCACGGAGCAGCCTCTATCGCAAGTCGAAGTCGTTGCCCATCTTCTAGGGTACCCGAGCGAGTTCACGAACAGCAGCGCCTGGGCGTACCTGAACGTATCCCTGCTCTACTGGCACGTCTTCCGACGGTGGCGACACCTCCGGCAAGAGAGCGGCACAGCGGTCGCGGACACTTCCGTGGACGAGTCGATCGTCGTGGAAGAAGCAGGCCAAAGAATCAGTTTCGCTGAGGCTTATCACCATCGTGGAGATGTCCTGCGAGGTCTGTGCCTGTATGATTATGTTTCGCTCGTCATGCTCCAACGCGTTGGCAAGGACGGAAGTTCCGGTGCTTGGGGAGAGGTGCCGTTCGAGAGCAATTGGGCGCCTGGGAAACACTGGGTGCAGGTGCTAAGATGGCCAGGAAAGCATGCCGTCGTCTGCCTTGACGGGTACTTGACCAAAGATTTTGAACAAGACGACGAAGAGGAGTCGTGCCATCGTAGGTATGTGTGTGGCGAACGACCTAACCGAAGGGGGTTGAAGGGACTAACTCTCGTGCTGAAGAGCAGCTGTGCAGCATCTTGCCCTGTTTGTGCCGTGGGAAACATTCTTGGGCGAAGTACGAGACGACATCAACGACATATGGGCGCGGGCACGGGCGGCGCTGTCTCCGAGAATCTCCTGCCTCGTCGGTAATGTACAACTGCTCCGGCGATGCGCCGAAGACGCAAAGCGGGACGCCAGGCAATGGGCAGCCTCAGCGGGCGACGCTGACTTCACGGCCGCACGTGCCGGCGAGGAAGGAGAAGGCGAGACTGGTGAAGAAGCCGCATCGGTGTACCAGTCTGACAGCATTGGTAACGCAACGCGTCTGATTGACGTCGTGAGAGGTGCAGCAGGCACGAACCAGGTCACGGCTGGGTCGCCGGAGCTCCTGGCAATGACGCAGCAGCTCTGTCGCTTTCAACAGTCAGCGTTGTGCTCGACGGCCGAGCTCCAGGCCACCGTGACGCCCGAAGGGGGGCCGAAACGGATTGACATGCCAGGACGGATATATTCCGGCGCCAGAGTGCCACCACAGGATCAGGTCAAAGCTATCAAGTCGCAGCAAATATGTGCTTCCAAGGAGAGGGTGCAAATGATCTAGGGCATACAAAACATGGCCTCAGCCCTTGGGACCGATCGCAGTGCAGCGGCGCGTGGCGTGCTCACCGGCTTTGGGGAAGAAGACATCCAGATGACGATGGCGGACTCCGAGGAGATGGCAGGCGACGCGGATCCAAGTGTGCAGGTCCACTTCGGCCCATCGACCTCTTTCCTTGAAGCTGGCAAGGATCTAGTAACACGACTGACGCTCAACAAAAGACAGGCGATCGCTTTCCTGATAATATGCCGCCAGCTGGACATGATTCATCGCGGGGACAACGGCGACGTAGATCAGCTCTGCCAATTCGTCGGCGGCGAGGGTGGAACTGGCAAGTCGCGCATCATCCAGGCACTCGTCGAGCTTTTCACCAAGAAGGGCGTCTCGAATCGTCTGCTGATCACGGCGACGTCGGGGACGGCCGCCGCTCGGATCAACGGCATCACGATCCACTCCGCCTGTGGGTTCACAAAAGACCAAGGCGCGGGCGCGAACACGGCCAAAGATCTCGACGGGGTGCGGCTGCCGAAACAGGCGGAGCGGTTCATCCACGGCCAGTCTCGAATGGACTGGCAGGAGAAAGATGTGCTTGTCATCGACGAGGTGAGCATGCTCGGAGCACGAACGCTGCACGCCGTGAACGAGCAGCTCTGCCGACTGCGCGGATCGCAGCAGGATTTCGGAGGGATCCCCATCGTCCTCTTCTGTGGAGACTTCCACCAATTCCGCCCGGTCCAAGACCGGTCGATCCTCCTCCCCAGCACGGCCGTCTCGTGGGACGTAGACAACTCGTTCAAGGCCGAGCAACGGCACCAGCACGACAAGGCGCACGCGCTGTGGAAGAAATTCACGACGGTCGTCATGCTGAACAAGCAAGTGCGCGCCGCCGGAGATGCGGACTTGCAGAGGCTGCTGAAGCGAATCCGACTGGGCGTGCAGGACCGCACCGATCTGGACCTGCTCAACTCGAGGTGCTACCGGGAGGATAGGCGGATCCCATGGGAGACGGGCATCACCGTGGTGACGCCGCTGAACAGGAACCGGTGGAATCTGAACATGGAGGCAACCTTGGCGTTCCAGGTCCAGCAGCGGTCGATGATGCGAATCTTCATATCCCAGCACAGATGGAAGGACGGCCTGCCGACTGAGGAAGAAGCCATCATGATTCTGAACCAGGGCGACGACAGTGCCATACCGGTGCCGGCCATCTTCATGTTCGTACCGGGGATGCCGGTCGTAGTGAACCACAACACCCACCAGGGGCTGAAGCTGGTCAACGGTGCCAGTTACACGGCGGTGGAGGTCATTCCTGACAAGGCGTACCCGGGCCATCGGATCTCGGCCGACATGACGATCCACTTCGGGCCGCCCGCGGGGATAATCCTGGAGTCGGAAACGACAAGAGACTTTCACTTCGTCGGGATGCCGCAGGGCACGATCCTCCTGACGCCCATGAGCGTTAAGATACAATGCCAGCGGAAACGGCCGTAGCAAAAGAACGATGTCAGCCGAAAGGGTCTGCCGTGCGCGGCGGCTTTTGCGTGCACTGACTACAAAGTGCAGGGCGGGACGTTCGAGCGCGTAGCTCTGGAGCTGCGAGGGACGCGGACGACAAACGTCGACGGACGCGTCGTCCCCTCGCAGTGCGACCCGTACAGCCTGTACGTGTAGCTGTCGCGTTGCCGGACGCTGGACGGCATCATGCTCCTGTCCAAGGTGCGGGAGAGAGACCTTGGTGGGCAACAGGGTCCCCGAAGAAATGACTGCGGCGCAGGCGAGACTGGAGAAACTGAGTGACAGGACGGTTCAGGAGGCGTTGCGCCGGTTTGATGAGAGATTCTGAAGAGTTGATGATGAATGAGAGACGGGGGATCAGGGCGCCGGCGGCGGGCGGCTGGGAAAGGCGCTTCCTAGGACAAAAGAGAGGGAGAAGAAAAAAGGCACCGACGACCAATCATGACGGACTTTGAAACACATCCTGGTCAATTTTTTGGAGCCAATCAGAAGCGAGAGTTTGAGGGGTGGCCGGGGGGCGGGGCATAGACCTTCGTTCTCAGGCATTCCTCAAGGCACAGGGGAAGGCGCACGTCCGCCGGGGGGAAGTTGGAAGTTGGAAGCTGGGCGTGGTGGGCAAGTTGGCGGCTCCCTTGCGCTGAGTAGCCTTTCGGTACGAAGCTTGCAAAACTAAAGCCTGTTTTACTAGTGGGTTGGTTGCACGTGTTGAGAAGAGGGCGCGGTTTTAAGTGGTCGGCTCTGGGTGGGTGGATGAATAGACTTGGCCAATAGGGCGTGTGTGTGTGTTACCTTTATTTTGCGTAGCCAATAAGACGTATGCAGCAGGCTTTGAGGGGAAGGCACCATTTTGAGTGGTACGATTTGAAGAGCTTAATGCGGAACTAAGAGACCTAGCCAATAGGGTGAGGGTGAATAATTGAGACAAGGATCAGGGGACTGAGACTAGCAGAGATCAATCAGTCGCAATACCAAAGAGGGAAAGATTGTCAATTTGAGTATAAGAAGCTGCCATGCCAAGATGTCCTGGTGTTGAGACCATTAGGACTTTTATCACTCGCACTGGTGTTGAAACCGGCACGCTTATTTCCCCCACATATCAATCTG